GAAACTAAATGTATCACTAGATGTATAAAGGCAATGTTAAATTGGAATAAAAATGTTTATTTTGGAGTTGAATTATTTTATAATTTTACAGATTTAAATGGCTTGGGGTGTTATCACTGGAATGCTGAAGACCTTAGATTAGTGTCTAATTGTTTCATTTATTACCTCATTTATATTCATTTATTTACCTGATTTATTATTTATTAGTCTACTATTATCGAATAACTAAGAAGCAGCTAACAGCAAAAGCTCAAGTCATATCAGTGAGTGGCAGCAGGCAGCAATCAGCCAGAGGTTTCCTTCAAACATGATGTAAAACCACAGGGAACAAAAGGCAGAGGGATCCACCTCGACTTGTTTACTCTAAAAAAAAATCCACCAAACAAACGGTCTTATCTTTGGATGACTCTCAAACCGGGACATTGACAGGAAGCTCAGTTAGTGGACTCTCTCTTTGCAACAAACATCAATTTAATATAGACCTATATATTATTTAAAACTACTACTAAAAACTGTTATTTGGAAGAAAAGTTGAGCATTTAGGTTGCTATTTGATTACTGTAAAGGCAAAAATAGTTAGGGCCCAAGCACAAACTGTGCGAGGTCCCTACTGAAACTGAACGGATTATTATTTTTATTTTTTTCTGCAAAGTAACCTAAATTTTGGGTGCAACATACTCGAAAAGTCACCAAACTTTTGTATTTAATGGTCATTTTTGGCAATTTACAAACTTTGTACTTTAACGAACTCCTCCTAGGGATTTAGTCCGACCAACTTCAGATTTGTGCTGTGCGCTCAAAACCCATTGACGATTAAAAGTTGTACAAACAGTGAGTTTTTGTGGAACGGCGTGCCCGTGGCGTGGCATCAAAAATCAATGATTCTCCATTAAAAAGGTAGTTATTGTACCTTCAGTCTACATGCTCACATCTGCGCCAAATTTGGAATACATTATAAGAGTCCCGCCCTGAACACATCCACATGCCAATATTCACTCAACATCACAGCGCCACCTGCTGGCAACATGAAATGACACGTTTTATGCTGTAATGTACAACTCCGAGCAGGTTGGACATATCAAATTCAAAACTTTCCCAGAAAACCAATAACGCATTGATGAAGCCATGTTATAAAACTCGTGACTTTGCAGTAAATGGTGTGCCGGGGGTGTGGCGGCAAAGTTAAACTCTTCGCCATGACGCAAGAAGTAGTTGTAACTTGACTGTTCATGCTCACATTTGTACCAGATTTTACACGTTTCAAAAGAGTCCTGCCCTAAACATACAAGACAACATTCACCCATAGTCATAGCGTCACCTACTGGCAACAGTAGTATTGAACTTGAATTGGAACTTGATCATCAATGGTCTGAAATCAATATTGCAGGCTGCACCAACGTTTAAGTGTGAGTTTGGCAGCATTTACATCAATATCAACACCAACACCACCTGCTGCTCTTTCTCTCTCTCCACCTGTTGCTGTAGGTTCTGTATATTTTGTCTCTTTGACTTTTATATATATATTACTTCATCATTGGTTGATTTTATTAATCAAAACATAGGTAATAGTTTTGTTTTTCACACTTGTTGTCCTCAGAGTGTGGATATGTCTGCTGCCAGCTGTCTGCTGACTGAAGATCAGTTTCTGTGCTCCATCTGTCTGGATGTGTTCACTGATCCAGTCAGCACACCATGTGGACACAACTTCTGTAAAACCTGCATCACTGAACACTGGAATATTAGTGTCCCGTGTCAGTGTCCCAACTGTAAAAAGGTTTTCAACACAAAACCTGAGCTGCAGGTCAACACTTTCATCTCTGAGATGGCTGCTCAGTTCAGACAGTCAGCTCAACAGAAAGCCAGCAGCAGCAGCTCAGAGCAACAAGCTGCCAAACCAGGAGAAGTTCCCTGTGACGTCTGCACTGGAACCAAACTGAAGGCCCTGAAGTCCTGCCTGGTGTGTCTGGTCTCCTACTGTGAGACTCACCTGGAGCCTCATCTGACAGCTTCACGCCTGAAAAGACATCAGCTGATCGACCCTGTGGAGAACCTGGAAGGCAGGATGTGTACGAAGCACGATAAACTGCTGGAGCTGTTCTGTAAGACCGACCAGATGTGTGTCTGCATGCTCTGCACTGTTTTAGACCACAAGACACATGATGTTGTTCCTCTGAAAGAAGAATATGAAGGAAAGAAGGCCGAGCTGGGGAAGACAGAGGCTGAAACTCAGCAGATGATCCAGAAGAGACGACTGAAGATTCAGGAGATCAAACGCTCAGTGGAGCTCAGTAAGGAAGATGCAGACAGAGAGATAGCAGGTGGTGTTCAGGTCTTCAGCGCTTTGAAGGAGTCTGTTGAGAGAAGCCAGGCCGAGCTCATCGACACGATCAAAGAGAAGCAGAGAGACAGAGAAACAGGCTGAAGGCTTCATCAAAGAGCTGGAACAGGAAATCTCTGAGCTGAAGAAGAGAAGCTCTGAGGTGGAGCAGCTCTCACGCTCTGAAGACCTCCTCCACCTCCTCCAAAGCCTCCCGTCCCTGAACGCTGCTCCACCCACCAAGGACTGGACAGAAGTCAGCGTCCGTCCACCTTCATATGAGGGGACTGTGAGGAGAGCTGTGAATCAGCTGGAGGAGACGCTCAGTAAACAGATGAAGAAGCTGTTTGAGGCCGAGCTGAAGAGGGTCCAGCAGTATGCAGTGGATGTGACACTCGATCCTGATATCGTACATCCCAGACCTGCACAGTCTAATGATAAACAACAGGCAAATCAAGGTAATAACTGTAGGTGTGTCCTATCAAACCAGGGTTTCACTTCAGGAAGGTTTTACTTCGCTGTTCATGTTAAAAAGTGGTCTACGTGGACTTTAGGAGTGGCCATAAAGTTGACCAACATGAAAGAAATAACCACACTGAGCCCCACTAATGGTTACTGGACTGTATGCCATAAGCGGCGTGGTGGGTTCTTTGCTCCTGCAGATCCTGCAGTCCGTCTCTCACCGAAGTCTCAGCCTGAGAAGGTGGGGGTGTTTGTGGATTATGAGGAGGGTCTGGTCTCCTTTTATGACGTTGATGCTACAGCTCATATCTACTCCTTTACTGGCTGCCGCTTCACTGAGAAACTCTACCCATTCTTTAGTCCCTGTCCGAATAATGGTGGTAAAATCCACAACACTGATTTGTGTGTAGTGCAATGAGTGCTTTTTTTTTTACTATTAAGTAGAAACTGCCTTCAAAACGGCCAAAGCTGTACAAAAATGTAGTGAAAAGGTGAAGCTTTTGCCAAAGTCATTATAAGCCTAGGTGGTAATTCAAAACTTTGATGGATGTATGTAGGATGTAGTGTTTTGTTACATGCTTTTCTTCTTTTCTTTTAATAAATAAAACCAAATCTTGGATGTTTGTAGGTCAGAAGACCTTACGTATGTAAGAACTAGCGGCTGTTATCAATGCTAAACTACAAAACAACCTCGAACAGCAGATGTTGTTTGTAATGTTTCGACAACCAACTCATACCAAATCAGCCAAAAGCTGCTCCACCCACCAAGGACTGGACAGAAGTCAGCGTCCGTCCACCTTCATATGAGGGGACTGTGAGGAGAGCTGTGAATCAGCTGGAGGAGACGCTCAGGAAACAGATGGAGGAGATGTTTGAGCTGAAGAGGGTCCAGCAGTATGCAGTGGATGTGACACTTGATCCTGATACAGCAAATCCTGCTCTCATCCTGTCTGATGATGGAAAACAAGTTAAACATGGTAATGTAAAGAAAAATCTCCCAGACAATCCAGAGAGATTTGATTATTGTCCTAATGTCTTAGCAAAGCAGAGTTTCTCTTCAGGAAGATTTTACTACGAGGTTCAGGTTAAAGGGAAGACTAAGTGGGATTTAGGAGTGGCCAGAGAGTCGATCAACAGGAAGGGAAAAATCACTCTGAGTCCTCAGAAAGGTTACTGGACGATATGGTTGAGGAATGAAAATGAGTACAAAGCTCTTGCTGGCCCTTCAGTCCGTCTCTCTCTGAAGTCTCAGCCTGAGAAGGTGGGGGTGTTTGTGGATTATGAGGAGGGTCTGGTCTCCTTTTATGACGTTGATGCTGCAGCTCTTATCTACTCCTTTACTGGCTGCCGCTTCACTGAGAAACTCTACCCATACTTTAGTCCTTGTAATAACAATGGTGGTAAAAACTCTGCCCCTCTGATCATCTCTCCTGTCAATCACACTGAGTAAAACAACGCTGATTAGATTCTAATTAATGTGTTTTTTCCCTGTCTTTCTGTAAATGTTTTCCTCACGTGTCACAGTGCTACTTACTACTACAACAATTTTTTTTTCACTCTGTTTTATTTGATCTAATATGGTCTAATTTATTCTAATAACTGCATTTCCTGCCTTCACGTTCAGGTTACTTTATTTACTTTATTTTTACCCGGTAGATTTGTTTTGCGGAAGATGAGTCATCCTCCCATTTTAGAAACAACACAGACAATAGATAAACATAATAAAACAATTTTAAACTATAATAAATGTACTCAGGTACTCCAATCATCACTAAATAAATAAAATTATTAAGTAAATGTTGCTTTTATGTCATCTGTGCATCTTGTTCTTGCTGATGCTAGTTTACACCGCTTTATTCTGCACTTTCGGACTATAAACCGCTGTGCAAAGGGTGGACGTCATCATTAAAAATTGTGTGGACTGGATGTTTTTTTAAAGGCAGGAGGAAAAATTCAGTTTATAAAAATACCCGTGTCTGTGTGAACTAGGCCAGAGAAGAAAAAGGGAGCACACACATTTAATTGAAAATAGGACGCCTCACACCTTGGGACAAAATCATCGATGACAGGGCCGGGGCTGGCCTCATTGTCCTGAAGCTAACTAACAATAACAGAGTCATCTGAAGAGACATCAGAACAATTGGTCTAAAATCATTAAAGGTTTTGGGGCAACTGGATGTGGGAACAGGGACTAACATATCACCCTTCCAGACTTAGTTACATGCTGTGCCTGTAAGGACTTGTGAAAAGGAAAAATGTTGTGGAATACAAGACTCAGATCTTTTGCACAAGATTTAAATAAACGACCACAGATTATGTCAGGTCCATGATTCTTATTTACTCTTACCGAGAGGAAGGCTGATTATCTTCAAGTTTGTTACTCAGTTCTTGAGTTTCATTACTTAAATCAAAGGAACCAAAGCAATCATAAAAAGGATTAAGAGCATTAGCAAACTCAGCATCTGAGTTGAAACCATCCAGGGTGACTTGACTGCTGTTCTTTGGATTCTGGAGGATGCTACAGTTTTCAGACCTGTTTTTGATATTAAGCTATTAAGTCAAAACCTGAGCTCTACTCAGAAAGTTCCTCTCAGGACTGTAGCCATCTTTTTACTGAGATCTATTGGTGGCCGTGGGGGTTGAGAAGGGAAACTGTTGGTTTCCTGCTTCCCAGAGCAGCTTCCATTTTTTTCTTCTGCACATTTAATGTGTCTGATTCTCTGCTCTCTATATCATCATCCTCTCTCTCTGTGCCTCCTCTCCTCCTCTTCCCCAGTGTGAATATGGCCGTCAGATTAGAATATAATATTTTTATAGTAGAATTTAGAGAAATAGTGTTTTCCCCAGGAAGCCAAAGTATGTCATCACTTATTTTCTGAGCTTGGTGATCTCATAGAAATACCACCACTGAACTGCACATCTGAGCTCTCCCTCTCTTGCAGCATAGTCCAGGACCTGACTGGTCTAACACAGTTTTATCTCTCACACTCTAATTTCATACAAGCCCTCTAATTTATAACAATCTGCAGCCTGAAACATGCTCTTCATAAATAACTGTAATTTCGACAGTTCCTAAACCTTAGGAGTTTCAAAATCCTGCATGAAAATACACATGATCATTATAAATCACCTGTTTTCTTAGACACACTAATTTTCCTGGTTTCCAGCATTGGAAAGGAATTAAGGCCTACTACTCTCTGTAAAAATATAAATACAGTACGCCTATTTTACAACCTCAACATCACAGAGAAGCCTTCTTGTGGCCCAGTGACAAAAGTTTTCCATCTCAGTGTGTCTTTACTTTTCCCTGTTATGTGATCAATAAGAAATCTGTCACGTAAAGAAAAGATGGTAAACAGATTGGAAAGTAGAAGAAAAGTAAAAAAACAGACTAAACAGTGAGCTTAACACTGGAGTGTTTGTGGGATTGTAGAGGGACTGTAAAGGGAGCGTTGTAACCTGTTGATCAAAGCACACAGTATGTTCTTGAAAATGTTGCACTGACCTCGTTATGTTGTCTGTTTGTAATTGTATGTTATTTTGGCTGCTGTATACTTTCACTATAGAAAAACAAGAAGAAGAAACCAAAAGTAAAAACTCATCTTGTTCCAAAGCTGTCAAGGTTTTTCTCAAGGAGGCAATAAAACCTCCCTGCAGAGGAGGAGCAAAAGGGAAAGAGGAGCAAAATTAATCAGATTTGAAAGAATATAAACCAGTTTTATTTCAACAAAAGAAGACAAAGTTCCCAAAAGTTAAATCTAACGACAGAGAACGAAGGAAGGAGCAACCGTTAACGAAGAGAGCTGCAACGTCACATTTCCTCCAATGAAAGTGAAAGTGTGTCTGAGCAACAGCAGAGCTGCAGTCGAGACAAGTCTCTCTGTTTCTCTCTAAAGAAACATTCAACTGAATCCATCAGATTTTTCTCAACAAAACAGCAGAATCTCTGCCAAACCCTGGTGAGTACACGGCCCTACAAAGCCAAAATGCTCTGACTCAGTATTTGGTCAAAGTTTAGTTAAAACCAGAATCTGACTGTTTTACATCCGTTTAACCAGATAAAAGATTTGATGCTGTAGATTTGTGTGATCCATGATAAAAACAACATGTATATTTTGCCAGAGCAGTAAAACAGAGGTAAGAACCAAACCACAGTGACCGTATTCTACAAGCTAAAAGCTAACTAGCCTTGGTGAGATGCCCTTTGGATTGTACAAAAGTACAGAATATATATGGTTTTATGGGTTTTTCTCTCTCAACTTCCTGTTTCTGCAGAGTCCTTACTGCTGTCTGCCTTTGTAAAGCAGTACAGCTGATAATATTTTGGCCTACTGTGTCTCAACAGCTGGTATCACATAAAAACTATATATAGCGCTATACTTAGACAGGAAGTTCCACTCAGGCCTGAAATCTTTTTTAACTGAGGTCCATCTGTGAATGTTCTTCAATGGGCATGTCCGTGGCGTGGCTTCAAAGATCAACGGTACGCCATTAAACAGGAAGTTATTAAAACTTTAGTGTACATGCTCCGATCTCTACCAAACTTTACATGGTCGATAATAGTCCCGTCCTGAACACATCTACATGAAAATATTCAGTCAACACCATAGCGCCACCCACTGGTAACAGAGAGTAAGCTGTTTCTGACAAAACATGGTCGCCTCACACCTCGACGCTTTACACGTGCGAGGGCCCGCCCAACGCTGCTTGCAGCTTTAATTAGGGCCAGGGCACGAACCATTCGAGGTCCCTATTGAAACTGCAGGGATTTCTTTCTTTCTTTTTTCTGCAAAGTAACCTCTATTTGGGGGCTTAGACCTACTTGAAAACTCCCCAAACTTTGCACAAAATTCAGGAGTGGTGAAAAAACTTTCAGGCATGGGCGTGGCAAAATAGCTCGCTAGCGCCCCCTACAGAGCAGCCCCCGGACTAAGTTTCACCTGCGTGTACGACATTTCTGTGGTATGTGTATCACGTCCAGACATACAAAAAAGCCTCTTGGAGCCACTGCCTAAGCCCAACAGGAAGTCTGCCATTTTGGATTTTATGGTCATTTTTGGAACACTTTGTACTTTAACAAACTCCTCCGAGGGAATCAATCCAATCGACTTTAAGTTTTCGATGTTCAGTCTAAACCCACTGATGATTAAAAGTCGTACAAACGGTTATTACCAAAGTTCCATGCTTCGCCATGACACAGGAAGTTGTCGTAACTCAACTGTATATGCTCAGATCTCTACCAAATTTTACACGTTTATTAAGAGTCCCGCCCTGAACACATGTACCAACATTCACCCACAGTCATAGCGCCACCTTCTGGCAACAGGAAGTGACCTTCAGCAGCCCAACCACACATTTCACCTACATGTATGAAATTTCTGTGGCACATGTATCATGTTCAGATGTCTCAAAAAGCCTCCTGGAGTGATGCCCGACACCCAACAGAAAGTCGTCCTTTTTGAATCTTATGGTCATTTTTGGATGATTTACAGGCTCCGTACTTTAACAAACTCCTCATACAGAATTAGTCCGACCGACTTCAGATTTTTGCTGTGCAGTCTAAAGACACTGATGATTAAAAGTTGTACAAACGGTGAGTTTTCGTGGAATTAAAATGGGAAGTTGTTGTAACTTCAGTGTACATGCTCACATCTCCACCAAATTTGGAATGTACTAAAAAAGTCCTGCCTTGAACAAATCCACATGCCAATATTCACTCAACGTCACAGCGCCACCTGCTGGCAACAGGAAATGACATGTTTTATGCTTTAATGTACTACTCCTAGCAGGTTGGATATATCAAATTCAAAACTTTCCCAGACAACCAATAACGCATTGATGAAGCCATGTTGTAAAACTCATGACTTTGCAGTAAATGGTGTGCCGGTGGTGTGGCGGCAAAGTTAAACTCTTTGCCATGATGCAGGAAGTAGTTGTAACTTGACTGTTCATGCTCACATCGATTGAAACGAGTCCTGCCCTAAACACATGTACAAGACAACATTCACCCATAGTCATAGCGCCACCTACTGGCAACAGTAAGTGATCTTCAATGAAGAAGCCCCCATGGCACATGTATCATGCCCAAATGTGCAAAAAAGCCTCTTGGAGCGATGCCCTAAACACAACAGAAAGTTGACCATTTTGAATCTTATGGTCATTTTTGGATGATTTACAGGCTCCGTACTTTAACAAACTCCTCATACAGAATTAGTCCGACCGACTTCAGATTTTTGCTGTGCAGTCTAAAGACATTGATGATTAAAAGTTGTACAAATGGTAAGTTTTCGTGAAACGACGTGCCCGTGGCGTGGCATCCAAAATCAATGATTCGCCATGAAAGAGGAAGTTGTTTCAACTTCAGTGTACATGCTCACATCTGTACCAAATGTTACGTGCTTGATAACAGTCCTGCCCCGAACACAACTACATGTTCATTTATAGTCGTATATTGTGAAGAACACGTTTGTTCAGCGTCCGAAGCCCATGGCAAATTAACAGCCACACTGGCAGAGCTCCAGAATATGCAACGTGGCCGCCTCACACCTCGACGTGCTACATGCGAGGGCCCGACCAACGCTGCTTGCAGCTTTAATTTTAGTTTGTGTTCATTGAACTTGGAACTTGATCATCAATGGCCTGAAATCAATATTGCAGGCTGCACCAACGTTTAAGTGTGAGTTTGGCAGCATTTACATCAATATCAACACCAACACCACCTGCTGCTCTTTCTCTCTCTCCACCTGTTGCAGTAGGTTCTGTTTATTTTGTCTCTTTGACTTATATTACTTCATCATTGGTTGATTTTATGAATCAAAACATAGGTAATAGTTTTGTTTTTCCTTACTTGTTGTCCTCAGAGTGTGGATGTGTCTGCTGCCAGCTGTCTGCTGACTGAAGATCAGTTTCTGTGCTCCATCTGTCTGGATGTGTTCACTGATCCAGTCAGCACACCATGTGGACACAACTTCTGTAAAACCTGCATCACTGAACACTGGAATATTAATGTCCTGTATCAGTGTCCCAACTGTAAAAAGGTTTTCAACACAAAACCTGAGCTGCAGGTCAACACTTTCATCTCTGAGATGGCTGCTCAGTTCAGACAGTCAGCTCAACAGAAAGCCAGCATCAGCAGCTCAGAGCAACAAGCTGCCAAACCAGGAGAAGTTCCCTGTGACGTCTGCACTGGAACCAAACTGAAGGCCCTGAAGTCCTGCCTGGTGTGTCTGGCCTCCTACTGTGTGACTCACCTGGAGCCTCATCTGACAGCTTCACGCCTGAAAAGACATCAGCTGATCGACCCTGTGGAGAACCTGGAAGGTAGGATGTGTAAGAAGCACAATAAACTGCTGGAGCTATTCTGTAAGACCGACCAGATGTGTGTCTGCATGCCCTGCATATATTCAGACCACAAGACACATGATGTTGTTCCTCTGAAAGAAGGATATGAAGGAAAGAAGGCCGAGCTGGGGAAGACAGAGGCTGAAACTCAGCAGATGATCCAGAAGAGACGACTGAAGATTCAGGAGATCAAACGCTCGGTGGAGCTCAGTAAGGTTTATGCAGACAGAGAGATAGCAGGTGGTGTTCAGGTCTTCAGCGCTCTGAAGGAGTCTGTTGAGAGAAGCCAGGCCGAGTTCATCGACACGATCAAAGAGAAGCAGAGAAAGACAGAGAAACAGGCTGAAGGCTTCATCAAAGAGCTGGAACAGGAAATCTCTGAGCTGAAGAAGAGAAGCTCTGAGGTGGAGCAGCTCTCACGCTCTGAAGACCACCTCCACCTCCTCCAAAGACTCCTGTCCCTGAACGCTGCTCCACCCACCAAGGACTGGACAAAAGTCAGCGTTTGTCCACCTTCACATGAGGGGACTGTGAGGAGAGCTGTGAATCAGCTGGAGGAGACGCTCAGTGAACTGATGAAGAAGCTGCTTGAGGCCGAGCTGAAGAGGGTCCAGCAGTATGCAGTGGATGTGACACTCGATCCTGATATTGTACATCCCAGACCTGCACAATCTAATGATAAACAACAGGCAAATCAAGGTAGTGACTGCAGATGTGTCTTATCAAAGCAGGGTTTCACTTCGGGAAAATTTTACTTCGCTGTTCATGTTGAAAAGTGGTCTACGTGGACTTTAGGAGTGGCCATAAAGTTGGCCAACATGAAAGAAAAAATCACACTGGGTGCCACTAATGGTTACTGGACTGTATGCCATAAGTGGCGTGGTGGGTTCTTTGCTCCTGCAGACCCTTCAATCTGTTTCTCTCCGAAGTCTCAGCCTGAGAAGGTGGGGGTGTTTGTGGATTATGAGGAGGGTCTGGTCTCCTTTTATGACGTTGATGCTGCAGCTCATATCTACTCCTTTACTGGCTGCCGCTTCACTGAGAAACTCTACCCGTACTTTAGTCCCTGTCCGAATGATGGTGGTAAAATCCACAACACTGATTTGTGTGTAGTGCAATGAGTGCTTTTTTTTTTTTACTATTAAGTAGAAACTGCCTTCAAAACGGCCAAAGCTGTACAAAAATGTAATGAAAAGGTGAAGCTTTTGCCAAAGTCATTATAAGCCTAGGTGGTAATTCAAAACCTTGATGTAAGTATGTAGGATATAGTGTTTTGTTACATGCTTTTCTTCTTTTCTTTTAATAAATAAAACCAAATCTTGGATGTTTGTAGGTCAGAAGACCTTACGTATGTAAGAACTAGCAGCTGTTATCAATGCTAAACTACAAAACAACCTCGAACAGCAGATGTTGTTTGTAATGTTTCGACAACCAACTCATACCAAATGAGCCAAAAGCTGCTCCACCCACCAAGGACTGGACAGAAGTCAGCGTCCGTCCACCTTCATATGAGGGGACTGTGAGGAGAGCTGTGAATCAGCTGGAGGAGACGCTCAGTAAACAGATGAAGAAGCTGTTTGAGGCCGAGCTGAAGAGGGTCCAGCAGTATGCAGTGGATGTGACACTCGATCCTGATACAACACATCCCTTGCTCATCTTCTGATGATGGAAAACAAGTAAACTGTGGTGATAATGAATACAAAGCTCTTGCTGTATATTTGTTGCTGATGTACGGTATATAACTTTAATGAACAAGACTAAACCATCAGAATACAATGTCATCAGGAATAAGAACATTTGCATGCTTTTCTCGGTTTTTCTTTTTAAATAAACAAAAGCCTGATTAAGTTATTTTGTTTTTGATTGATATTAAAGCTGAAAAACAGCTGATGGTGTTTCTAATGAGACCAAATCATGTGATCAGCCATTTTCAGACATGACTTGACGTGACTACCTAACCCCATCACATCTGAGATGGTCCCTGTGTAAGATAATGTGGTGTTATTTAAGGTTTGAGTTGTACAGGGTTTGCCCAGTACATCTGGGGGCCCTAAGCAGGATCATTTTGGGGGCCCTGCCTCGCAGTTGATTGACCACCAGAACCAAAACCAGCTACTATATGCAATTATAATTTATTTTTTTACAGTATTGTTTTTAGATCAAGGTAATAATTTGGCACAGAATGAAAAACTACGTACAAACAATTTCAGTACAACACAAATCACTACTGCACACAAGAAATGTAATGGGCCAGTGGGGAGGACACTGCAGCTGTAAGATTCAAAAGGTTCAATCAGCAGCATTTTTAAATAAAAACCTTACTTGGTCAGACAGATTTGATGACCACTGACTAGCATCACTTGGTGGAGGTGGAGCAGAGTTCCTAGAAACAGAGAAGGTCAGTTGACATTCATCAGCAGAACCACTGGAGCTGTGGGGTCAAATAAGTTGGAACATTTTTAGTTACTGTATCACTAGAACCTGTCAGACTTAGTTTAAAGCAGAATTGTAATCTAAATCATAGGATCAATTTATTGTACCAAAGACAAATTATTAATTTACGATCAATTCTATCAATTCACATTAAGTTAGCACTTTTTACATGTCAGAACACAGGCTATGTGTTTAACTGACTCAAAAAACTGTCCACTCCTCTCCTGCTGCTGCAGTGACCAAGAAAGCAGACACTGTTTCTGTGCAACTTACAGCTGATCAATAATTAATTTCTAACCAACTCAGCCTTGATTCTCTTCTGCAGTCTGAGATGTTTTTCATATATTTTTGTGTCTTAGTGGGTTAAAATGAAAAATGACTTGGCACTTGGATCCATTTAGACTTGACTTGAGTCCTGAAAGAAAAACTATCAAGTCTCAAGTTCTGACCTGGTAAAATCCTCGAACAAAGAAAAATTATTAAGACAGCGACAGGCAGGACTTGAATATTAAATTATCAAGCGTTTGCATTGAAATGAATTCATCTCAGCTACAATATGCTCAGAAAAATATAACAGATTTACCTCTAACTCACTCTAAACTCATACAAGCCCTCTAGTGGAGGTCATAACAAACTGCAACCTGAAACAAATAACTGTAATTTAGATATACAAAAGTCTAAACTTTAGGAGTTTTAGTTTCAAAATCCTGCATGAAAATACAAGTAGTCTTTATAGATCAACTGTTTGTGAAAATGAAAATACAGTAGGCTTTTGCCAGTTTCTTTACTTTTCCCTGTTATGTGATCAATAAGAAATCTGTCACGTAAAGAAAAGATGGTAAACAGATTGGAAAGTAGAAGAAAAGTAAAAAAACAGACTAAACAGTGAGCTTAACACTGGAGTGTAGCCTGTTGATCAAAGCACACAGTATGTTCTTGAAAATGCTGCACTGACCACTTGTTATGTTGTCTGTTTGTAATTGTATGTTATTTTGGCTGCTGTGTACTTTCACTATAGAAAAACAAGAAGAAACAAAAAGTAAAAACTCATCTTGTTCCAAAGCTTTTCTCAAGGAGGCAATAAAACCTCCCTGCAGAGGAGGAACACGGCCTCGGGCCCACGGTTCTCTCCAATTACAAAAGGGCCCACCATGGACCCAATCTGTCTGACTGAACATGCAGCCTTGTTGTGTAGTTGAATATTTTGAATACAGTTTCTTTGTCTTGATTGTGGTAAAAAAAAAAGTAAGACCCACGTAGGCCTGTGTGTCTTCTGCAGAGGCGAGCCCACACCACTCCACAATATTCAGAGAAAAATTCAGATTAAAGTTGTACACACAAATCAGGAGGGTGAACACAAAGAGGCTGCTGTTCCTGCAGGTCAGAGGAGAGAAAAAGTCACGCATTAAAGATCCACAGTGCCTGCAGCATACCGGACAAGCCGAGGATCTAGCTGTAAAAACTAAACTAACAAAGCATTATTTATGTACATTAATTAATCAGCATTGAAAATAACCATTAAAATCAGCAGGGGAAGGGCCTAGAAACGGCTGTTTCTCTCTCTCTCCCTTACATGTCCCTTCTGTCTGTGGATCAGTGCTACAAGGGGTGGAAATGTAATTAGCACCGACAGTTAGCCTATATTTACAACCTTGAAAAAGCAAGCAGGTGAAGAAACCAAACTAAATGATGATGATCTGACTTGTGCCGTGCTGAGACGCACTGAGTCGCGCTGAGTCACACACTCACACTTGCCAGCATACAGTGCATCTACTGGCAGCTATTTGTGGGGCTTGCAGATTTTGATAGTCAGTCAGCCAATCAAAACTTACAGACTCTGGGTCCAAATCTTACCCACAACAATATATAGGCCTACATGCCCAAATTCATACATACAAATAAAAAACACTAATAATAAACCATGGTTAAGACAACTAAAAGAAAAGAGAAGAATTAAAATGACTTAGGGACACAGAAGGTACCAGAATCAACATGTAACCCTGATAAACTGCAAAGTGAATTAGAATAGGTAATATTGCTTTGGGATTTTATTTCCATAAGGGGGCACCATTAGCGGATATAGAACTATTCCCCTGTTTTCTGAGAGAGGAAGAAAATGGGGTACAGACAGAGAAAAACAGACTGAGACCAGAGGAGAGCAGATGAACCACGGTACAAAAGTTGAGAGCGAGAAAATTACTATTAAGCCAATTTATTGTACTGAGATTAACATACTTTGAGTTAGCCAATCCTTTAAGTCACTGCAAGTCCTGGGAGGATCGTTATTTGTTGTTTTGAAGATTGTTTGCTAGCTAACGTTAATGGTGTTAGCTTTCTACTGTTGGCATGTTGCTACAGGAGGAGAGCTCACAACACAGATTCTACGGTTTACTTTTAACTTGATACAAGACAAGAAAAAAAAAAAAAACAATCACAGATTTATGTTGTGCAGTTAATAGCATAAAAGCTAGTCTAAAAACTTTGCACTTCTAGACAAATTAGTTGAAGTTTGTTTTGAATGTCATATGTTTTAATTGCTTAATCTAACAGTGTGACATTGTTCCATATGAGTGCGATAGTGGGTTGCAGCTTTTGGTTATGCTGTAAATTGTCAATTTACCGTATATTATGTAAAAGATTAGAGAACAGGACGATAGAGATTAACTAAGCCCTTGACCTGCCATATGAAGGTTGTTTTTTTGTGATTTCCAAACGAAAGAGAGAAACACATGCATGCAAGCACTAGCCAGACAGTGACTACAGCAGGACAACGTGGAGAGGCAACAGGACGTCCAGTCTCCCATCATCCATCCTGTTCTGTCATCCAGATTTGATTCTTCCATTGGATTCTCCTTCACGTGGATCTCGGATAAGCAAAACAAAACAAAAGAGGCTTCTAACATTTAAAAAAATCAAACTACCCAGGTAGATGTGGACAGTAAAATATTTTTCTTGAATTGAACTGAACAAAACAGGGGACAGACTAGAGTGTCTTATTGTGTTCATTTATGTCTGTGAAATAAATGCCATTGTTATGAGAGTATTCTATCAGCTATCATTCATGTCTAAAGCTGTTAAGAACATATTAAGCCCTGGAGCAGGCTAAAAAGCATGGCCACGGACGGAGGATAGTAAACCACCTGTAAAGCCCTAGTTGGACCCGGTGATTGAGCCCAGCCTCTGTGTTCAATTCATCTGCTAATAAAGAAAACATACTGCTCGGAAATAACCTATGACTTCATAATCCTGGAGAATATCCAAGTTTTTGTTTTCGAAAATTTACGATTCTAATCTGAGAATTTTTTCTCGGTATATTACCCCTCCCCTGGCTCTGTATTTCTATTTCATATACAGTATCATGCATTTCCCCTGATTAATAGGTCAAAACATGGTAGCTCCGCTTTTATCTTGTGAAGCTGAAAAGAGCATCAAAAACAGATCTACAACTGAAAAGAGCAGCAATAAATACTAGTAAGAGCTCATAGTACATATCACATCAATAGGGTAGATACCTAGGGAAGGAAGTAAGAGTTAAAAAAAAGTGCAATCAATACAAATCATTTTAGTGGATAGAAGAAGAAGAGCACAGGAAGTGCATATTAGAGGTTAGGAGTTAGAGGTGTTATCAGAGGATGAGTTTTCAAGAGCTTCTTGAAGTTAGATGTAAATTTTAACCGGTCCTGTGCAGATTTTTGCGTGCATGCCGTGCTGCCGACAACTGCACTCATTTCACGGTTCTTCGCTGGTCTATTTCAAGTAGCTGGCTATTTAAATACAATAAAATATTCTTTCTGTGGTTAATCAACGGTGATAAATTATCCGAAAGTCCCGCGAGGTGCAGACAACTCAGCACAACACCAGTGAAGCTGGGGTTCCATCTCTTGAGCAAGTGTTCCACTACACACATACTGTACATGCTGCGCCTACACATGCGCACTGATCCCCCAAGTTTAGGGTTACAATTTTGGATTTATTTATGCACTTTAAAAACATTTATTGAAAGTTTTTTTCTTTTTACATGTTTATTTAAATTTGAATCAGGATCCGCCCATCAAAACATTGAATCTTCGACTATTCGGGGTTAGCCCATTTACACACCAACCACGTCAAGGCCCCCGCAAGTCGCAAAGGCAAACCAGTATAATAACCACACAGCCCCGAGGCTTTGATGGGAAATGCCAAGCACTCGCTCACCAAAGAAGGGGCTGGCTGCCACCTTTTGACGGTAGAACCTAGTGAACGTGGACTTAGACGATCATGTGGCTGCTGCTCATTAAGCCGAAAGGGAGGCTCCCCGCCACAAGGCCCATGAGGCAGCAATGCCACGGGTTGAGTGTGCTTGCACCCCGTGCGGGACAGGCACCCCTGAAAAAACATACGCCGCAGGGTTACGGCCGACTTCCCTGCCTCCAGCTGGGTCTGCAGGAACGACAGGATGTCCTGTGCCCTCACCGAGTAAGGATCCACCTGTCGAGTTCCGCACCAGGTGGCAAACACCCCGCAGCAGTAAGCGTAGTTGGGCCGCGCCTCTTGCATTGTTCTCACCACAGGCTCTGGCAAGCCTAGGGCCCGGCTTCAGGGTCCAGGCCACCAGCCTGAGTCCTGCTGGGAAGGGGTGGAACGGGCTACCGCCTGCCTTTGACAGCAGGTCCCTCCTGTGCAGGAGCTCCCACGGCGTCCCGAGGGACAGGCTCACTGAGAACCATGTCATTTGAGGCCACCAGAATCAGCCTCACCACATCCACCCACAGTCTGCGGAGAAGATGCTGGAGGAGAGTGAAGGGAGGAAAGGCGTAAAGCAGTCCTTGGGGCCACAGGTGGGCCAGAGCATCCCAGCCCAAAGGTGGATTGTCGTTCTTCAGGGAGAAGAAGAGTTGACAAAGAGCCGATTGTATGCACACGAACAGGTCGGCTTGCCGAAGTTGTGCCATATCTCCTCCACCACCTGGGTGGGGTCCCCCTCTCGACATGATGTCCGCTGCTGAGTTCAGCGGCCCTGACACATGCACCGCTCTGAGAGAGCAGAAGCGCGGGGGGGGGGGTTGCCAGTTTGCAGAGGGCAGGGGAGCAGATGTCTTTTAAGGGTTTTAATCTTTGCAAAGGGTCAGACAGACATACAGAGTGCAAACAGTCTGCAGAATGTAAGACAAAAAGCCAGTGAAGAAACAGGTGACTTTATACTGTTAAAGGTATTACGCAGCTATCTTAGGTAGGAAGGGAGTAGGGTACAACTGCCCTGAGCTGAAGGCCTGGAAACATCATGGGAACCTCTACCTAACTGCAACGAAATAAAATGATCAAAAACCACACAGTGAAACATTGGTCTATAATGATGAAGCATGTAGGGTGAAACAGTAAACTGAGTAAAATATGAAATTTCCATCACAAAAGTCAGCTGCAGTCGTCTCAAAGGCACCTAATAAACTCTTAAACTCTCACTACACTTTAAGATTTTCAAAATCATGTGGAAATAAAAGTGATCCTTATAAATCACTTGTTTTCTTAGACACATTGGGTTTTTTTTTAGCTGTTGAAAGTAATGAAGGCCTACTGCTCTATGTAACTGAGGATCCTTTTCTAAAATACACTATTTTAAAACTCAACATCACAGAGAAGCCTGCTTGTGGCCCAGTGACAAACGTTTTCCATCTCAGTGTTTCTTTACTTTTCCCTGTAATGTGATCAGTAAGAAATCTGTCACAAAAAGAAAAGATGGAACAGTTTGGAAAGCAGAAAGAAAGTGAAATTACAGGCTATACAGAAAGCTGAACACTGGAGTGTTTGTGGAATTGCACAGGGAGCGTTATAGCCTGTTGATCAAAATTTTGTTGTAGATCAAAAGATACAGTATTGTTCTTGAAAATGTTGCACTGACGTCTTTTGTTATGTTGTCTGTTTGCAATTGTAAGTTCTTTTGGCTGCTGTATACTTCCACTATAGAAAAACAAGAAGAAACAAAAAGTAAAAACTCATCTTGTTCCAAAGCTGTGTCATGGTATTTCCCAAGGAGTCAATAAAACCTCACATCTGGAGCTACACTGAGAGAAGGAACAACAGTGAAAGAGCAGAGCTGCAACGTCACATTTCCTCAAATCAAAGTCAAAGTTTGTCTGAGCGACAGCACAGCTGCAGTCGAGACAAGTCTTTCTGTTTCTCTCTACAGAAACTGAGAGACTTGTGTTTCTAATGACACCAAATTGTGCGATTAAAAACACCATCAGCTGTTCTCAGACGTGACTCGAGCTGACGAGCTCCAATCCCCCATCACATCTGAGACAGTCTGCAGTGGAAGATAATATGGTGTTATTTAAGGTTTGAGTTGTGTTTGAGCAGCTGATATGAACTCTAAACCAGAGCTACTAGTTTGTAGAGAATAAGTGACACCTGAGGACGCCCTCTAGTGGAGTTCATAACATACTGCAGCCTGTGGCCACATGAGGACGCGCTCTGAGTAAATAACTACACAGTCTGATGCTGCAGCAGATTACATGACTGCAGGAGCTCAATGAGATCCAAGTGTGTTTTGATGTTTTTTATTCTCATTCTAAAATCAGCAACTTTACTTTCACTTAAGATGACTTCCTCAAAGAATTGTACCTCAACTCCTTTTAAAAAGGGTCAAGCTCAGAGAATCCCTGCTGTAAATCTGCAGTAAATATTGGACTTTTTACCGCACTACATCTGTCTAACAACTTGCATTTTGTTACAATTCTGAAATAATTGTAAACCCATAGAGGGACTTCATGTAATCCATCCTCTCATCTGATGACATGACAACCAAACAACTTAAGATACAACACATAGAAAGACTCACTGGGAGAAAGCTTCACACAACATGCTGGAAACTCAGGTAAACAGCTAAAAACAAACTGCTCCACATTTGCTTTGCACCTTTACATCATTTCTTGCAGGCAGCACTTTGACATAATACTGGTGGTTCACAGGATAGTAATATGGATCACATTAGTATTTTATAGTATTTTGCACTGGATAATGTTACCAACCGCTTGGCGTTAGCCGGCGAGCTAATGTTACCTAACTTGAGCCAACTAAAGCACAACATCAAAATATGTTTCACATGTTTTGCAATAATTTTAGTTTACCTGACCAACAGGATGAAAGACAATTCTGTTTGGGTTTTGTCAGTTTCAAAACAATGATCGATCTGATTCTGGTTTTGGCCTGATGGGTTTCAGCACATAAAACTTTGTTGTTGGTTTTTATCCTTATGTGAAATTTGTGTTGTGCTGGGAGCCGATCATTTTATGGTGTTAGGTGACTGCATTTTGTTAGCTGTGGTGTTGTTACCATAGAAGGCAAGAGGCTTGGGAGCGTGCATGTGGAGAACCCAACCTGATTCCTTCACGTAAGAAGCACAATAGTTGCTGCTCCAAGCAACAGAGACAACAGGTTTGCAGTTCATTTCTGAGTCCTAATCTCAATGTCCACACAGACTCACAGACTTTGAAGCATGTTCCTGGTTAGTCCATGAGTGCCTAGGCCTGTCCCACTGTCAAATCATATATTCACTTTATAAAATAAGTTCCAGTGTTTAAGATTAGATAGATTAAACTACCAAAAGTACATGAAGGAGTTAAAACCATCTCTGCCCCCACCAATGACAACAATAAAGTACCGCTTACATAGATCAGTAAAATAAAAACGATCAATTCTATAATAGTAAAACACTGACAGTAGCCACTCTGCATCAGTACTTTTACTTTTAATACTTTAAGTACATTTTGTTGCCAATACTTCTGTACTTTTACTTACATGAAATTTTGAACACAGGACTTTTACTTGTAATGGAGTATTTTTATACTGTGGTACTGCTACTTTTACTTCAGTAAATGAGTTGAATCCTTCTTCCATCGCTGGTTACTGCCTGTAAATATTTAGTGAACACATTTCTACAAAGGAGCAGCTGGTTGGAGGAATGTTTTCATTTAGTGACGAATAAACCTGCAGGAGGATGAGTGTGATCAGCTGCTGCAACTGGCTGCTGTCACTGTTGTTTTAACTTTTCACTCTGAAGCCGTTTAACAGTCGTTCGCTGCTTCAGAGTCCAAAATCATCAACAGTTCACTTCATCATGTGTTCATCAGTTCATATTGTTTGCTGACAGTCGGAGAACTCAGCACTGACCTTTGGGTGGTAGGAGTGGCACGACTCCGGCCGTCGCTGTACCTTCTGGGATTTCATCCTGTTGCACATCACCGTGGGGTTATGTTCACTGCCATTAAGGAAAACAGACCACTTGTTGCTGAGGACCATTGTTTGAACATTTTTTGAAAACAGCCATTATATTATACCTGAGTTTTGGAGCTGATAACAACATTAGTTTAGACTTCAAGGAATATAAACCAGTTTCATTTAAAAAAAGAAGACAAAGTTCCCAAAAGTTGTATATAACTTTTACATGAAATGTGTCTAAATAAAATACAGGAACTATCTGATCAAAGAATAAGTAAACAAGACTACAGATTTTAATTTTTATCTTCCAGTATTTGAAAGTGATACTCTTCTACAGACGGTCATTCCTAAGGTGTGCTGGAGTTACACGAGCATTGTGCGGTGCAGTAAGAGGTGTGTGAACGCACTGCAGGCCTTTATGTGAAGAATTTATTGTTACAGAAACTATCAGCAGCAAACACTCAACATGAAATGTGATTAGTCAGGATTGTGTCCCCACTGTAGTAGTCTGGTTGTTTTTATCCAGCAGGAGTGGTGTTATTGTTGTCTGTCAGTAAGTGAAGGATATATTTGATCTCTTATGCTCCAGCAGGATTGGTCCATACTGACAAGAACAGCCACAGTCCTGAGGCCTGAGTCACAACCAGAACATCCTGAAACACAGAGAACAAGTTACAGCCAATCAATCAATCAATCAACAAACTCCCTCATTTACACTGAAGGGAGGAGCAACAGTGAAAGTGGAAAGCTGCAACGTCACGTTTCTTCAAATCAAAGTGTGTCTGAGTGACAGCAGAGCTGTAGTCAAGACAAGTCTCTCTGTTTCTCTCTAAAGAAACATTCAACTGAATCCATCAGGTTTTTCCTCAACAAAACCCAGCAGAATCTCTGCCAAACCCTGGTGAGTACACGGCCCTACAAAGCCAAAATGCACTGACTCAGTTTTTGGTCAAAATTTAGTTCAAACCAGAATCTGACTGTTTTACATCTGTTTTACCAGATAAAAGATATGATGTCAGAGATTTATGTTAATTTTGTTGCTGTTAAAAGACAGTAAATATTATCAGCTGTACTTGTTTGGCAGAGACTCTGCTGTGTTGTTAAGTCAGTTTAACTTTTCTTTACAAGATAGACAGAGACTTGTCTCGACTGCAGGTCTGCTGTCACTCAGAAGAATGTTTTGTTTCATCTTGAGGAATGTGAAAGTTAAAATGTCATGCTTTTCCAGGGCTGCTCCACCTCTTTCTGCTATGCAGGTGAGGCTTTGTTCCCTTCAGGTTTGACCTGATTAGTGACCTTCCTTTGGCACAAGGTGAATTTAGTCTGGAGCAAAGCACTTAAAGCTTGTAAGGGCACCTTGTGGTTTCCTGAGACTTTTTACCGAGTTTTATACAGTATGTCACAAAAGTGACTACACCCCTCACATCTTTGTAAAATATTTGATTATATCTCTTCATGTGACAGCACTGAAGAAAAATAACACATCACACAGCCATTCATGTGTAAACCGTTGGCATCAAAAGTGACTACACCCTTAAGTGAAAATGTGCAAATTGGGCCCAATTAGCCATTTTCCCTCCCCGGTGTCATATGAGTCGTTAGTGTTACAAGGTCTCAGGTGTGAATGGGGAGCAGGTGTGTTGTGGTGGTGTCGCTCTCACACTCCCTCATACTGCTCACTGGAAGTTCAACATGGCATCTCATGGCAAAGAACTCTGAGGATTGAAAAAAAGAATTGTTGCTCTACATAAAGACGGCCCAGGCTTTAAGAAGATTGCAAAGGTTCCACTCAGAACAGGCCTCGCCATGGTCGACCAAAGAAGTTGAGTACAGGTGCTCAGCGTCATATCCAGAGGTTGTCTTTGGGAAATAGACATATGAGTGCTGCCAGCATTGCTGCAGCTCTGCCAGAGCTACGGTGAGTAGCTCCTGTTAGCTCTTACACTCTGTGTTCCCGGTGAGTTGGTCTTTTGTCACGTCAATTACATGACTTAAATAATAATAAAAATAGCCATCATCACTTTTCCTCTTCGGAGACCAGACTTGCTAACCCTCCTGTTTTTCACTGCCCTCTCCAGGCTCAGCAGCATGTTTAATGTTACGGTAACCTAGTGTTTGAGGCTATGCTGTTGACAGACATGCTTGTAAATTTATTTCTGAAACAGTTTTGCAGTTCTAGCAACCGGTCCTCTCATTTCTCTCATTTATTACTTCTAAATATTTTCTAACAACAGATAACACTGCCTGTTGCTAAATTAGCCACAAAGCTAATGCTGTGTTTATCACTATGGTTTATCAGTGGATGAGCGCGAACATTAATGAGCGATTAAACTGTAGAGTCTGTAGTTACAGTCGGCGTGTCAGAAATGATTAAACCAGAGGGGACTTGTGAATAAACGTGAGCTGAACAAGCATCTAGAACACAGTTGCAGGTCCTTGTTGTTTACGGTCATGTAGTATTAGATTAATTCCAGGGCAGCGTTTCCTCTGCGTCATAGAGCCAAAAGTGTGGAAATCATTTCTGCAGCATTGGATAGAATTAACAGAGTGCTGGTGATAAACTAGATGTAGAAAGTAGTCATCATGTATGCAAAGTAATAACTATTGCATCGCATCTTCCTCTTCACAATACCCCATAGATTTTCTATAGGGTTAAGGTCAGGCCAGTTTGCTGGCCAATGAAGAACAGGGATACCATGGTCCTTAAACCAGGTACTGGTAGCTTTGGCACTGTGCGCAGGTGCCAAGTCCTCATTCAAAATGAAGTCTGCATCTCCATAAAGTTGGTCAGCAGCAGGAAGCATGAAGTGCTCTAAAACTTCCTGGTAGAAGGCTGCGTTGACCTTGGACCTCAGAAAACACAATGGACCAACACCAGCAGATGACATGGCACCCCAAACCATCATTGACTGTGGAAACACTGGACTTCAAGCAACGTGGATTCTGTGCCTCTCCTCTCCTCCTCCAGACTCTGGGACCTTGATTTCCAAAGGAAATGCAAAATTTACTTTCATCATAGAACATAACTTTGGACCACTCAGCAGCAGTCCAGTCCTTTTTGTCTTTAGCCCAGGCGAGACGCTTCTGACACTGTGTCTTGTTCAAGAGTGGCTTGACACAAGGAATGCGACAGCTGAAACCCATGTCTTGCATACGTCTGTGCGTGGTGGTTCTTGAAGCACTGACTCCAGCTGCAGTCCACTCTTTGGGAATCTCCCCCACATTTTTAAATGGGTTTTGTTTCACAATCCTCTCCAGGGTGCGGTTATCCCTATTGCTTATACGCTTTTTTTTTTACCACATCTTTTCCTTCCCTTCGCCTCTCTATTAATGTGCTTGGACACAGAGCTCTGTGAACAGCCAGCCTCTTTAGCAATGACCTTTTGTGTCTTGCCCTCCTTGTGCAAGGTGTCATGGTCATCTTTTGGACAGCTGTCAAGTCAGCATAAACTGCATTATGTAATGGTATCTTGCTGAGGTCTCAACATAACAAATGTTAGGAAAATTTTTTCTTTATGTTGTGCGTTTCTTAAAATAAGGGGGGAAAAGAACATCGGCCGATATCGGCTATTAAAATCCTTAATTATTCAAATTGGTATCAGAGTTAAAAATCCCATATCGGTCGGTTTTAATGATAACAATCCCAACGCCACCAAGACAACCTCTGCCTCGCTAAAGAAGCTGAGGGTAAAGGTGATGGACTGGACAAGCATGTCTCCAGACCTAAACCCTATTGAGCATCTGTGTAGCATCCTCAAACAAAAGGTGGAGGAGCGAAAGGTCTCTAACATCCACCAGCTCTAAGAAGTCATCATGGACGAGTGGACGAGGACTCCAGAGGTAGCCTGTGAAGCTCTGGTGAACTCCATGCACAAGAGGGTTATTGCTGTGCTGGAAAATATTGGTGGCCACAAAAAAAATATTGACACTTTGGACATTTTCACTTAGGGGTGTACTCACTTTTTTTTTTTCCACGTTTAGACATAATGGCTGTGTGATGTGTTATTGTACACTCATTACTTTACATTGTAGTAAAGTGACATTTCTTCAGTGTTGTCACATGAATAGATAATAAAATATTTACAAAAATGTGAGGGGTGTAGTCACTTGTCACATACTGTATGTATTTTTCTTATATTGGAGTCTACAGCATGCTCTAACAGTCAAACAACAAAACAAGAGGTCAATTCAACACATGTGAGAACATACTGTAGTATCTTCAGCAAGGTGCAGTTGACCTTGATTTCATCCCAAGTTTGTTTTTCTCACACTTTTTATCCTCAGAGTGTGGATATGTCTGCTGCCAGCTGTCTGCTGACTGAAGATCAGTTTCTGTGCTCCATCTGTCTGGATGTGTTCACTGATCCAGTCAGCACACCATGTGGACACAACTTCTGTAAAACCTGCATCACTGAACACTGGAATATTAATGTCCCGTGTCAGTGTCCCAACTGTAAAAAGGTTTTCTACACAAAACCTGAGTTGCAGGTCAACACTTTCATCTCTGAGATGGCTGCTCAGTTCAGACAGTCAGCTCAACAGAAAACCAGCAGCAGCAGCTCAGAGCAACAAGCTGCCAAACCAGGAGAAGTTCCCTGTGACGTCTGCACTGGAACCAAACTGAAGGCCCTGAAGTCCTGCCTGGTGTGTCTGGCCTCCTACTGTGAGACTCACCTGGAGCCTCATCTGACAATGGCAGGCCTGAAAAGACATCAGCTGATCGACCCTGTGGAGAACCTGGAAGGCAGGATGTGTACGAAGCACGATAAACTGCTGGAGCTGTTCTGTAAGACCGACCAGATGTGTGTCTGCATGCTCTGCACTGTTTTAGACCACAAGACACATGATGTTGTTCCTCTGAAAGAAGAATATGAAGGAAAGAAGGCCGAGCTGGGGAAGACAGAGGCTGAAACTCAGCAGATGATCCAGAAGAGACGACTGAAGATTCAGGAGATCAAACGCTCAGTGGAGCTCAGTAAGGAAGATGCAGACAGAGAGATAGCAGGTGGTGTTCACGTCTTCAGCGCTCTGAAGGAGTCTGTTGAGAGAAGCCAGGCCGAGCTCATCGACACGATCAAAGAGAAGCAGAGAGAGACAGAGAAACAGGCTGAAGGCTTCATCAAAGAGCTGGAACAGGAAATCTCTGAGCTGAAGAAGAGAAGCTCTGAGGTGGAGCAGCTCTCACGCTCTGAAGACCACCTCCACCTCCTCCAAAGACTCCCGTCCCTGAACGCTGCTCCACCCACCAAGGACTGGACAGAAGTCAGCGTCCGTCCACCTTCATATGAGGGGACTGTGAGGAGAGCTGTGAATCAGCTGGAGGAGACGCTCAGGAAACAGATGAAGAAGCTGCTTGAGGCTGAACTGAAAGGGGTCCAGCAGTATGCAGTGGATGTGACACTCGATCCTGATACAGCACATCCCTACCTCATCCTGTCTGATGATGGAAAACAAGTACACGATAGTGACGTAAAGAAGAATCTCCCAGGAAATCAAGAAAGATTTGATACTTGTCCTAATGTCTTAGCAAAACAGTGTTTCTCTTCAGGAAGATTTTACTACGAGGTTCAGGTTAAAGGGAAGACTGACTGGGATTTAGGAGTGGCCAGAGAGTCGATCAACAGGAAGGGACTAATCCCACTGAGTCCTCAGAAAGGTTATTGGATGATTTTGTTGAGGAATGAAAATGAATACGAAGCTGCTGCTGGCCCTGCAGTCCGTCTCTCTCTGAAGTCTCAGCCTGAGAAGGTGGGGGTGTTTGTGGATTATGAGGAGGGTCTGGTCTCCTTTTATGACGTTGATGCTGCAGCTCTTATCTACTCCTTTACTGGCTGCTACTTCACTGAGAAACTCTACCCACTCTTTTGTCCCAGTCTTAACTATGGTGGTAGAAACTCTGCCCCTCTGATCATCTCTCCCGTCAATTATACTGAGTAGAACCATTTGATTTTCTACAGAAAGATTCATTTAATATAACAATATTTATTGCTGATGGTATACACCCAACACACCAATTTAACTGCTTCGACTGATTTGATCTAATATTGTCTAATTTATTCTGCATTACCTTCCTTCAAGACTGTTAAAGATGACTGATGTCTGGGTGCCAAATTTTAAACTTTTTATTGTCTGATTTTTTATATAATTATATGTATATACAGTGCATGTTATTTAATTGTGCCTTTCATGGTCACAAGTCTGAATAAGGTCAGTGAGATAAGCAAGGGAACGATTTTAGGGGGATTTGAATAATTAATAGTAGGATTTTAAAGTTATTCCTTTTCGACACAGGGAGTGTCGAAAAGTTTACTTGTATCAGCAGAGGAGTGACATGTTCCGTAGACTTCGAGTGTGTTATGATCCGTGCTGCAGAGTTCTGGATGAGTTGAAGTGCCTGCTAGGATTGCATTGCATTGCAGTAGTCAATACGTGATGAGACCAAAGGCTGAGTTGGAGAAAGAAAGGGTACAGTCCAATATGACATAAAGGCTCTTTACCTGTGAACCAATGAGCAGTAGCTCAGTCTGACTGTTATTGAGTTGTAGGTGGTTGTGTCATCCGTGACTGTATATCATGCAGGCAAGCCCTATTCACTTTAGCGCATCTGGCCCCGAAGCATAAATAATCTGGTATATGACAAAAAAAGTAAAACTACATGTATTGTATGGAACTAGCTAACGACTGAGCCAGATTATTTCCTTTTCATATTTGTTGAATTTTACATGAGCTGTACCAATCACCGCCAGTCCAGGGCTCAACAATAAGGAGTGCCCGACCTGCGGCATCTCCCCTACTGATGCTAACGACAACCACGCTCGTTAGTGAGTACGTGATGCAATAAAAACTTCGCTAGTAAAAAGCCAATACTAAATACTTAAACCTGTTTAATACACACGCAAAACGCAATGTTTTAATCTGCTCAGTCTCTCATCCACTGCAGCTGTGTTTTGGTTTTACACAGGCTCGGCGGTAGTTTGGCTAAAGCTAATTGTTAAAACAAGCTAAAGTGAAAGCTGTCTGTCTTCAGTAACGGTTTAGCTTAGTTTGCCAGTACATTAAAATATGGCACATTATAAACTCAGCGGTTTGAGACAGACCAGCCCTCCTCTCTACCTGCAGCTGCAGAGGGAGGAGGATGACGACGACGACAAGAGGGGCTGCTTGCCTGAGTTGTTCATTCTTTCTAAGGAATATGATTTATTTTGACATTTTAGATTTGTTTCCAGTGAGATATGAGTGACTTTGGTGTTGTAAATCTTTTTGTTGCTATAGAAACATTTAGTTAAATTAGTATTTCAAATAATTATTTATTTAGTAATAAATAGGACTGATGAGAGCATTGAGAAAGAACTGAACCAATAAGGAGTGCCAATACAAGTGTGTCAATAAAATCCTACTGATACACATTCCAATTTGAGAATATGTCCGGCACCTCTCCATGTCCTGGTTTTAAAATCCGGCCCAATTGAATTTGTAATTGAATATCCTTGATTAGGGAAATGTTATCATGATAAAAAAATTATCACGATAAGTATCAAATCGTCATTTCTTTGGAGTTTAAAGGCCGATTTCTGCTCCTGAGTGAAAGTTGAAGAAACCTGATGTTGGTGGGGGAAATGTGGGGGAGATTCACAAACTGTGGTTTACACTCTTCTTTAGGGACAACACTTGATGTCATACAGTGGATCACTTCACATATCTGAGGAAGAACATTCAAAACAATTATGATAAAATCTTCAAACAAATATGCATGAGTAAAAAATTAAAAGCTTTTTTCAGTCGATTTTAACTCAACAAAATAAACATTTTAATAAAGTCGTAATTTGGGTATGATTTAAGTTTATAAAATCAAAAATGTTTATTGAACATTTATTATATTGTTATTGAAAAATTATATCGTGATAATTATTGTTTTATTGTCCAGTTCTAGTCTTGATGTAAACACATAAAGCTGTGTATCGTCTGCATAACAGTGAAAATGGATATTGTAGTAGTAAATAATAAACATAAGTGCTCCTAAGACTGAACCATGCAGTACTCCATGGTGAACTCTGGAACTTCCTGAACCTTAGTTTTGAATTTGAACAACAGTGTGTCCTGCTGAAAGATATGAAAACCACTGAAAAACGGTTCCCCCAGTTTCAGGTGCAGCCAGACGATTAAACCCATTCTCATCCCATGGAATCAAAAATGGATGTTTTGTCAAGACCCCTTGGCGTCCCTTTTTAACGCCCTGGGTACCCTTTAGCTGTGGTTGTGTACGTGTAAGAATAACTATGCAACATCCGGTCAAGTTAGCAAGCAATGCATATGCAATGTGGTGAAACCATGTTTTCAGTAATTTATAGTAGTACTTTTAAAGTTGAACAATGATGGTAATGGGCTTCCCCCAGTGCAATGCAGAAGGATATGACAAAGCATAGCTACTTGATGCTCTGGGATAAGAATGGGCTGGACTACCCATGAGGAGGGATGTGATACAGTGTCAAAGACTGCAGTGAAGGAGGATGAGGATAGAAAGTAGACTATGGTGCACGGAGGAGGTTGCTATTGACTGTAACTAGGGCAGTTTCTGTGCTGTTTGGAATTCTTCAAGGAGATTATTGTTATTGAGGTCGGTCTGTAGTTGAGAAGCAACAACCATCTCAAGATTTTAGACATGAATGGTAAGTTTGGAATTGACCTGTAGTTGTTGTGGTTGTTGCAGTCTAAACCCGTTTTTTCCAGAGTTGTTTTGTTTATGGCAGTTTTCAGCAAATGGTCAGAGGAGTTGATAATGGACATTATTGCCATCACTGTGTGGTATTATTAAATGTAATCTTAATTTTTATACTGTTAACTAGTTTTATTATACTGTTTATTATGTACGTTGTGAATGTGATGGACATTGTTGCCATGGAGACCTTTGGGTGTGGCGTGGGCGCACCTCAAAATTTAACAGTCTACATGTGCTGTCTCCGTGGTAAGTTACTTTGACATCAGCTCCATTAAATATTTATTTTAAATCATCTTCTTGTGGGTAAAAGTGTGGTTTAATTACTTATATTAAGCATGTAATGTGAACATCAGCTTTTAGTTGCCGGTGAAAATGAGTTATGTTAACTTTGTGGCCTTTTAACTGTTTTTCTGTAAATTTGTTTAAAATGTGTGTCGTGTTTAGCTAGGTTAATTCCAGTTTAAGTTCAATGCATTTATTGTTTTGGTTTATAGAAACGTGCTGGAGTTTTAAGACTGACTGTGATGGAGGATTAATCTTTATCCTGTGTTACCAGATAAACGAATTGAAGCCAAAGATCCACTTGTGTGTGTTTCACTTTTCTACACAACGCAACCGCTACACGAGCATGCTTTAACTTGGCTTGTAGGGATTAGATCCATGTGACATATGGAGAAAATGTAGATCTTTCATAATCAACAGTACATAAAACTGTGAAATATTTAGGCTATTTGGAGACATCTCGACGCATAAAAGAGCAAGGTCGGAAACCACAGTTTAATATGACCTTTAAGCCCTCAGCCAGAACTGCCTAGGATACGGTCATGCTTCCATGACAAATTTGGTTAATTTTATGTAATTATACCTTTATTTTACCAGGCAAGTTAATTAAGAAAGACACCATGGGCTAAGGTGTACTTTGGAAAACCATCGTCACTTAACACAGTCTGCTGCTGCATTCAAAAATGCAGCCTGAAACTGTATCACGCAAAGAGGAAGCCATAAATCAATTGTATGCAGCTATGCCGCCAAGTTGTTGGGACCCGGCGTCATCTCAGATGGACCGTAAAACTGTGGAACCGTGAGCTGTGGTCAGATGAGTCCGCATTTCAGCTTGTTTTTGGGAAAAACAGACGTCGATGACATCCAGATTGTTATCAGCGAAAGGTACAAAAGCCAGCATCTGTGATGGTATGGGGGTGCACCAGTGCCCACGGCATGGGTAAGTTGCATGTGTGTGAAGGTACCATTGATGCAGAGGCATATATTGGGATTTTAGAGAGACATACAGCATGTTGCCATCAAGACCTCCATGCTTATTTCAGCAGGACAATGGTAGGCCTCATTCTGCACGGGCTACAACAGCATGCCTAGACACAGAGTACTACTCCTTAGATCTGTCTCCTATTGAAAATGTATGGCGCATCATCAAGAGGAGAATCAGACAACAGCAATTTTGCATCAAGCAAGAAAACTGTAAAACTGGCACAATTATTATCTTCACTTCCCAAATGATTAGAAAGTTTTATTAAAGGAAAAGTAATGTAACACAATGGTAAACATGCCTCTATCCCAACTTTTGTTGAGTGTGTTGCAGGCATCAAATTATTTGTTTATATTTACAAAATACAATTACGCTGGTCAGTAAAACTATGGAAAATCTTTCCTCTGTACTTTTGTTAGTTAAATAAAAGTTCATGTCAATTAACAAATCCCAGAATTTTGTTTTATTGCTTTTTTGGAAAATATCCCAACTTTTTTGGAAATGGGGTTTGTACATCTGCTTATGCACAACAAGTCAAGTCTTAATGTAAAGCCTCTCCAAGTGGCAACCTAGGGCCTCAAGCTGACAAAATTCACGCGTGTACCGGGGTGCAGTATAATGTATACATTCATTCCACACAGACTGATATATTTCAAGTGTTCATTATATTTTAATTTTGATGATTGTAACTGACAACTAATGAAAACCCCAAAATCAGTATCTCAGAAAATTAGAATATTTTGAAAAGGTTCAATATTGAAGACACCTGGTGCCACACTCTAATCAGCTAATTAACTCAAAACACCTGCAAAGGCCTTTAAGTGGTCTCTCAGTCTAGTTCTGTAGGCTACACAATCATGGGGAAGACTGCTGACTTGACAGCTGTCCAAAAGACGACCATTGACCCTTTGCACAAGGAGGGCAAGACACAAAAGGTCATTGCTAAAGAGACTGGCTGTTCACAGAGCTCTGTGTCCAAGCAATAGGGATAACCTCACCCTGGAGAGGATTGTGAAACAAAACCCATTCAAAAATGTGGGTGAGATTCACAAAGAGTGGACTGCAGCTGGAGTCAGTACTTCAAGAACCACCACGCACAGACGTATGCAAGACATGGGTTTCAGCTGTCGCATTCCTTGTGTCAAGCCACTCTTGAACAAGACACAGCGTCAGAAGCGTCTCGTCTGGGCTAAAGACAAAAAGGACTGGACTGCTGCTGAGTGGTCCAAAGTTATGTTCTCTGATGAAAGTAAATTTTGCATTTCTTTTGGAAATCAAGGTCCCAGAGTCTGGAGGAAGAGAGGAGAGGCACAGAATCCACGTTGCTTGAAGTCCAGTGTTTCCACAGTCAGTGATGGTTTGGGTGCCATGTCATCTGCTGGTGTTGGTCCACTGTGTTTTCTGAGGTCCAAGGTCAACGCAGCCGTCTACCATGAAGTTTTAGAGCACTTCATGCTTCCTGCTGCTGACCAACTTTATGGAGATGCAGATTTCATTTTCCAACAGGACTTGGCACCTGCACACAGTGCCAAAGCCACCAGTACCTGGTTTAAGGACCATGGTATCCCTGTTCTTAATTGGCCAGCAAACTGGCCAGACCTTAACCCTATAGAAAATCTATGGGGTATTGTGAAGAGGAAGATGCGATACGCCAGACCCAACAATGCAGAAGAGCTGAAGGCCACTGTCAGAGCAACCTGGGCTCTCACCTGAGCAGTGCCACAGACTGATAGACTCCATGCCACGCCGCATTGCTGCAGTAATTCAGGCAAAAGGAGCTCCAACTAAGTACTGAGTGCTGTACATGCTCATACTTTTCATGTTCATACTTTTCAGTTGGCTAACATTTCTAAAAATCCTTTTTGTATTGGTCTTAAGTAATATTCTAATTTTCGGAGAGACTGAATTTGGGATTTTCATTAGTTGTCAGTTTTAATCATCACAATTAAATGAAATAAACATTTGAAATATATCAGTCTGTGTGTAATGAATGAATATAATATCCAAGTTTCACTTTTTGAATGGAATTACTGAAATAAATCACCCATCAAGATGAGACATAGCACTATGGGTGCTTAAAACTTTGCAGAGTTTATGGATGAAATATATATGATTTTGATGGTGTGAATCTTTCTACCTGCAGTCTATTAGAAGCAGGAAAGTCTGAGTCCTTAAGATACCTGATGTTAAACTGCTGCTGGATCTGAATGAACCTCAGGCCTTAGTGTCACGTGAGTCTTCGAACGCTGCTTCAGGGTTTATTAGAACACTAGAAGAAATGTCTGTTGCTGGCTGTTTGCCAGCAGTCAGTCATGAGCTGCAGTAAAACACCTTGTAAAGTCAGGAAACATGCAGAGGCCTGAACAATAAATATTCTTTATATCAAAATCACAGTTTGAAAGATTACAGATTTCAAATCACAAGAGCTGCAAGTTGAATTATTTCCACCTTCGTTGTAGAGATTTGGGAAACATGACTCAGACAGAAAACTCTGGAAGTAGATCCCTGTGCAGTGAGCTACAGTCGCTAATCCAGGAGGCTGATTTCTGTGTTTCCTTTCAGTCAGACTCTGGGACGATCGTTTGAAATGATTCATGTAAAATGTAAGTTTGTTAATGAAGCTGTAGGAGGCTCGCTCGTCACAATTTGTTGGATGCTGTTTTACTGGAGTCGTGTTTCCTGGATCTCTACAACTCAGCTGGAAAGTACAACACATGTCCAACAAAGAAGAAGTAGTTTAGAGTAAGTTAACCTGAACGTCTTGTTTTTGACCTTCAGTGGTTTAACTTCTCACCTTGCTGCAGTGATGTACAGGTGTACTCCAGGACCCTGTAACATCACAGGTGGGTGTGGTTACAGGTGCAACAGAGCACATTTTGAAACAACGCTGTTTGTTTACTGAAAGTTGAAAAATAAAAACAGCATTTCTGACTTTGAGTAACTAAACGTACCGTTATATCTTTCTGAGGTGAGGGGGGGGGGGTCGGGGCCTGATGTTGAAGCTGTAGTGGATCCTCTGCAGAGCGTTTCACAACTAAAAGACCTAACAGACGTGTAAAGGTCACCTGAGGTCGTTGTGTCGTCAGCAGCACATTTGACACTTTAATGCAAACATAACTGTCATCATGTACAAACTGCAGTCTGTGTTTTATTAAAGCCAACAAGCTACAAACTGCTTCCACAGACTGTGATCTGATCTTTGTTACTCCTCCCTCCAGCTGAGACTGTTACGGTACGATTCTTCTCAGCATAATCTGTCATCAGATGGCTGGCATCTGCCGCTCTGTCTTCAGTTCTGCCATTTAGAGTTTAAACACATGCTGACCATAATTATTGTAACAGACTGTGTTTCACGGAGCAGCGTGGAAATGCTGCTGAATCACAAGTTACACGGAACTTTGATCTCTGAAAAACTAACTTTCCAATCGCATTTAGCCTTTAGACTTCTTCTGACCTGGAACAATTCTTACTGGGCTAAGATGGTTTCCTTAAAAAAATAAGAGGAATCATTAACAGAAAATGAAAAAATAATGTTCGGCATTCAAATATCCAGAAAGTGAATGCCTTCCTGTCCAGGAAAACCTGAAGTGTAACATGTGACTGCTGAATATCTCCGGCTGTCGTTCTTGTAGAAATCAGCAACCTGCCACTAGAGGTCTGTATGTGTCCAAGCTTCAACTGAAACCTCTGCAAGCCTATCTTGTCTTATCTATATCAGTGTTGCACTTGACTGAACTAAATAATAAATAAAATCCACTTTGCCTGCAGGTGAGTATTTTATTGGCTGCTGTATTTTCCGTTTGACCTTTGACCTCTCAAACAGCTGAAAATGTCAGTGTTAAAAGCTCAACCCTCATTCTTCTTCTCCTACTTTTTAAACTGTAAATCATCTGAAGGTAAAACCCTACTCGTACACAATATTTCTGTATCAAAAAGCTACACACACACACACACACACACACACACACTTTACATCCGTCCATCAGAGGCTGGACTCTTGTTTCTCCTGCAGCTCTCAAGCTGCTTCAAAGTTTTCATCCCCGTTCGGTTTATGTCAGGAAGGAAAAATTTGTCTAGATTCAGTTTTTAAAAAATCAAATAGCCCTTTAGTCTCCGCTGCAGACTAGCTGAAGCTCTTCTGGACAGCAGGAAAGAAATCTCTGAGATGTCCTGTTGTCTCTCGTGGCAGGTAAAAAAAAATAAAATCCTTTGGCTACCTGCGCGACGCTTCTTTATTCTACTTCCTACTTAAATCCTCACTGTCAGGTCCTGATTGGTGGGTTGGTCCTGGTTTACATCCAGCGGTGGAGCGATGAGACGAGCAGAGAGGCCGAGAAGAGAGATATTGACAGGGAGATGGCCGCCGCCCTGCCGCACTCCTTAGCATTTTCCTATTGGACAATATCAACATGTTAGAGTTACCAAGAAGACATCAAGATTATTATTGGTAGTAGATGTCTTTCTTTATTAATAACTAATGTGCAGCATATGGGTATTTTATTAACTTCATTAAAAATCGGTCCTTAATTTAAGTGCTAATGGATGTGTTTCTAAGATGTTAATCAGGTTGAATGATTGACTGAGTCTGTGTGGGATTGTGTTGCATCTTAAATCCATTACGGAGTTTGTGTGTAAAATCCTTCCCAGGTTTTTAGTGACTACTGATTTATTAAATTAGGCAGCACCATTAAAACTTAAGTCATGTCTGAGATAATAAAGACTAATGTCAAACATCTGTAGTGTTGTCCAATCAAGTTTGTAAACAGGATGTTGCAACAGAAACCGAGTGATATATGATACTGTTAATGTAATTATGACTTTGTTTTTTGATATCTGTTTGAATACAGTCAGACTTTTACACGTGCCTGACCAGCATTTCAATCAGTTCACGGTATGCAAGAACAGCCTGCTGCTCCAGCACCTCTGGTATCGCACCGCTGCAATCTCTGCAATCTCTGCAACCTCTGCAACCAGTGTCCCGCCCACTTTGCATCAGTGGTAGCTTCTTCTGGCAAACCAGCCCCACCCGTGGCTAACCAATACCATCTGTATGCTGCGTACCAATTTCAGAACTGCTGAGAGAAAATGGTGAAAAACCATTGGAAACCAACCAAATGGAAAGACCCTGTAAACCTCAACGGTTACCAAACCCTCCTGTCCTTCTTCTCAGCTAGCATTAGTGCGTTCTATAATGACAGAATCAGCAGTGCAACTGACTCACAAAAATAATTTTTCCACTTTTAAATCTCTACTAAATCCTCATCTGCCTACACCAGCTACAAACCTGACTGCCAATATGTTTGCCTCCTTCTTCACAGACCTGCTCATTCTATTGTAAATAGTCAAAAAGGTTAGGCTTACTTTACACGGTAAAAAAGACACGGGTGATGTGACGAGGGAGGATGTAGATTATGGGGGGGGGGGGGGGGGGGGGACCAAGCACTGCACCATGTGGCGGCGTCCAAGAAATACTGTGTCTCTGACCCCTACGATCAGCAAAAGCTGCAGCCCAGTCCCCGGTTCTCAAGCTGCCAGGCCCATCAGCTGCATTTGACACAGTAAACCACAACATTCTGCTATCTGCACTGCAGGCAATGGGCATCTTGAGCAAAGCACTCCTGTGGTTTAAATCCCACCGCTCTGGACGTCCCGACCAGAGGTGGAAAGAGTACATAAATATTCTACTTAAGTAAAAGTACTATTATTTTGATAAACTTTTACTTAAGTACAAGTAAAATTACCGGTATAAAAATCTACTCAAGTAAAAGTAAAAAGTAGTTCATTTAAAATTTAAAAGTTTTCGCAGTTACTTTTTCAGCCTCCTTAAATAATGTATTTATATTTCTATTTGGAGCAAAGCATCTTACCAATCTATGAAAACCTTTCCCTAACCATCACTGGAATGGTACAAGTAGGCTATTATTTAACTTACCTCTACATCATCAAATTTTTCTAAGCAGACACAGTGGGGGTTGGACTTTAAAAAACATTTGTAATTGCCATTTTACTGTTTAATATTTTAAACTTTCACAAAATGAATGTTTTATATCAGTGTGAACAGACTCCTAAAAACATGATAGGTCTAAATCCATAATGATAAATCTACTTAGGTCTACTTAACTAGAAAATGTCCTCAGACCGCAGCCAAGGAGTTCACTTAGGAGTGATGGTTAAAATCTGTAATTATATATGTAAGTCTAATTGGCATTAGCAATTAGCATATTTCAAACTGGTCCGCTGTCAGAAAGCTGTTGAAAATGACCGTTGTCTTGTTTTGTAGACGCATTTTTGATGAATGAAAGCGGCCAGAGCTAATCTCACAGCTTCACAGCAACATTTCTTGCTGTGAAGCTGCAGCAGCAAGAAATGTTCAGTTTGCATTAGCAGCTAACACTGCAACATAAAGCTGTTGTTCTCTTGCACTTTTTACTTGAACTTTTTTTTCACTCAGTAACGGATGTGATTGAAAATTTAGCTAAGTACAATACTTTAAACAAAACATACTTACAAAATTACAGATTTAAAAAACTACTCAATTATAGTAAAGTCAGTAATTGTAATTAGTTACTTTCCGCTTCTGGTCCCGACAGTGTGGCAAGGACAATGGTCCTTCTCTCATTGCCTCTCCACAGGGGTGCCCCAAGGCTCAGTGCTAGGGCCCCTTCTCTTCTCAATGAACACCACCTCACTGGGGCAGTTCATTTGCACTGATGTTTTTTTCTACCACTGCTACGCAGACGATACACAACTCTACCTGTCCTTCCGCCAGACTACCTCACCATCTCCGTGCGGATCACAGATTGTCTCGTGGACATCGTGAACTCTGGCCACTTTCAACTAAACCTCTCTAAGATTGAACTCTTGGTCATTCCACCCAAGCCCTCTATCCATCATATCAAACTAAAAACTAGCTCCTCTACCATCACTCCAAATAGGGTGATGAGTAACTTAGGTTTCATGACTAATGACTAACTGTCCTTCTGGGACCATGTTGGCGCTCTGTTCCGGTCATGCCACTTAGCTCTATACAACGTAAGACTAACTTTCAGAAGCTCTTGAAAACTTATCTTTTTCGAGAACACTTGCTCTTATAACATCTCTAACCTCCAACATGCACTTCCTGTGCTCTTCTTCTTCTTCTATCTCCCGCAACTCCCTTGTCTTTATTGCATTATTTGTTAACCCTTGTTGCTTCCCCTAGGTATCTATCCCGTTAATAGCTCTTACTAGTATTTATTGTTACTCGTAGATCTCTTACTGTACTGATGCTTGTATGTTGATCCTCACATGTAAGTCGCTTTCAATAAAAGCATCTGCCAAATGAGTAAATGTAAATCTTCACATGGAGAGAAACCTGTATGTTTTAGAGTAGTAGTATTTCATAAAGGTTAGAATGAGTGAGAAATGTACACTAATTAATAAAAATAATCACACTAACTAATATTATTAGCATCACTTTTTGTAATTGGAGGTGTGTTGTGTTATTTTTATGAAATGTAATTTAAGATCTCAGTTAAACAGCTGTTTAAACAGGTCAGATGTGATGGACAGCTTACATCTGTTTTATGTTATTTTATATTCATCAAGCTAAACAGGTTATTTAGTAGCAAGCTAGTTTTGTAAGTACATTTACTCAAGTATTGTACAATTTGAAGGTACTTGAGTACATTTCCATTTTATCCTAATACTTTATTACATCTCAGAGGGAAATTCTGTACTTTTCACTTCACTAAATATATAATAAAACATGAAATTATAAAACACGATAAAGTGCATCATATTTGATAAATTTAGTTTATAAAATAAGTTCTAATGTTACAGATTCAATTACCAAAAGTACATTAAGTAGTTCAAACTTTCTCCACCTCGACCAATGACAACATTAAAGGGCAGCATACATATTAAAATATCAATAATAATGATCAATCAAGTTGAGTACTTCTTACATCACTGGTAAATATTTAGTGAAGACATTTCTACAAAGGAGCAGCTGGTTGGAGGAATGTGTGTTCATTTAGTGAACAAATTAACCTGCAGGAGGATGAGTGTGATCAGCTGCTGCAACTGGCTGCTGTTACTGTTTTTTTAACTTGTCATACCGAAGCTATTTACATTTATTCATTTAGCTGACTCTGGACTCTGGACTGCTGACAGTCGGAGAACTCAGCACTGACCTTCGGGTGGTAGGAGTGGCACGACTCCGGCCGCCGACGTACCTTCTGGGATTTCATCCTGTTGCACTTCACCGTGGCGTTATGTTCACTGTCGTTAAGGAAAACAGACCACTCGTTGCTGAATAGTTCCGATATTATACCCAAGTTTTGGTGCTGATAGATTTCAAGTTTAATTTAAACCAATTTCATTTAACCAAAGAAGACAATGTTCCCAAAAGTTGTAAATAACTTTGACATGAAATGTGTCTAAATAAAATACAGAGCAAAACTGGGAAAATGACATCAGGGACGATCTGGTCAAAGAAGAAGTAAACAAGACTGCATACATTCAGTCTTATCTTCCAGTATTTGAGAGTGATACTCTTCCACAGACACCTTTTGGTAGGTAACACAAACATTTGAGATTTCACACCAAGCACCACTGAGAACAAACTCATTGGGCAGACAGTCTGTTCACTATGCTTTCTAAGTGGCGCTGGAGTTACATGAGCACTCTGCAGTGCAGCGAGAGGTATTTGAACGCACCGCAGACCTCTATGTAAACTCAGAAACATCTTTTGTACAGAAACTACCAGCAGCAGACACTCAAGATAAAATGTGACTGGACAGGATTGTGTCCCAACCACACTAACTCTGGTTGTTTGTATCCAGCAGGGGGTGGTGTTGGTGTTGTTTGCCAGTAAGTGAAGGATATATTTGATCTCTTTGGGCTCCAGCAGTATAGGTCCATACTGGCGAGAACAGTCACAGTCGGCCTGAGTCACAACCAGAACCAGGTTACTGTCTGGAATCTGCTGCACCACAAACATCCTGAAACACAGACAACAAATTACAGCCAATCAATCAATCAACAAACTTTGTTGAACTTGTGTCATTTACACTGAGGGGAGGAGCAACTGTGAAAGAGGAGAGCTGCAATGTCACTTTTCATGAAATGAAAGTGTGTCTGAGTGCCAGCAGAGCTGCAGTCGAGACAAGTCTCTTTGTTTCTCTCTAAAGAAACTTTCAACTGAATCCATCAGGTTTTTCTCAACAAAACAGCAGAATCTCTGCCAAACCCTGGTGAGTACACGGCCCTACAAAGCCAAAATGCTCTGACTCAGTATTTGGTCAAAGTTCAGTTCAAACCAGAATCTGACTGTTTTACATCTGTTTTACCAGATAAAAGATATGATGTCAGAGATTTGTGTTAATGTTGTTTGTTGAAACACAGTAAATATTATAGACTCTGTTGTGCTGTTAAGTCAGTTTAACTTTTCTTGAGAAACAGACTTGTCTCAACTGCAGGTCTGCTGTCACTCACAAATGTTTATTTTAATTTTAAGGAATGTGACATTTAAACTGTGGTGCTTTTCCAGTGCTGCTCCACATGTTGAGCTTTTGTTGCCGTTCAGGTTTAACCTGATCAGTGATGTTTTTTTGGTACTTGGTGAATTTTGTCAGGAACAAAGCACTGAATGACTGTAAGGATACCTTCCGGTTCCTGGAGACTCTTTACAGAGTTTTATTTTATTTGTCAAACAACAAAATAAAAGACAACAATCCCAACATAAATTCAATGCTAATCTTAACTTTTTAACCTTTTCACATCTCATGTAACCCACAGAATGAGTTGCCACAAAGGACACAGTTACTCTGGGGTGTTTGTAGCTTTAGTGGTGTTGTTGAAAAAACACTGATACGGATCTCGTACAAAAAGCCGAAATGAACAAATCAGATTTAAGTCCAGCACATCTGCTTTCAAACTAAATTTACAAAAACACAACCAAATGGTTTAAAATAACATGTAAATATACTGTATAGCAGTGGACTTTCACTACTGAGAAGAAAACCAAATAAAATTACTCATCAAAAATAAACCCAAATTTATTCCAACACGTTCAAAGGTCACACAAACTCCACATAGATCCTTTCACTGTAATTGGAAACTAAAAGACTTGTTCCATGTTGAACTGATAAGGGACGCGCTTTTGTTCTGTAATTTTGTAAATAAATTCAGTGCAAGTCTACGGGAGAGAAATATTACAGCGTTAAGACGGGGTGAGATAGAAAGAAACCCTCCTGCTCTGTTGTCGCTGAGCTTGTCCGTCATGTTGTTCCACTTCCCAAAAACAGAAGCATTTTCTTTCTCTTCCTCGTTCATGTCACTTCACTTGGTTGATAATCATCAGTGCTGACTTTACCTTAAGACCCTCTTGATCTAAAATAAGAGAGTTCTGTACTTGACTGTATTTGCACATCGACAGTAAACAAAACTGTAGGTTTTTTGAATGAAGTAAATAAATGGCCGTCAATCACAACCGCTACAGGCTCCAACAACGTTTAAGTGTGAGTTTGGCTGTATTTACACCACCACCACCTGCTGCTCTCTATTGTTGTGCTTTTGTGCCTTTGATTTGTCTTTATGTCGTTTTTGTTTCCCATAAAAATGGGGGACCATCTTGGTTAATGCTTATAACAAATTTTTATAGTAATATTTAGAGAACTAGTTTTTTCCAGGCAGCCAAAGTGAATGTTTGGAATGAAGAACTCCATGTTAGCACTTTATGAGCTTGGTGATCTCATAAAAAGAACACTACTGAACTGCATACCTGAGCTCTCATTCACCTGAACTATAGTCAAGGACCTAACTGAATAATGAACAATCTTTGTAAGTTAGATTCTGGATACATGCAGACTGCAGCCAAAAATTCATATTAGTGTTGCTAAATTTTCTTCAAAAATATGTCCTTCAGTCGAGTACAATAGAACTCAGGATGACTCTCTGATATTCTACTAATCATCGTTTGATTTTATTAAACAGAAACTGTTTTCTCACTTCTTGTCCTCAGAGTGTGGATATGTCTGCTGCCAGCTGTCTGCTGACTGAAGATCAGTTTCTGTGCTCCATCTGTCTGGATGTGTTCACTGATCCAGTCAGCACACCATGTGGACACAACCTCTGTAAAACCTGCATCACTGAACACTGGAATATTAATGTCCCGTATCAGTGTCCCAACTGTAAAAAGGTTTTCTACACAAAACCTGAGCTGCAGGTCAACACTTTCATCTCTGAGATGGCTGCTCAGTTCAGACAGTCAGCTCAACAGAAAGCCAGCAGCAGCAGCTCAGAGCAACAAGCTGCCAAACCAGGAGAAGTTCCCTGTGACGTCTGCACTGGAACCAAAGTGAAGGCCCTGAAGTCCTGCCTGGTGTGTCTGGCCTCCTACTGTGAGACTCACCTGGAGCCTCATCTGACAGCTTCACGCCTGAAAAGACATCAGCTGATCGACCCTGTGGAGAACCTGGAAGGCAGGATGTGTACGAAGCACGATAAACTGCTGGAGCTGTTCTGTAAGACCGACCAGATGTGTGTCTGCATGCTCTGCACTGTTTTAGACCACAAGACACATGATGTTGTTCCTCTGAAAGAAGAATATGAAGGAAAGAAGGCCGAGCTGGGGAAGACAGAGGCTGAAACTCAGCAGATGATCCAGAAGAGACGACTGAAGATTCAGGAGATCAAACGCTCAGTGGAGCTCAGTAAGGAAGATGCAGACAGAGAGATAGCAGGTGGTGTTCAGGTCTTCAGCGCTCTGAAGGAGTCTGTTGAGAGAAGCCAGGCCGAGCTCATCGACACGATCAAAGAGAAGCAGAGAGAGACAGAGAAACAGGCTGAAGGCTTCATCAAAGAGCTGGAACAGGAAATCTCTGAGCTGAAGAAGAGAAGCTCTGAGGTGGAGCAGCTCTCACGCTCTGAAGACCACCTCCACCTCCTCCAAAGCCTCCCGTCCCTGAACGCTGCTCCACCCACCAAGGACTGGACAGAAGTCAGCGTCCGTCCACCTTCATATGAGGGGACTGTGAGGAGAGCTGTGAATCAGCTGGAGGAGACGCTCAGTAAACAGATGAAGAAGCTGCTTGAGCTGAAGAGGGTCCAGCAGTATGCAGTGGATGTGACACTCGATCCTGATACAGCACATCCCAACCTCATCCTGTCTGATGATGGAAAACAAGTTAAACATGGTGATGAAAAGAAAAATCTCCCAGACAATCCAGATAAATTTTCTGTTTGTCCCTGTATATTAGCAAAGCAGAGTTTCTCTTCAGGAAGATTTTACTACGAGGTTCAGGTTAAAGGGAAGACAGACTGGGATTTAGGAGTGGCCAGAGAGTTGATTAACAGGAAGGGGCTAATCACACCAACTCCACAGAATGGTTACTGGACAATATGTTTGAGGAATAAAAATGAGTGCAAAGTTTTTACTGGCCATCCAGTCTGTCTCTCTCTGAAGTCTCAGCCTGAGAAGGTGGGGGTGTTTGTGGATTATGAGGAGGGTCTGGTCTCATTTCATGACGTTGATGCTGCAGCTCTTATCTACTCCTTTACTGGCTGCTGCTTCACTGAGAAACTCTACCCATTCTTTAGTCCTTGTAATAACAATGGTGGTAAAAACTCTGCCCCTCTGATCATCTCTCCTGTCAATCACACTGTTTATATGTTTAATGTAATAAAGAATAAATTAATGTAAATATTTATATAAATATACTTTGACACAAATTTCACTGCTCTGATTGATTTTATCTAATTTTTTCTAATAACTGCATTACCTGCCTTCAACACTGTTAAATCATCAGAAAACAATGTTCTCAGAAATAAGAAGCATTGGCACCATCAGCTGTTCTCAGACGTGACTCGAGCTGACGAGCTCCAATCCCCCATCACATCTGAGACAGTCTGCAGTGGAAGATAATGTGGTGTTATTTAAGGTTTGAGTTGTGTTTGAGCAGCTGATATGAACACTATACCAGAGCTACTAGTTTGTAGAGAATAAGTGACACCTGAGGTCGCCCTCTAGTGGAGTTTATAACAAATTGCAGACTGTGGCCACTCACTCTGAATAAATAACTACACAGTCTGATGCGGCAGCAGATTACATGACTGCAGGAGCTCAATGAGCTCTAATGTCACTGATGAGCTTTTTTAAAAATGTGTTCTTTTAAAAAGAGAGAATCAGAGAGAGAAGCCCATTAATCTGCTGCTGTGGCCCAATCAGAAGGATTCTTCATCTCAGTCTGAAACTCTTATTTTCCTCCGTCTAATGTAATCTGTGAGAAATCTTTCAGAGGGAAAAGCTGCTCAACACTTTGGAGAACAGCAGTGAAGTGCAGAGGGATTAGTTGCTGTGATCAGGGTGCCCCCAGGATTCTCAAAGTTAAATTTAAGACCTTTGTAAAGACCACCTAGGATGAAATTTAATACCAACTTCACTGCTGTTTAATGGGAAATCTGTATTAATTTTAAGTCCGTGAATATTATGTACAAAGTTACATGAATTTAATAAAACATTTTATTATAATACATTCATATTAAACACATTATAGATTTTTCGGGTGTATTTGTACTTTGATAAGTTAAAATGAATCAAGGACGTCCCTTTGGGTAGAAAATGTTTTGTGGCAAGGACATTTATCCTCCTCCCACTGCTTCTCCACAGGGGTGCCCCAAGGCTCACTGCTAGGGCCCTTTCTCTTCTCAAATTACACCGCCACACTGGGGCCGATCACTCGCTCGCACGGCTTCTCTTAACACTGCTACGCAGATGATACGAACCTCTACCTATCCTTCCCGCCAGACGACCCCATGGTCTCTCGGACATATCTGCATGGATGAAGGCTTGCCACCTTCAACTAAACCTCTCTAAGGCTGAACTCTTCCAGCCAAGCAATCTGTCCACCATAACATCAAACTACAAATTGACTCCTCAATCATCACTTGGGTGTCATGATTGATGACCAGCTGTCCTTTTCAGACCATGTTGCTGTTGTCTCTCGTTCGTGCCGCTTTGCTCTATACAACATAAGAAAAAGTCATTTGAGCCTGAACGCTGGTGGACAGCTGACTGTAGATACTTTACTAAATTCTGTTTTAGTGGCTTGACCATGAGATGGGGCTGCAGGTGTGCATTTTATTCTTATGAGAGAGAACGTCCTCACAAACACAGAACTAAAGGGACAGTTGAAGGGAATTTAGTTTGTTGACTTCTGTATGATGGTAAGAGCTGAGATTAAAAAGCAACAAGTGAGCAGGACGAGAAGGTTCAGGTCACATTGGTTCAGTTTTAGATCATCAGGACATTTTGTCTGGTCCTCACTTCCTGTTACTGTTGAGGTAAGAATCATGTTCAGGTTAGAGGTCCGCATCAGATGGAGAAGCACCTCAGCCCCTTCACATTTACACTGCTGCTGGTGGCATCGAGACGCAGACGTCTTCTTTAGTCAGAAAACATTTAGCTGAGTTAAAACCCAAAGTTTCCTCTTACAGCTTCATCAGGGGCCAAACAGGAAGGACACGCTGAAAACCTCTTTATGTACATTTTCAAACATCATACAACAACATTTTTATCAAAACAGTTGGTTTTGGGTTTAGTTCAGTGTATCAGTGCTTGTGTGTGTGTGTGTGTGTCGTACTTCTGGCAGCGTCCACACTTGATGAGGCTGTTGGCCTCTTTGACAGATGAGTCGTACATGAAGCCGGGATACGCCGTGTCACAGGGCAGCAGAGGCTCCACCTTCCTCTGCTTATGACCTGAGAGACACACACACACACACCTTAATTCACAGAGAGCAAAACAAATTCTTCCTCTATTTAATCTAAACTAAACTCATCAAGATAATAAAAAACAACCGCTGAAATGTGCGTGAACAGTTTTCGTCATCTTTTTGTCTCTGTGAGGACGTTTCCTCTATAAATACAGACACACTTTACTCACTTGTATGATAACCAGCCTTGGCTGAGTGGATGAAGATGGATCACAGAGAACACACCCAGGTGATGATGATGGTGGTGGTGGTGGTGAAGATGAGGATGGAGATGATAATGAAGATGAGGCCGGCATTTTGAAACAGAATGATTGTAAATGAAACAAAGCAGTGATAACATGAAAAAAAAAACAACAAACACCTGCCCGTCTGTCTGCTTTGACAGAGTCGACTCTTCTCTATTTGAATCTTTTAACATGTTTTTTATTCTGTCCTTTGTTCTGATCGGCTGCTTTCCTATTTGATGTTTCAGTAAATGCATCATATCAGATTGTTTAAGTCTGTTTACGATCTGTGATGTTGATGGTTCACACATCTGACTGACCACAAAACAACAACAAACAAAAAGAACAACAAGAGGACTGAGGAAGAACAAATGTCCTGGGGGGTTTACCTGCCAGCCAAAGATGCATTCAAAGAGTCCACAGTCATGCTTGCAGTTCTGTGAGGCTGCACGTGAGCACAGTTGCGTTTTGAGCTAAATGCTAACATGCTAATACTTTTCAGGTATAAAGTTTAACATGTTCACCATCTTAGTTTAGCGTGTTAGGATTCTAACATTTGCTAACTAGGAATAAACCCAAGGTAGAGCTGAGGCTGATGGGAATGTCATTAGTTTTGCAGGTATTTAGTCATAAATCAAAGTATTGGATGCATTAAATTGTTGACTGGATGAAAAGTCAGAGGATCACTGAAGTTGTCACAGTTCCTCCTGAGAGGAATGGGAGTGTCTGAAGCACATTTCCAGACAACCCTTCCCATAGTTCAACATCCAACAACACCCATAGAGCCACACAGCTGAACTGTGCGACATCATTCTGCAGCGAACAGACTTCAGTCTGATTTAAATTCAGTTTAATGATCATCAGAACTTCTTACCGTCCACAAAATAATCAGAGTGCCAGAGACCACAGAGATTAAAGTCCAGCAGGAACCTGACAGGAGACACAAACACACATTAACCAGAAATCTGTTTATGTCCTGAGGAACACGCAGCACTGTGCTGAATCTGCATCACATCCACGTCTCACAGCAGATCTTTACTTTTAATAGATATGAACTGTCAGTCAGTAAAAGTCTCTTTCTGTTCAGTGATCCAGAACTAATCTTAAGGAACCGTTATATATCCTCTTTTTCTCAGAGGTGGTTTGTCTTACATTAAGACTGTTTGATTTATGCTTATTAAAAAACATTAAATTCAGCACGCTGGCTCATTAATATTAAATATTTCCCCAGCACATATTTCACATCCATTTCAGGTTTGAGATGGGCACCGATCCAAACTCTCACAGCACCTTTAACACAGCTTGCACCTTTTTTTCAAAGATTAGAGACTTTACTAAATATACATAATGAGCAAAGGACCGGACATTTTTAAATATATTGCATTTGCTGGTTTGAGTCTCAGTTACAGAATTGCTGCAATGTTCAATAAGGACAAAGACTCCAGATCAGCACAAGCTCTGATTAATTCAGCTCTTATTTATTCCTTTAAAAACTTTGGAAATGTACATTTGTTCCTTGAATTAATAATAAAACACGTCATAAATCCTTCAGCTGCATCGCTGCAGGTGTGTCTCATGTCCCTGTAACATCCTGGATCCAAACCAGCCTGGATCCAAACCAGCCTGTTTATTTTTAGTTCCCGTCACTCTCCACTGATGAACTGATGAATAAACAGCAGCTGACACTTACATGAGTGCGTTGGAGAAGAACCATCTTATCAACGCCGCGATGACATAAAACGGCTGCAGGAGAAAAAGGGAACAAGGAGTTAACAGAAGAACTGCTAAAAACATTACTGACAGATTATCACGCTTGAGCTGTAACTAACTCTAAAAGTAGGAACTAATAGAAGTACTCGATCACTGTGCAGCGGTGAGACTCACACTGAGCAGAGGTCGGGCGCTGCTGGCGTGATGATGACTGTTCTTACACATCGCCTGGTAGTCAAACAACGACACTCTGCAAACAAACATTCAGATGAACTTCAGTGACATTTACAGAGAGAAAAGCTCATGGCGTGCTTCACACTTCCCCCAGATAGTAAGAGACTCTAACCTCAATTTACGTGTGTGCTTTAACAAGGTCATTAAATTCAAAACTACTTCAAATGTATTTTTATAAACCAACATTAGTTAAAGGGCCACATCATGCAACTTCCTGAGGAAGCTTTCTAAACACCTTCCTAACATATCTCCTCTTAACATATCTTATGAAGTACTTTTTATGTCCATCAGTCGTACTTTTTGAACATTCCCATCTTGATCAACGACGCCATGACAGACCCGTCCACCTCGCCAAAGAAACGACCGACCTGGAAAATACAACGTGAACAAAGTTTGTTAGTTTGTTATTCTAGTTGAGCAACACAAACACAACACATCCATCCAGAAAGAGACAGCTGGAGAGACTGCATCATCAGTCACAACACAGATGATTACAAAACTAACATGTTAGATCATTGCGTTCTCTTATTTTCAAAAACGCTTTGGTGGACACGAGCCCTAAGGAGGGGGATATATTGAGACCGATGTATTTGTTGCTGATGTCGATTTCAGTTGACACAGAAGCTGTGGCAGCTGTTTTTTAAAATAGAAATGATTGTTGCTTATTTAGTCAGAAATATTTAATGTTAAGGTCTGTACAGCTGCATAAATTGCATCGATGCTTGTTGACATTTCTGTGGTCATTTTTCTGTCATGGATTTATACAACCAGGGAAACAGTGAGCACAGCATCACGCCTGTTTGAACCGCTGAACACATCTGAGACTAGAGCGACGATTACGAGGTCTGGAAACAAGCTACGTCGTGCCTGTACACAGACGAAAAAAGAAAACCTGCGGTCACCAACGGTATCCGGAGCAGGAGACGCTGCACTGAAGTGGGAGGAATACACTGTTCTCCTTCTAAAACCACAAACTGTAGTTTTGTGTTTTCTGTTTCAGATTAAATAAACATATATAATGTGTTGATTAGTGAGCTTTAGAAGTGCTGGGAGATGTTTTTTGAGCTGTTGACTAGGCTAACTGAGGCTAGCTGTTTCCTCCCTGCTTCTTTATGCTAAGCTAGGCTAAGCATATCCTGACTCCAGCCCCGTAGGTAACAAACAAACATGAAACTGTAAATAAAGAATAAGCACATTTATCTTCTAGTTTGCCCACATACATCTCACTAACCAGATTTCTTTTGTCTTTTTTTTTTTTTTTGGTCAATAATGTTTTGATCCTTATTTTGCTTCCCAGCTGCTGTGGCTGTGATTTAATTTTGTTCAATTCACCTCCAGTTTATACAGAGACAGAGTCATAAATTCAATTATCCTCAAGCAATTTTTTTTATTCCTGTAGGAAATGGTCTCTTGGAAGTGTCCCACAGTCTACTTCTTATAGAAAAGACTAACAACATAACAGATAGATACATAAAAAATAAAAAGGTCTGGTTATTGAGTAAAAATACAGGGAGGTTTCCTCAGGAATAAAACATGATTTGAAGTAATTTCTGTGTGTGTGTCTGCAGCGTGTCTGTCCTTTCTGGCCCTCAGCAGCAGAGTCTCTGAATTATTCAGAGCGTTTTGTCTCAGCTCGGTTCACGTTTACATCTGCTCTCTGCCCACACTTTATCTCCATCTGGAGAGGACTTTCCCAGCAGCCTCGGAGGACTCGCAGGTTTGCTGAGCGGTAGCTATCGGATACTGCTTACACCGAAACTTGACCCTCTGTTTATCTGACAGCAGCAGCAGCAGCAGAGGGTAAACATGCTGGAATAAACAAAAAGTAAGGGCAGTAAAAGTGCCAGAGTGAAACTCCTGCCAGGAGCTCTGCTGATGTACAGAAGGAACAAAATACAAGTTCAATTCTGCCTTCAGGCTGTAGAAGGCTTTCAACAGAAGCAGGGTATAATATATTGAAAGTACAACAGCTAGTAAAACATTAATAGATCAGAGATGGTCTAATCCCATTTTAGTCAAGCTAGCGCCAAGGATTGAAGGATGGAAACCTGTTAGTCCTTCAGTCCAGCACTTTTGGTCCAGAGTAAAACAGCTCAACATCTATAAGACACATAAAATGTGGTTGAGACATCCATGAGGATGAATCCTAATATCTTTCATTCAACAGTTTCATTTGTTCAAAACTTTAGTTCATGACAAAGAACCTCAAAGACTAACAACCGATGAATTCCTGTCAGCTTCAAGCCTCATGTTACAGTTTACCATGTTAGCGTGAAAAACGGTTTTAATGTCACACTGGTGCTAAATGTTCACTATACTAAACATTAAAGTCTTAACTTTACCAGTCGAGCCTAAATACAGATGAGACTGATGAATGTTGATCCAAGTCTGACAAGCTGAGTCTGCTATGATTTAGCATGTTAATGCATGTTACATGTCAGCATGCCAGACATTTGCTTGTCAGTGGTGTTCAATGCCGTTTGTTTTTCTTTTATTACCAATGATGGGCTGAAAAAGTCAAGATTTCACATTCTAACCATTTGGGCTTGAACATGTATGTTTGCATGCTAACCGGACAATAGTCTGCAGTCAAGGGCGTCACTTTGCGTTGGAAAGTGGGGGGGACACAGGGGCGCAGATTAGCGGTGTGACAATACATATTTAATACTAATTAGAAATATATATTCAATGCTGAAATATATATGAGTGGGGGCTCCGGGGGTCCTCCCCCAAACGATTTTTTGCACCAATTACTTACAGAAAGGGGACACACAAAATTCAGGTGGCAGGTGAAAATTCAAAATTTTAAAATTGATGCTGACAAGGTCCAGATTAGAACGAGTTCAACCACGTCTGAGAACTGAGAGTCTGAGATGTTCTATGTATATGTCAATTTATTTTATGGTAGACATTTGTTTGTAGAAAAACAAAGGTTTACCACTAGGGGGCACCAAAGGTCAATAAGTTTTGTTTAGCATGCTAGCATTAGCTTTCAACTCAAAGCACAGCAGAACCTCTGTACAGCTGAGTCCGATATGTCCTAAAGTGGCCACCGTACTATGGATACAACCTTTTAATATATTAATTAGTAATAGTAAGACAGCTTCTTTTCTTCTCAGGGCAAACTTCAATTTCTACCCCACTCGTGGTACGAATCTAAGAATAGAGAAGTTATCTCTCAACTTTCTATCCATCCAGAAATTTAGTTTGTTGGTGTGTCATGAACGTTACAGCGCCTCAGTGCTGTTGTTAATTTCAAGACATTATTGGACATAATAGGTTGTGTTTTACAATCTAACCCTGAGGATGAACGGTGGATTCCTGCAGCAGCTTCTCAGACAGGATCATTGATCAAACAGGCAACACGACCAATAACAAGCCGTACCGTTTTTGCTCCGTCACCCTGCTCACTACACTTCCTCACTCTGACCTATTTCTTTTAGTCATCCGTGATTTAATTTCTCTACTGATTAAATATTTACAGTGCCCTGAAACGAACTACGAGCTACACCTTCATACCACAGCGGCTTTAACACCAGGGAGGATTCTGGTTGTTTCCACAAACTTCCTGTAAAGTCCAGAGCTCAGCAAAACATCGAGTAAGCACTTTATCACAATATCTGCTTAGTAAGGCCACTGGGAACGCAGCAGACATGCAAATAATGAAAAATGAGCTTCTACGGTAAATTATTCTTGCTTTAAAGTTACTCTACACCAGAATATTCTGCTGCTGTGGGTAGAAGCTGTAATTTCCTTTTAAATCATACTTTATTCAACAATGTCACACAAGTACTGCTAGTTTTGATGCATGACAAATCTCACCACAAAGATTTGTTTGTGTTAGAAGAACACAGAAAACGAAATTAAACAGAAATGCAGGTGATTAAGCTCTCCCCTCTGGCTCACATATTGCAGGTCGTTGGTTACCTCATGTTTTTGCTCAGATATTATCCATTTTCTGAAACTTATAATTTAGTCATCGGAAAAACTGCACTGAACATCCAGTTTCAAAGGAAAAAAAGAGAAGGTGTTTCTGTTATTTCTCCTCCCCTCAGTGATATGTGGGGGGGCAATGATCAATGGGGTGGACAAAATAAAAGAAACACCTGTCAGGATAATGCAGTGCAACTCAACAGCACCACAAGCTACAAGCTCCAAAATTATCGTATAGTTGAATCAGTTGTTTGTTGTCTACAGTTGTTTTACACTTCTGGAAATGGCCATAAAACCACAACAACAAGCTTTGTATGATGTCCCCATTACAGAAATCAGCGTGGCAATATTATCGGCCAATCATTACCAGTATTTATTACAACCAATAAAAGACAATTAAAAAAAGAAACAGAGAGGCGGATCCTTCAGTCATGTTATGAGTGTTGTTGTTGAATAGTGTGTCCACCAGAGGGCGCTCTGCAACTCCCCTGTTGGCAACACACCAGTTTGGAAAGCCACAAAACAGAGCAATCAGCTGACGTGATCAACTGTACTTTTGTTCGAAGTTCTATTTATAATGCATCGTGTCATGTTATCTTGGTGAGATCTCATAGCTACACATAACAAATGTTAGGAATAATCTTAGTTTATGCTACGTGTTTCTGTAAAGAAGACAAAAAGAATAACGGACGATGTATCGGAACATCGAATTTAAAAATCCTCCATTATCAAATTCGGTGCCGGTCTTGAAAATCCCAGATTAGTTGGGCTCCAGTCCCCTTAACATGTGAAACCGGGTTTACCTGCGTTGTGATTTTCAGAAGAAAACACTGAACTAAGTTTACTTTAGAGTAAAGAAGTAAAATGTAAAGCTGAGGAAAATACAGGTCTCATTAACACCCATTTGGAAATTAATCTACCTGATCAGACAGTTCACTTGGATACACAACAAACAGGCTCAGCTCCCTGTCCACATTTACACCCTATTACATAAGAGATAATTCCACAGCGTTGCTCCGTCAGCAGCTCATCATCAGATACTGATTACCAGACACATATACATTAATTCAGCAGCTCTGCACTCAAGCTGGAGATCCACAACAGCTAAGCCTCATCTAGCCTCAACAGAGCCGGCTGCTGTTGCGCATCTGGCAGCTTCGTGGCCACTGACACCGTCCTGTAACACAAACGCCGCAGGCTCGACTCCCGGTAGCCAACCCTAAACCACACAACAAGCTGAAGCTCTGGAGAGAAATTCCACAGCTGAAACATAAGTAAACTTCCTCAGCAGGAGGAGGACATATGGGGCATGAACTGGGTATGTGAGTTTATGGTAGCATAGCGGGCTCTGGATTAATCCTCAGTAATATGGCTCTTAACAGCCTGAGTTAATCCAGAGCTAACGAGCAGCTGTCAGACGGACAGCAGGCTCACAGTCTGCACATCTCTACACAAAGCCACTTTAAAGGCCTTCAGTTATATCTGAAATGTATGGCAGCCCATTTTGGCCAGGAGAAGAAAAACAGATAGAAAGTAAAATAAATATTCATTATATTTATGAACGAGAAATAAGAAACAATTGTGAGATACTAAATCTATAAGAGCAATGTCTGGGCCCGTTCTGTTTGTATCGTGCACAACCCGCTGAAGCACCAACAAAGCAGGTGATGAGGAAGACTGCACAACAACGCCCAATTTAAAAATTCATTCACTCATATCTTTTAGTCAAGGTAGAACTTTTTAGGACTTTAAACGGACGGATCCGACCGGCCATACATCCGGCAGCTCGCTGGATGAGGTCAGCAGGTGCAACAGCTGCTATGTTTCACTGCTAATGCACCACACACACACAGATTAAAAACCAAAACTATCCTCAAATACTCTGAGCCATCCAGATGTTGTTTATGAGCACATTAAATGATCCAAAGAGCTGCCATGAAGCTGAGAAACCTCCCGACCAAAACTCATCCTGATTGTAAAAAGAATCAACTTCCCGACTCAGAGTAATTAAAAACAAGCAGGTCACAGTGTTCCCATTTAATTAACCGAGGACTTAAATCTGCAGCTCTTCTTCCAAATCTTACCATTCAGAATAATTATCCTCCTTCAAGACACAGTTTATGTTCATTTCAGTAATAAACTTTAAACATAATTTGGTTAGTTACATTATTGAAGGAGGGGCTATTTTGAAAACTCTTGAGCTGCTGAACATCTTCCTTTTCATTGCAAAAATTACCAGTCACATTATCCCCTTTCCCAACATGTTTAAACTTTTGATTTACTGAAAATGAATTTGGTGCTGTGGGCATCTTGACTCTTTATCTTGTTGAAGCATCCTTGAACACTCAGAGATTTAAAAACACTTCCTGCTCACAAGTGAAGTACCAAACAATGACTGACTCAAAAACATGAACGTGGACTGAAGGTTGACTGTGATGAATGGAAACCAAAGGCGGCCTGGAAGAAAAGTAATCAGTCTACTCAACAGTGACAAAATATTTGCAAAAATGACTTCTGTAAATCATAGCGCAACACACATCAGCCGCACACACCCAACAAGTGACACAAAGAGAAGTATTATTCAACGTACAGTAGCTGGAAAGTGAAAATCCAAGCGATAAATATGGTAAAACTTTTGCTTTTCTGGAGAGTTGGTCAGCTGATGTGTGTCAACCCAACATTAAACTGCTGCTCTGAGGGTTTAAAGAGAAACCAATGGGTGCAGGTTTGTGTAGCCTATAATGACTATTTACATTATTGTCTAATCAATAATTTATTCAGTCTATAAAATGTCAGAAAAATGAGACGTCTTCAAATTACTTCTTCTGTCTGACTAACAGCCCAAGATATTCAGTTTACAATGATATAAAACAGAGAACAGCAGGAACCAGACTGATGTGATTGCAAAAAACGTGATTTAACATTGAGCCATTTTTATTTTTTTTACACTTTGACGGCCGAGGGGAAATTCGTTAGTTCTCGGTATTTAACTGATCCTAATTAGGAGTAGCGGGCAGCCATTGTGCAGCGTCGACTGAGCTTTGCTGCAAAAAGAAACCTTTCTGAATTTTAAAGATTGAAATAAAAAAAGAATCAACTACTTTCTAACTCCTGAAAACACCGGGAACACATCTGGGTTCAAAATCTTCTCAATCACAGTGTAAAAACTGGAGTGGTGAGGTGTCCAGGTGAGATCTTACCTCGCTCCTCTCTTTGGACAGCAAGATGAAGCCGTTGTTGTCGACCAGGAAACAGTTCAGATCCTGAACAGGAAGCAGAAGGAAAAAGTGCGTATTTAAGGTTTTAGAGCATGAAGCACTGATGTTTGGTGCTGAGCAGGGCAGGATTACTTACAGCACTTTCACAGCTGAGAGGACACACGCCTTCAATGTTTGAACACTGAGAGAGAGAAAGAGAAAAAGTGTAAGAGAGGAAGGGTCGAAGGTCATCAGGAGGATCACACATCACACAACACAAGAAGAAGGAGCGTATTTTACAAAGAGTAAGGCCTCCATAACAAAGTTGTGTTGATTCAAGAGTTTGAGAAATTTAAACTATCTTTAATTTCCATTATATTATTCCATTACACAAAATAACTGTAAAAAATAAAGTTAGTTTCTAAATGTCTGCACAAAGACAATAAAGTCAATTAAGGTTATTTAAATTGAAGCAACCAGGATGTGATGCGTGTGAAAAATGTGCCTTTACTATTACAATGTGGTGTGACATGTTTTCATTACATTTGGTTTTTCAGATGGTTTCTTTCATCAACAAAGCTTAAAAATGAACTCTTAAAACACAACTTTCAGTTTAGCCCCAACATCGGCTGCCGTAAATGACAATAAATAACGCAAGCTTTAAATGAATACTCAGTGTTTACTTACGTCTGTGTCGCTGGGCTGGAAGCAACAAGAGTCGAGGAGGGAAAAAGAAAAAACAGAAAAAGATAATTATCAATAAACTACAAACTAATAAAACAACATTTCTTATCGTGCAGTAGAATCACAACAGAAGCAAAGTTTAACTATTTGTTTTCACTTAAGAAATAAAACACATTTTGTGAAAGTAGGATTCCTCCCTGACAATTCAAACTTAATTTGCAGGCTATTTAAATAAAAAATAAGAAAATAAAAACAGGTAAAAAGATTACTGTTAAAATCCAAATGGAGCCCATCACACCGTCTTTTCGGTTTGGTGCTGTTTTACAGTCAAGGCACATAACTTAGCTAGCTTTAAAGATTTAACCTGGTTAAATCTCACAGAAATGTTCAGCTTTTATAAAATGTGGTTGTTTTTCAAAATAGATGGATCTGTATTAAATGCCCTCCGACAGCTTCGGTTTCCTCACATAGTGAACAAATGCACCAGGCCACAAATCCAGATAAATATACTTAAATTCTGTTTTAGGACGAAGCAAACAGACCTTGTATCTCCAGAATACAAACTGCTCCGCAGCAGAGAGAAGTAGCCTTGTGTCAAAATTGACATCTCTTTTTTAAACAATGGGAGAAACATTATATAAACTGTAAATCAGTGGCGACAGGATGTAAATGTGGTCTGTGCACGAGCTAATGTCAGCAGTGAAGCAGTCCTGTGAATATATTAAAGCAGCCGGTCGCAGCTGTCAGCTCTCATTAATAACGTTATCTGCACCATCAACCTCTACAGGACATCTGCACACATTCGGCCGCAGCTCTGCTTCACTGAACTGCAGGAGACGTTCACAAGGTCACAGACCTGTAGAGTGTGAATGTCGTCTGCCTCGTGTCATTTCTGGGGACAAATTTAAAACCCCGAGAGGCTGCGGAGCTAATTACACAACAGAAAACAAAAATGGAGAGACAAGTTGCCTTTTATTAGATCCTGACCACTCGATGGGTGAAAATAAAAGCAAGTACAGTTTGTCCTGAGGAGGGCGCCAGAGGAAAGCTCAAGTTGGTACCCAAACATAAAAAGTGTTTTTCCTCTGTACGGTGGTTATTTTAGGAGATCTCACACTCACACATTAATTACAATAAAATCTAGTTGTTATGATTTGTAGATTAAACGGAATTAATTTGTTTTAATTTCATTTAATTTATTGTTTATTTGAAAAGGGACAATGTACATCAATAAACATTCAAAACAAATGTAAATGTACCCAAGTTAGCCACAGGCTAGTTTTCATCGGCAGTCCCTTGACATCCTAAAATAATAAACTAATATAATACAATAAAATACATTTAACAATAGTTCAAAATTACACTGCAAAAGGTGCAGTAAATCTGTGCGGAGGTTAAAGTTTAACTTTGAAACACAAATTTGTGCCCTCGACAGTCCTGACAATGTTGAACTTTGAAGGGATGAAGAGCCATAGACTCCAAAATAGAAGACGCTATCACAAAAGGGGTCTGCAGTCCGACGTGAGACAGGCGCATGCTAGCCAACTTTCACTGTGGCTGGCCTGCAAGTTACCAATCAACACGGCAGCCGCAGTAGCTCACCTGCTATCCTCGGCAGTCATTACATTACAGAACTTCCAACACCAGCTTTAGTTTCAACGCTGTTCCACTTCCTAGTTTAATTTAACACTAAGCTGGACTGAACAACTGGGCCTATTGGATGTTAACATACTAACATTAAGCACGTGTGACATGTTCGCTTGTTCTTAGTTCAGCTACCATGGATTTTACCATGGATTTTTTTTTTTTTTTTATAGTGGGAACCTATTTATCTAGAATTACACTGTTGATTAAATCACTCATTATCTCAGCTTTACCTTCATTGACAAAATTAGGAACGAGGCCACTTAAATAGTTGAAAACTTACTTGTGAACATGAGAGCAAACTGAAGAAACACTCATCTTTACTTTAAAAAGGTCAAACCAAGTTGTTTTAACATCCTAATGGGATTTTATTCTGTGCACATTCCACTTTAATCTTAATATGAAAAGTCTAAAGGATTTATGCATATAATTAATGGGCTCTGTTCCCTAATGAAGTGAAGTAAAATTGAAAACATGACCTCTGAAACCAAAGGATTATTTCTGGACAGTCACGCAGCAAAAATGATGTTTGTCCTTGAGAGCAACACAGTTAATACAGTAGTAACAGCTTCCTTGATCTGGCTCTCTGCTCCCTCAATGCTCTGCACTGTCTCAGCTTTCCAAAGATTTTATCATAAATGTTCTACCTCAGACTTGTGAAGTGATCCACTGTTTAGCATCAAGTGTTGCCCATAAAGAAGAGTTTAACCATCAGGTTTCTTCAACTTACACTCAGGGGCAAAAATCAGCCTTTAAACTCAAAAGAAATAACGATTTGATACTTAGCGTGATAATTATCGATAGACAGATTTTTATCGTTATTACATTTTTGTCCGTATCGTCCAGCCCTAGTGTGACACTGTGGCTAGAAAAGCTAAAGCAAAGTCACTCGCTTTATTCAAAATAATGTCATAACCTGTGGTCATAACCATGTACCGTTTGGTTTTACAGTTTTGCAATTCAGTCACGTGACGTGCGCAGTGACCTGGAGGGCAAAACAACCTAGCGGCTCACACCACGACTCCCCCGTAGAGACGCCGCAAAAGCATCTAATTTTATTTGGATCACCTTTCAACTTAAGATATGAACACAAACTGCAAGTGTTGGGCGTATCCGATCCATATAAAGTTACAGCATTCGCTGCCGCATTTCTACAGTAAAAAACCGCCAGGTCCCTGCCGCCACTCGCCTGCGGTATGTTTACGTTTACCTCGTGGGGAATCCCTCACCTAACACATCCCAAGGTTGTCTCCTCCTCAATTAGTACATCTGAAAGCACAAAAACTATCCAGCATTTCCAGCAACTCAAAGTTACAGTGCACCACTTGTATATTGGTCGGCAGGCAGCGGAAAAATAACTTCTTTTTTGCCCTCCAAGGGAGCGTTTTCATTGGAATGTGACGTCACATGAGAACTATGAATAGGTGCGGCTAATCCACGGATCTGCAGAAGTCAATTCACTACAGAATCTTCTGCTGTTCTACTCAAAATACTGACTGAGCACTTCAACACAACAATGTCATCTAGGGACAAAGTTTATGCTCCCAGTTTATTTTACTGTAGGTAAAACTGCAGAAACTTAAAGGTCCCCTGTGGATTTTTTTCACAAATAGCAGCGCTATGGAGCAATATTTTTGAGAGTGGGTCCCTGATTTGTTAGTTCTTGTGCACACATGAGGATGCACACGTGCGCTTTTTTTTTTTTATCATGAAAGAAATTTATCCACCATGTTTGTTAGACCTGAGATCTGAGAGTTATATATAGATATAGAACAGACACTTTATTTGTTAACCGGAAACAGGCTGGTGTCATCGTGGTCAAGTTAAAAGCTTAGGGTTGAAGGGGGTGAAATTTGATATCAATCAAACACAAGTCAATGAAATGTCCCCAAAAATGGCATCAGCCAACATGTGTGAGAGTGAGCCCTCCGGTCACCTGCTTGGCGATGGCCCAGAACTTCTTTTCCAGCCAATCCAAGGACATCTGCACCCCGACAGCTAAAAATAGAAAACACACACACACACACACACACACGTATTAAAGACAGACGCAGGACAAGATGGACTCTGCAGATGCGGCTTTGAACAGTTTGGTGTATTTGTGGAGGAAAGGATGAAGACAGGAAATCAATTCGACCCCTGGGTTCACCTCTGACGCTAATGAAATGATGTAAACACTGACGAGCCTGATGGTGTGTGTGCTCCCAGCAGACTGTGTAATGATGCCCTCAGCCCCTCAATAACGCAGCAGCTTTATAACTGAGTATCAAAGTGAAGTACACAGCGAGCATTCAGGAGCAAGCTGGATGGTGAACAATCTGTGTGAAGTCAGATATAAGTCAGATATGTGCCTAGAGGAGTCACACGACATGTAGCTTGTTTTCAGACGTCACTCACTAACAACTGTACAATCATGGCAACTCTGTACAAAAAAAGACGTTGGAGGGTCGTGTCTGTGTGAGGTATCAAATAAACAGTGCATGAATCTGCTTTAATATAAACTGCTAATGTTAGCGTGCCTGCGGGACTAGAGCATTTTATTAGTAACTTGCATAATTATGTAGGATTACAGGTTACATAAGTGCTGCTTTATCAGAGTTTAGCCTAATGTTAGCATCTCTGTGTTTGTCTATATTTAACTTGTGAAAGTAAAAAAAAAAAATCCAACAATGAAGGTTAAATTGAATATTTGTTATTCTACAGTTGGCATCCAAATGGGGTTTTGTTCACCAACACTCTACTATAATTATAAGGTTGACTAGCTTTACCCTGCAGTACAAGAGCAGTGCTGCTCCTTTATTCCCACATTTCTCGGCATTTCTCGGCCTTTGCGATGCTTGCCACAGTTATCCAAGTAACGTTAGAGCGATCAAAGGAACTATAACTGATTTAATGAGCCATTTGCAGTTTCAATGTACCGGCCGTGTGTACTTAAGACTTGCATGGCTTAATCTTTGAGACAAGCATATCATCAGCTGATGAGGATGCCGACTATTTGCCTAGGAGGACCAGTAGCATTAGTGCGTATTTAGAACTCCCTTTTCAGATTTCTCATTTTCAGTCAGCAAGACACATTAAGAAGTCAGCTGGCGACGACGTTTCCAACCAGTTAATAATGTTTTTTTACATGTAAAAAAATTGTTATTGCTGATGGTCGCCGACCAAATGAAAAGCTTCTTTTGTGTGCCACTGTTTTAAGTTAAGGACTCAATGTTTGAATAATTACAAAATGACCGTGAATGTGTCATTGTAAACTGTGCAAGAACGCAAAGTGACCGTAATTAAGTAGGGACGGGGCTTAGTGAAGGGTCACTTAAACAGCTACAAAGACAAAGCAAGAGAAGCAATAACCCAAATGCTGTTCTTTTTAGTGCTTTATAACTGAACTACTGTAGTTAATCTGATCAGCATCTCCATATGCCAACACCTGTGAGGCGGATGGATTATCTCAGCAAAGGAGAAGTGCTCACCGACACACATTTGTGAACAATATTTGAGAGAGATAGGGCTTTTGTGTACATTGAGAAAGTCTTAGATCTTTGAGTTCAGCTCATGATGAATGGGGGCAAAAACAAAAGTGTTGCGTTTCTAATTTTGTTCAGTGCATTTCATCACTGAAGATTTCTTAAAAATAGAATGAAAATATCGTCTGGTCTGGTCTCGTGCGTCGTCACATCCTATAGGCATCATGTTTAGCTATGTGACGATACACTTAGCTCACGAGATGAGACGATATTTTAATACTATTTAAGAAATCTTCAATGATGCCTGTAAATGTGGTGGATGGTGAGGGATTTGGTACCAGAGGCGTCAAATAATACTACGCTGGTGGGTGGATTAGAGCCAATAAACTGGACTGCTGATATTGTATTATCGCAGATATAAAATTATCAGCATAATTAAGAAAATAAAATAAAATAAGAAAGTCCCCATTACATAGTTTGTCCACCAGAGATCGCTGACAAGTTTTCCAATGAAACAGGTCCTGTCCAGAATGTATTTTGGTCACTTTATTGTTAAAAATATATATATTTTTATGTCATTTGTTTATGTTAAAGATAAATATTGGCCTCTATAGTGGCGGATATTTTGGGTGTTTCTTGCTACCACCTGATTGGCACATTAACTTAATTAATTAACTTGCTTATTATTTAATTAAAGTCATTACCAGGGCAATGAAAAACACAGTGTGCCTGCTGAGATCCGGTCCGATCCGGTGGCCCCGTCCGCAGCAGCCCTCCCCCTGTCACTTGGTTGACTGCAGCGTTAGAGGACCAGCGTTTCCACTCAGACCAACAAAATAAGTGTTTTTTGTCACTTCTATAATGAAAACTCTTCCTCACACAGGCAGCTCACAGTCTCACACCCAGATGAGTGATTCGAGGCGACACATCGAGCCTCCTGTGAACTGGTATTATTGGAAAAGCAGAGCAGCTGTAAAATATCTTGTTTGTGGTAATTTCTGGATATTGAGCTTTTTGTTATTGAGCATTTTCACAGACAGCGGATTCTCCTCTGATGCTGCAGTACAGAAAATAAAAACTGCTGGTAAATTCAGGTGTGACCAAGTCAAGGATATTAACTTTGCTTCCTTGATGTCATTTTAAGAGACATCTCATTTTGATTGAAATATTTTATCAAAACCGGAAATATTAACTTTTCTTTATTGGCATGCAAAACGATTTGTTTATTTCTCCAAGATTAGCCCGAACTTGTGATCTAAACCCCGCGAGAAACTGGAAACTCTCTTGTTAAACAGTGAACAGTGATTAATCTCTGCCTTATACTGTTCAGCTTTTACCTTGAGCTCCTTATCTGACATATTAGAAAATAAACAACATTTAACAGCTATCCTGTTGTGTTGCTGGTCAGTGATGCAGATTCAAGTTCTACCTGAACTTAAATTGTATTGTCCCCAATTGGAAATAAGCCAGTCTAATTATTGGTAATGCCTTAGAGCTCCAGCAAGGAGAACTGCATTTGTCTCCCTCAATCAAGTATTGGTTTCTTTGTGCCTCCTCCCGTTATTCCCTCTTTTTAATTCAATTATCATGCAGCAAGCACCCTCAACTTGTATTAGAATTTAAGTAATACTTGTTTAAAGCAACGTTATATGAGAACTTCATTAGGCCTCCATTATGGTCTTGTCTCATTTGTGGTCTGATAAGCAGTAAACTCCTTTAATTCAGTGCCTCATACTGTTGTTTTCCCAATATATGTTACTATAGCCGACCTGTGTGAGCGCGGAGTAGAATTGGAAAAACAATGAGTTACCGAGCTAGATTCTTATTGGTTGAAGATCCATAGTTAGTGGCGTGTGACGAAGTGCCGCAAAGCATTCCACTCCTCTCCAGGGAGATCGCACCCGCTCCACCCAAACTACATTAAAGAGGCTTCATTTTCCCCATTACAAGGCACTGTACCATCAAAATTGTCTGGAAGCTGCTATTTTAGGGTAAGATAGTTGCATGAACTGAACGATCCAAGTTAGTGAGAAATCCCTGTTTGCGCGACGGAGAGCTGAACAGTCATTTAAGAGAGTCAAGTTTTGAACTGGGACACGTTTACAAGCTCAGAGTGAAGCAGGAGGGTTGTAGCGGAGGGAAGAAATGTGATGCTGCATTTGTGTTCAGAGCGAGTTGTGACCTTTGGCTGCTTTAAACCTCTTAAGGCATCACGCTCCTTCATTCTTTTAAAATAGCCTCTCTGCAGACTCAGTGGTCTGCGGCTTTGCTCTGCTGTTTGATTTCATTTCTGTTTTTTTTCCCCCCTTCTCCTTTCCTGTCAGCAGCGTCCTTATCGCCGCCCTTCAGCGCTGCAGCTGCACTGTTTCTGCTGCAGTCTGCACTCTCAACAGAGTCTCCAGGCCGGGACAAAACACATCCGACACATTTATTCTACTTTCTACCGTCAATAACTCGCAGATATTTCACACGCTCTCAGGAAATGTGTCTTTTTATGGACACGAGGAGCACATTATGACAAAATGAGAGGATCTGCAGCTGCGTTTTTATTCTTACACATGTGCACTTTATTTTACTAGTCGACAACTTCTCCTGTGTAATGTCACTGTGTATCGAGGGTTATGCTGCAAACCCGAGTGCACCACTGAGAACATTAAAATTTTATGGTCCAATTTCCGACCAGCACTGTTTATATAACATATCACATGAGCTCCTGTTGGACGCCTTCGGACTGTATAATTCTCATTGTCTCCGTTGTTAATGGCAGTTAACAGCAAAAGCTGCTACAAAATCTGCTGCAACCGGTCAATTTCACCACTGTGATCAAGACATTTTCATCTAGTTTTGTCTCATCTGAAGCTTTTGTACTGACAATGTAGTAATGGCAACACACACAGACTGATCTATAGCCTTTTACACCAAAATTAGCGCTTATAGATAAATATTAACCTTTTGTTTGTTTGTGTACACGAGCTGTAGTCAGGATGTGGTTAGCTTAGCTTAGCATAAAAACTGGAAGCAGGGGGGGGGGGACAGTTAGTCTGTTGCTGTTCGAAGTGCAGCTTATATGTGCGTCTTAAATACATTGATATAGCAATCGACTCGTTTCACATTGCCAGGAGATGGTTTTGGCTTTTCTGTTTTATTCTGATGTCTCAAACAGGTCGTTTAACAGGGTTAGTAAACAGCAGAAAGCAGCACGGAGGCCAGTGACCCATAGACCAGAAAAATAAGGTGTAGCTGTGGTGTTATTGCAGCACCATGCTGGGCAGGTGACCGATGTGTTTACGGTGATTATGTGCTCTGAAAGACGTCACAGTGCAGATAAGAAGTCACAGCTGATGGACTGTTAGTATAACATGCTAATAATTCATAAACATATAGTTTTAATACACAAGGTTCTGGTAAAATTAAATAAAAATAAACACAAAATGGGTTTAGACATAAGATTAAATAGTCAAATAATCTTCACAGTTATGATTAGTTTAAGTTCAAAGATGTTAGTTAAGTGTTGCTAAAAGAATAGTTTAGCATTTTTTTCTTATTTACACCTCTAATACCATTTGGTTTCTTTCAACAAGTGAGGTGAGAAGATCAACAAGCTATCAACCTCACCTTATGTCTTTTTGTGTTACGTACAGAGATGGAGTCAAGATGTGGTTAGCTTAGCTTAGCATAAACAGTGGAAGCAGGGGGAAACAGCTAGTCTGTCGCTAAAGTTTAAAATTACACCTCACTAATTAAAAACAACAATTTGTAGAACTATTCCTTTATAAGAGTACTACTCCACCGATTCAGCATTTCACTGCTATATCACGGTCAGGCTCGTGATGGACAGCTTTTAAGGTTAAAGGATCAAAATAGATTTTTTTATTCCACACATTCTTCTTCTTCTTCCATGTCAAAACCTGCCGCCTACTGTACATTACCCATAATGCAGCTCGACCGGAGACAGTTTAGTCTGACATTTGGGTGTGTTATGGAGCATCTAGCCTTCAACTGTTGCAATAGAAATGCTGTTTGTTAACTAATGCCAAAATACTAACAATACAAACTAATGATTAAGATTTTCAATTGAAGGACCTCTCTGTGTCATACTTTATCCTTCTGTCTCACACTTTTAATCAATTTAATTCACTTTTGTAGACTTTAATGGAATTGATATTATGAAAACAATATTGCCAGAGTGTCTAAAAAGAATGGAGAGATCAAATAAACACATTTAAACATTAAATATCCTGATGAACAGTGATCGAAGCAGTATGAAAGTAAAATCAAATCGATTATAGTGATGGTTGCGGAGGATTAAATCAAGTTAAGGATTATTATGGATTTTCTGTTTGTTCCCTCAGTTCCATATTGTGTCAGAATATCCTGCCTGTCCATCTGCAAGTAGAAGCTGGTCTCTACATTTATCTAGTTTCCCTAGATTCACTGTTAAAAGATGATGCTGGTCATATCCTAAATTTGTCTTTTGCTGTATCACATTAAAAATTTCTCTCTCAGTCATTTTTTGGGTCAAACTCAAAAGTGCTCTATTGGCATAGTTCGGCACAGTGCTGCAAAGAAATACTACATATTATAGTCTCTCTCTCTCATTCAAAGTGCATCCCTCTCTCTCTTTTTTCATTCATTCAGAGCTCAGCCTGCAGCTGCAACACCCTCTGCTGTTACTATTTCTGTCAAACTCTGCTTTAATGCACATTACACACTCAGTACCACACACACACCATTAGCGGCAGCTCAGAGGCAGCATGCGAGCTCACTCTCTCTCGCTCTCTCTCTAAAACACACAGAGAGGCTCGCTCGCCCTCAGTTGGCAGACTGGGCGTGTGCTGGACAGAGATGTGGGAGGATCAGAGGGACCCGAAGCGATGAGGATGAATAGGAGAACGACGACGAGCGGCGTTTGATCCGGAGTAAAACTCCAGTCCAGCTTCTGGTTTGAAGACACCGTCAGACTCTGGTTTTAATGAGGAATCTAGCTTCTGGCGTTTTAAGCAGAGACCAGTTTCTGTCCTTGAAGACAAGTCCGGTTTCTGGGCTCAGATTTTAAAACACAAATCCAGGTTTTGGTTTTAAGACAGAAGAGCTTCAGTCCTTTTTTTTGGGCTTCTTTTCTGAACGCTGCAGATGAAGGAGAAGAACTGTTTCTGTCTTCATTCTCTGTTTGGAGGCTGAAGCAGCAGAGCAGATGGTGAGCGGTGTGTGTGTGTGTGTGTGTGTGGATACTGAATATACAACACGTGCATGTGCCTTTGAAAGCAATAAAGAGTGTGTGTTTGTTTGTCTATGCACACAATACAGCCAGACGTAAGTGGACAATTAATGCTACAGCAAACTGGATCTGCAACTAAAGATTATTTTCATGATTAATCAATTTACATTAGTTCATTTATCTGACTTACAATTGTTATACATGTCAGAGGTCGCACACCTCTGGAGCAACGAGGGGTTAAGTGTCTTGCTCAGGGACATAATGGTAGATAGGTCACAGTGGGGGATTGAACCTGGGCCGCTCACACCAAAGACATAGTCTTATCCATTGCACCATCACCACCCCCAATTAATGGTTTTGTCTATAATGTCGATCCCTGTTTCCAAGAGCCCAAAGTGGTGTGTTCAAATGTCGCTTTGTGCAACAAACGCAACAAAAAGTTGTTTTTAAAAAATAACATATGTTTGATTAGCAGCTTATCAAAACGCTTGCGCATTAATTTCAATAAACTAATTGTTGTTGCGGCTGCTTGTTGTATAGCACACACAGTTTGTATTCGTCTCTTTCCTGTGCACAAGGCCAGGTCAATAAATAAATGGTTTTCCCAGTTTGCTGTGGAAGAACTTGGCTGTCCTCAACCCCTTTGTGATGTACTGAAATACAGACTCTGAGACAAACCTGATCACCAAACATCAGTGTTGGACCTCACCAACGCTCTTGTTTCTAATGGGAGCAAATCTGAGGTAACAAAAATCTGATTTTAAAAATGTGAAACCAGAAGAGTGGAGGTTGTTTCAGCAGCATATCAATACCCATGGCTTTGGAACAACATGCCTACCACTATCACATATGGGCGTAATCTTCAGCTACTGTTTAATACAAGTGCATCTCTGTGCTTTTGATAGAGAGAGAGCCTCGAAGCATGTGGGAGTGAGCTTATGTGTGTGTTTTTGTGTGCAGTCAGCGTGTGTGTGTGTGTGTGTGTGCTTGTTGTGTACTTGTTCTCTGTCGTTTCCTCACTCATCCTGCCTCAGCGTGGATGCTGCAGTGTGTTTGTGCTCTCGGCCTTTTGGACCGAACGCTCAGCTGCCTCGTTCTCAGGCTGTTTGGAGAAAAAGTGCAGCCACGGGAGGGAGGGATGGAGGGTGGGGGTGGTGGTGGGCGGTGGGGGTTTAGGGGGGCCCTGTCAGAGGCCATTAAAGCAGCCAGTGGGACGCCACGTTAGAGCCCAGAATACCAGAGCGATGCACTGCAGATGAAGCAGGGAACATCACATCAGCAGGACTTCAGTGACAGAATCCAAACAGCAGCGTTTTAAATCGTGATAATAATACAGCACTTTACTACGTGAAAAAATGAATGTTTTGCTGGTCTGCTTTGTCAAACAGGCACCAAGAGGCTGAAAAAGGCAACTTGAGACCAGAGGGCTGCTGGTTTAAATCCATGGACCTTCAGGAAAACAGTGAACAATGGTCTAAAAAAAACACAGATGTGGCATCAGCAAGGTTTTTGCCAGAGATGTTTCGAAACCTCAAGGTTGGATTTGCTGCCGTCTTTGTCAGTTACTGCAATTAGCTGCTGAGAGCCAAAACTATTTGAAGGAAAAATGCAGCCTGAAGCTCTGCACAAAATTTTGGGTTGTTTCCCCATTCACTTCACTTCGGCCACAGATTTCCGGAGCAGCATGTTGAGGCCATTAGAGGAACTGCAGCTTAAAGCACCTCAGCACGGATATATATTTTTTATTTTTTGGTATTACCTGTTAACAAAAGGCTAGTTCACAAGAAGTGAGTAGTAACATGATAACCCAAGTGCATGAGTAAAAGCAGATGTAATAACAATGACTGTTAACTTAACGTAAACTGTGGTTGGCTGGCTAACAAGGTCACCTTCTCTAAACGCGCAATCAGATTGATCGGAGATGAAATGATCAGTTCAGAGATAGAAACGGAGAAAAACACAAACAGCTGTTCAGAGGCTCTATTGGACCTCCAGAAAGTGCATCATGCTCTCATCTTTGCCTCGTCCTGACTAGCTCACTGGTGTGAACACTGTACTGTGTATTGTGAAACTGCTTTAAATGCAAGTCTCAACAGATGTTTGATAATGACACAACAGTAAAAACAGTAAACAGAGAGCGAGCACATCAGAGGCGGGGCGGTGGTGGTGGGGTTCTCAACACCATCTGGACTCCTGAGCAGGCGCCTGCCCCACTCAGGGATTGAAACCACAGTTTTAATCTGTGACCCGTCACTGCTGCGTGGGCGTAATCTGGTTGATGGTGCTTTTCACAAGCTGTCATCACATTAGGACCTGTACTGTACAATTAAGTGAACAGCGTTTATTTGCCGCAGGAAACCAAACTTGTTGACTTGTAAGGTAGTAAAAACAAGCATGAAGTGGTGAGCCCTAACCACGGGAAAACAATGATTGGCAATGGAGGCATTTTACAAGGCATCTTTATCTGATTGGAAGAACTAGATATTAAACTTCAATATATTTGAATACCAACAAAATATGCCTCTAACATATCAAAAACTGACAACTTGGTATTGAAGTCATGGTCATACTATTAAAAATGAACCATGCTTCTCTGGACTGACTATCAGTGAATGTGCACAGTGTACTTTTCCATATCAAACCTGGCCTATTTTGTTTGATTAAACAAAACTAAGAATCTACAGCTATGCTAGCAGCACTCTGAGTCTGTGTGCTTCAAGGTAAATACCATGGTCAGCAGGCTACCATGTGCTAATTAGCAGGGAGGCTGATGGGAATGTCATTAGTTCTACAGGTATTTGGTTATATCCCAAAGTATTAAAATGTTGACCTGATGATGGCGCTAGATGAAAAGTCAGAGGATCAAAGTTATTAATTCTACATTGAATTCAGTGCCAATCCATCATGTAGATGTTCAGATTTTTCAATTGATAAGTAAAAACTTTGACCTTCTGGTGGCATTAGAGGGAAAGCCAGGGGATCACCAAGTCCTTAGGATACTCTGAAGTACCAAATTTCAGGGCAATGAATTCAATACCAAAGTAGCCTCTGTGTTCTCTGTGGTTTCTAAAGAGTCTAAAGAAAAAGACTTCATGTACTGCAGAGTGAGGAGAGCGATGGTGAATAGCAGAAAGGCAGCCAGGAGCAACTTCAGCTCTTGATAAACAGAAGATGACATACCAACCCCTACGTTTGCTTTTGTGTTGGTCCTCGGCTTGAAGCCATACACGTGTTTGAGCATGCAGCAGTGGGTGTGTGCGGTGTTTGGATGTCGTACAATGTTCTCAACAAGTCCCAAAGTAAGTCTTTTGACGAAGGCGTTGTAGGGGACTTGGTGTTTTCATTATTCGGCTCTGTCTTCAGGATTTATGTAAGGCGAGATCACGTTTTTTTTGTAAATCCTTCCTCCTGTTCTACGTCCATCTGCCGCTACAACCGACAGACAGGGAGTGGGGTCAGAGGTCATCTTCTCCACTGGATACTCTATGGTCTGATAAAGGCCCCGCTCATCCTCTTTTAAGCTGCTGTACAAGATCTAATGTGACTGTCATCAGTCACAGCTCTGAAACGGCCCAATATAACTGCATTTTCTGAAGCATGTTTTTTGCTGTAATTGTACATGTTTGCAGTTCACGATCTGACTAATTCCTTCTTTTTCCTCTTTTCTCTGTTATGTTACGTTAATACGGTGGCGTAATGTTTTGGGACAATTACAAACTTTCTGCGCAGGTAAATACATTTTCCATTGACCTCCACTGCCGTCAAATTTGCTTCGCTTTTAGTGCACACATTAAAACTACCTGACTAAGATTATAAAACGATTGCCTTAATGGCCGTAAGAAACCACTGAAGGTTCCGATTTGGTGATTTGCAGATCAAAAGATGAGTTGGGATAAACTTGGGCTAAATATGGTCGTAAAATGACAGCTGATATTATAGAGATAGATCGAGAGAGCGATAGATAGACAGAGCTAGAAATAGAAAGACAGAGAGACACAGACAAGATATGAGACACAATAAACAGTCAGTCACACACAAGCACATATACAGTATATGTCTATATGTAACAGACATCTCTAAAAATAAATATAGAAATTAAAAGTTTAAATTCATCCAATGGGATGAGACTTTCAAGTTGGCAGGTCCTTACTACGTGTTGAAATACAGTCAGAATAGTTTGAGACAAGAATCTCAACAAACACCATTATATTTCTGAGAAGAAACAAATGTCTCTGCAGATCTATGCAGAGAAGGGTGTTATGGGAAACCGTAGGTTGCAGAGACTCGAAGAGGAGCCTCGCACACGGACCTACCAAGGCTCGACAACTCACTGTGTGGCTGACTGCTTCATCTAAGTTCCTGTCAGGAGGCACATTTTGAAATGGATATGTTAATATTATACGCAAAATCCATACAGATCAAAAGAAAACAGCCAACGTCTCTGAGTTAAACCTGTGAGCGTGCACACTGGGAACCAAGCCTTTGGTAACAATGAATATTGGGTAGGAGATTAATGCTAACTTTCACATGCATTGTTCATCTAGCTGTCCAAACGACCTCCCACCTTTGTTGCTTTGAGAGGAGAGTCATTATTTGCATGAGCACAAGAGGATATTTTGTTTTAAGCTTTTTTCTAGTTAAAAAACCTGCAGATAGCCTGAGCATCAGTGCTTGCTGTACATTATCCTCTATATGTGGAGGATTTGCTTATGATTATCATCTGGAAACTAAGGCTCTGACTTTGCACTTTGCATTCTTTGGGAGTTACATTTTATATCTCCTCCCATTATCTCCCTCCTCTACCTGCATTGTAATTTCTCCTGTTTTGTAATGTCAACTGTAGCCTAAAGGCACCTTGCCGCCTCACGCAGTCCGCGGGAGAGTGACTGGCATCTTTGTGCCAGTTTAACAAAAGGAAGACCTGCAACAAAAGAAAGACCCTGAGGCAGCGTTTTACTGGCTCTTTATAGCGGCTACAGACGGATGATGGAGTGACAGCACTTTTCTTTTCCTCTGCAACTTTATCTCTCATGCACACTTCCCCTGCGCATCTGAGTGCCGCAAACTGCCAGAGACATCAAGAGAAGGAAAATGAGTGATTTTAAAACGACCGAATCATCAAAAAAATACAAAACATTTTCTTAATTGTATGTGTGAAACAATGCTGACGCTCTACTCTACTGCAGCATACAGGAATTGGGAGTGGGTGTTAAGAAGACAGAAGTTGGCATTGACTTTTCTCCGGTGTTGGTTTTGCTGGATGAAAACAACAAGGGGATTATTTCACTTCATTACGAAGCTCCTTGTGTGTTCTTATCTGAGCAAAAAAAAATGAAAAGGATTGAGGACGAGAGCGAAATGCTGTGAATTACAGCACAACTCCGGCCTGTAATGCCAATATACTGTGGATTTGCTCTGCCAGAGGCTAAGCTCTTGATGTTTTTACATCAGTACACACGGAATACTCCACTTAATCTTGCATATCAAGATGCACGCTTTACGGCGGCTGTGAGGTTTGAGAATCCCTGGACCAGAGTGTGAACAAGTAAACCTTTCATTTGTTGACAATGTGATGGAAGGATGAAAGTAAAGGCATGTGGAGCTGAAACACATCAAAGTTTATCTAAACAAAGAGCAAAGGATTATCCCGTAGAAAAGTAAAGTGAAGTGGGACATGCACAAGAACATGAAACTCTCCTGGTTTTAATCACCAGTACAGTATCGGTGGTAGTTGAGACCCCATCCCCTGAAGCACTTTGACTATCTAAGCACTGTTTAAATGTAATTATTATTATTATAAAAAAAATTAACTCCGTTAGAAAATATCAGATTTTTTGGTAAATCAGTAAAAGAAAGAAACGTCTAATTGCACAGCGTTCAATTCTGCTGTGTGGTCTTCTAACAGCGAGCTGAAGCAGAACATTACGCTTTGTAGAAACATTTAGTAGTTTAAATCTGTTCGCTTTCAGATTCTGGGACTGGCGTCTTTCCTAGCGCTGGCCGATATTACCTTTTCTTCCCAGATTTATCGGTGTATGTGTCTGGCAATAAGTAGCATGGATGAAATGTACTGAAATGACAAAATATATTTATAAAGTAATTTAGCAAAAGAGTCACAATTGTATATTTTGTCCATTCGAGAGCACTGTCTGTTTTATGTGATGTATCTTCTGATCTGCACTGAGCCTGACGATTGGTGGACTTAATATAAACCTATGGTACAATTTAATGATCTGTTTTCTATATTGAGGAAAAATGAATCATTAAACTTTACAACTCCATATCTCCTGAATTGACCCTTTGCTAATCCCCGCCCCGAATACGCAGCTGACCAATCACAGCGCAGTATAGGGCTCATGGCTGCGCTCCATTAACTAATGCATTTACATTTTACATTTACTCATTTAACTGACGCTTTTATCCAAAGTGATTTACAATTGCTATACATGTCAGAGGTCGCACGCCTCTGGAGCAACTAGGGGCCAAGTGTCTTGCTCAGGGACTCAAACCCAGGTCTCTCACACCTAGCATGTGTCTTATCCATTGCGCCATCACCACCCCCTTGCATAAAGTGTCATTTTTTTACCTTTTTTTGCTGTGTTTTTCCAAGATAAAAGCTGTTCCTGGAGCACTTGTAATAATTAGAGTCGCAACCCAGAGAGGTTGAAACGAGAAGTACGATTTATTTCCTTTCCAAAACCTAAAACAAATCCAGAAATATGTAGGCAGTGGATTGTTCCTAGTTAGCTAAAGCTACTTAACTTACTACTGAATGTGATAAAAAATGTGTGCTAAACCTACTGTTCTGCTTTTTAATGATTGTAATAGTAAACAGAGACCTACCCAGCTGCACAGAAACAGTGTTGATCCTTAATATCGTAGTCATCTTTCTCAATAGTCAGGTAATCCAGTGGTTCACCTTTACACTCTGATCAGTAGGCTTTAGCTTCTGTCTTTATTTTTTCTGTCAGTCTGACAGCCTGAATACAACCTTCAAATGCACAACTGCAAAACTGTTTGCTTCTTTCTGAGATCGCTTTTTCCAAAAAATTAAACAATATTTCTCCGAGAAGTGCAGTTATCTACAGTGGCAGCGGCGTGATGAAAGTTCGACAGGTCTTGTTGGACTTTTACAGCAGTAACAAAGGGGGGCGTGGCTTATCGAAGGGTCAATTAACACCTCTTTTTCTGTTTTTCAGGACGCTCTCTTCAGCTGGACGTTGGTGTGATTCGGCAGAGTGAAGGACAGCCTGATGAGAGCCTAAAGTTGCAGTAGAGTCGAGGTGACAGACATGAAGAAGAACCTGGACCAGTATGGACAAAGTCACCTGGAGAGTCTGGGTGAGTGTGGACAGACACTTTATTCTTCACACGGTAAAAATTTAACTGATGCTTTTGTCCATGTTGAGAGGTGGGAAATATAGAACATGTATACTTTGTAATCTGCTTCTATATGGACTCCACAGGTGTTAATGAAGTTGCTTTCCTTAAGTGTTGTTCTTGCAGTGTTGCTGACTTCTTTCGCTCCAAGCTCAATAGAGTTTGTAGAAAAATCTCCTCAAACTAATTCAGATTTAACAAGATGGATTTTTAATCTGAAGCAAAAATTTGATGGTTTGAAATGGATATTTATTGAGCTCGAGTACCTCCAAATCTCCATGAACTCGATGATTCGTGGTCTGGTTATTGAGACAAAATCCTACCAACTTGGAAAATGTGAATTCACAGACTCAGACTGAGAGTAACAACAGAGTATTAGGTCCAAACTGTAGCCCAACAGAATTGACAACAAGTTTGGTTTGTTTCTCTTGTTTTTCAGTCTGTGCAGCCCTGTCCAGCCTGGTTTTCCTTCTACTGGGACTGCTGGGCTCGGTCCATGGCTGTCCTGGTGTCTGCACCTGCTATGGTAACACTACTGACTGCTCGGCTGTCGGCCTTCTCTCTCTGACACCCATCTTAGCGCTGCTGGACCCCGACTCTCTGATCCTTCGCTTACCCCAGAACAACCTCTCCTCTCTGGGCACAACTGAGCTGTCGAACCTCAGCAGCCTGGAGCTGCTGGATCTTTCCCAGAACCACTTTTCCACCCTGCAGCCTGGAGCTTTCTCGGGCCTGAGCGGCCTACGCTGGCTCAATATCTCCGCCAACTACCTCGGGGCGCGACCGGCGACCTCTGACCCCAACAACAGCTCAGAGGTTCTGCAGGGCTCAAATGGAAGTCAAGGGAGCGTTGGCCTGAGCAAGGAGGTTTTTAAGGGGCTGTGGCGTCTACGAGGGCTCGACTTGTCCTCCAATGGCCTCATGTGGCTGCCCAAAGGCCTACTGGATGCACTTCCAAGACTCACCTGGCTGTCCTTGGCCGGGAACCGGTTGGTGACCCTCGACAGAATCACCTTCGAGCCCCTGGTGGGGCTACAGCAGCTCCAGCTGGCGGGAAATCCCTGGGAGTGTGACTGCAAGCTGAGAGACTTCAAGCACTGGATGGAGTGGTTGATTTACAGGGGTGAGCAGGGCTGTTAGCAGGCCTCTCCAAATCTCAAATACTGTGAAGTTGATAGTTTTGGTAGTCGGCTTACAGTGCTTTAATACCATGCCGGAGAGAATCACTTTGTATTTCAAGTCTGTACTTGAAAAGATGTCTAATCGAAGCGATTAATCTCCGCACTGCAGGATGGATGTATGCTGAGCAAAGACATCTAAGAATATAACGACCTCCTTCTCTCTAAATCCTCTTCTGTCTCTCCCGGTTTCTTTCTTCCTCCATTCCTCTACATCTTCTCCCTCCCTGGCCTTCTCCCTATCCGTTTTTATTCCCTCCCTCTATCTGTTTTATAGATGGGCAGGTAGATGTGATGCAGTGCAGTCTCCCGGGGGATTTGAAGGGCAGAGACATCCGCAGCGTGCCAGCAGAGATGTTCAACTACTGCCTGCAGAGTCCGGCCAAAGAGGGCGCCTCGAGTTATGTCACCCGGCATCCCTGCCCGCCCGGTCGGATCAGCAGCAACGATGAATGTGTTCGCCAGCGGTACCGGCCTGTCAGTGTCCGCCGAGCTCACGGCACGCAAATAGTTGCAGGTGTGATTTGTGGCACAGTGTGCATCATGATGGTGGTCGCGGCAACTTACGGCTGCGTCTATGCCTCGCTGATGGCGCGGTACCAGAGGGAGCAGAAGAGCCGCGGCCAGCCTCTGATGGCCGAGTCCGGAGCCGAGACGGACATGGAGGACGGGCAAATGAACTCCCCAGAGGAAACGCTACCCAAAGAGGCTTGCGGCATCGTGCAAGGGTATCGAATCAGCAGCTTCTGACCCACTGCTGTTTACTGATTTAAGATCCTTCCAGGACACGCTAGCTGCTTCTGCTCTCATCACTGATGACACGACGTCTGGAGAGAGAAACCCCGCAGCTCTGCGATTGTGCTGAAAATCGCAGACTGATTGTACAGCTAATGGATTGGACTGGATTCAGCGAAACTGGAATGCTGCGGCACTTCCTTTAATGTATGGATGCTCTGAATTGTTATTCCCCGCGCTGCATCTCTCAACCAGCTTTAAAAACCCTCTGAAGCTGCTGTTTGGCACTTCTGCACCTTGACTTCCTTTCATCTGTGTTTTTGATTCTTCTTTAGAAATATGGAACCTTTTTGTTCAAGCAGTCTGTCTTTGTATCTGAGCCCAACAAGCACAAGCTCCAAAAGTATAAAAGTCTTTGAAATGTGACATTTCTCCTCTTGTTTGTTGCACAAATGCTCTTTCTCTTTATTTTTATAGATACGTTATGTGCATTTTATGTTTATCTTAAATTTCCCCACTTTGAGAAATGATTCTTTGGATGCCCTGTTGAATTCCCTCCAAATAACAGACAGTTTAAACCATAATAAGAGTTCTGCTGCTGTCAGGGAAGTGTTGCTTCAAGCTGTGTAAACTGCTTTCAAACAATACAAGAGCTGTACTGCCACCTAGAGGTCAAGCTTTGAGCTACAACGCCTTTCAATCCAGCACAAACCAACTCTCAAGCTCTCCTACGAGGTAAAACTAAAAATATTCCCAGCATAGTCAAAGTATGAGATACTGAATGAAAATGTAACATATACTGTAACTTTCGTGTGTTTTCATTTATTTTAAGCCATATTTTCTGTGAAAAGCACATGAACCATTGTCTCAACTCCAGGACTGTTGATCATGCTGAAGATAATAAACTCTATTTATCTAAACTGTATTTCTCCTCTTAAAAACAAGACAGCTCAGCTCACACGACATTCAAATCGGATGATCCAACAAGAGCCGTAAAAACCACATTCATCAAACCACTAAAAAGAAAAGAGCCAGAAAGAACATGGTCATGTTTTTCTCCTGATCATGTCAAGAAATCCTGCTGCAATCCTCTCAGGACAGGTCGAGCCGAGGAATACTGATGGAATTCATCAGGTCTCTTGACTTAGACATTTACAGTGGGTACGGAAAGTATTCAGACCCCTTTAAATTTTTCACTCTTTGTTTCATTGCAGCCATTTTCCAAAAATCAAAAAAGTTCATTTTATTTCTCAGTAATGTACACTCAGCACCCCATCTTGACAGAAAAAAACAGAAATGTAGAAATTTTTGCAAATTTATTAAAAAAGAAAAACTGAAATATCACATGGTCATAAGTATTCAGACCCTTTGCTCAGTATTTAGTAGAAGCACCCTTTTGATCTAATACAGCAATGAGTCGTTTTGGGAAAGATGCAACAAGTTTTTCACATCTGGATTTGGGGATCCTCTGCCATTCCTCCTTGCAGATCCTCTCCAGTTCTGTCAGGTTGGATGGTAAACGTTGGTGGACAGCCATTTTCAGGTCTCTCCAGAGATGCTCAATTGGGTTTAAGTCAGGGCTCTGGCTGGGCCATTCAAGAACAGCCACGGAGTTGTTGTGAAGCCACTCCTTCGTTATTTTAGCGGTGTGCTTAGGGTCATTGTCTTGTTGGAAGGTAAACCTTCGGCCCAGTCTGAGGTCCAGAGCACTCTGGAAAAGGTTTTCGTCCAGGATATCCCTGTACTTGGCCGCATTCATCTTTCCCTCGATTGCAACCAGTCGTCCTGTCCCTGCAGCTGAAAAACACCCCCACAGCATGATGCTGCCATCACCGTGCTTCACTGTTGAGACTGTATTGGACAGGTGATGAGCAGTGCCTGGTTTTCTCCACACATACCGCTTAGAATTAAGGCCAAAAAGTTCTATCTTGGTCTCATCAGACCAGAGGATCTTATTTATCACCATCTTGGAGTCCTTCAGGTGTTTTTTAGCAAACTCCATGCGGGCTTTCATGTGTCTTGCACTGAGGAGAGGCTTCCGTCGGGCCACTCTGCCATAAAGCCCCGACTGGTGGATTGCTGCAGTGATGGTTGACTTACTACAACTTTCTCCCATCTCCCGACTGCATCTCTGGAGCTCAGCCACAGTGACCTTTGGGTTCTTCTTTACCTCTCTCACCAAGGCTCTTCTCCCCCGATAGCTCAGTTTGGCCGGACGGCCAGCTCTAGGAAGGGTTCTGGTCGTCCCAAACGTCTTCCATTTGAGGATTATGGAGGCCACTGTGCTCTTAGGAACCTTAAGTGCAGCAGAAATGTTTTTGTAACCTTGGCCAGATCTGTGCCTTGCCACAATTTGTCTCTGAGCTCTTCAGGCAGTTCCTTTGACCTCATGATTCTCATTTGCTCTGACATGCACTGTGAGCTGTAAGGTCTTATATAGACAGGTGTGTGGCTTTCCTAATCAAGTCCAATCAGTATAATCAAACACAGCTGGACTCAAATGAAGGTGTAGAACCATCTCAAGGATGATCAGAAGAAACAGACAGCACCTGAGTTAAATATGAGTGTCACGGCAAAGGGTCTGAATACTTATGACCATGTGATATTTCAGTTTTTCTTTTTTAATAAATTTGCAAAAATTTCTACATTTCTGTTTTTTCTGTCAAGATGGGGTGCTGAGTGTACATTACTGAGAAATAAAATGAACTTTTTTGATTTTTGGAAAATGGCTGCAATGAAACAAAGAGTGAAAAATTTAAAGGGGTCTGAATACTTTCCGTACCCACTGTAAATCTTTAATGACTTGCCAGACCTGTGAACCTCCACCATCACAGTAACATAACACTCCGTAACCCCCGAGCTACATCAGCAAATATCATCGCTATTTGATAAACGGCAGCATCGTCTTTGTGTCGGGATGTTTGAATCACTTATTTTCTCTTTGCTGAGAATCTCTGACTCCTGACACTGATGGACTAAATATTTTATAAAATATTGTGGAAGACAGTGAACCTCTATTGTCGGTTTTACAAGTCTGTTCAAGTTAAGCGTTCCAATATACAAAATGTAATTTGGTCACAACTTCAGATTCATGCTTGAATGTTTTTATTTTACGTCAATTAAAAGCCAGAAATATAAGTGGAAATATTTTAGTGAGACTCAGTTAACGGCTGGTTGTCCAATGTCTCTAGTCAGCTGTTGTCTGAACTGACAAATGTTACTATCTTGTTTTGGTTCATATGTTAAAGTTTCTTGTTCACATTCCCGTTGTTTAACCTGTACTCAGGTTAATGCAGGGTTCACCCAATAATAAAAATCGTTTTAATACCACATATTATTAAGGCTGGGCGGTATACATTTTTTTCTTTTGGGTATTATTGTCTAGGTATTATATACAAGGTGCACTTTGTAACTTGTTTTTGAAAATTGCTCTACAAATAAAGATTATTATTATATATCGGTATAAGAGGTTTACCGATATCATTTCAAAAGAGATATAAAATTAGACAATACCGTTTTTACTGATATACACTCACCTAAAGGATTATTAGGAACACCATACTAATACTGTGTTTGACCCCCTTTCGCCTTCAGAACTGCCTTAATTCTACGTGGCATTGATTCAACAAGGTGCTGAAAGCATTCTTTAGAAATGTTGGCCCATATTGATGGATAGCATCTTGCAGTTGATGGAGATTTGTGGGATGCACATCCAGGGCACGAAGCTCCCGTTCCACCACATCCCAAAGATGCTCTATTGGGTTGAGATCTGGTGACTGTGGGGGCCGTTTTAGTACAGTGAACTCATTGTCATGTTCAAGAAACCAATTGGAAATGATTGGAGCTTTGTGACATGGTGCATTATCCTGCTGGAAGTAGCCATCAGAGGATGGGTACATGGTGGCCAATTGTAGCCTCTTTTTCCTATCTGTAGTGGAGATGAGTGGTACCCGGTGGGGTCTTCTGCTGTTGTAGCCCATCCACCTCAAGGTTGTGCGTGTTGTGGCTTCACAAATGCTTTGCTGCATACCTCGGGTTGTAACGAGTGGTTATTTCAGTCAAAGTTGCTCTTCTATCAGCTTGAATCAGTCGGCCCATTCTCCTCTGACCTCTAGAATCAACGAGGCATTTTCGCCCTCAGGACTGCCGCATACTGGATGTTTTTCCCTTTTCACACCATTCTTTGTAAACCCTAGAAATGGTTGTGCGTGAAAATCCCAGTAACTGAGCAGATTGTGAAATACTCAGACCGGCCCGTCTGGCACCAACAACCATGCCACGCTCAAAATTGCTTAAATCACCTTTCTTTCCCATTCTGACATTCAGTTTGGAGTTCAGGAGATTGTCTTGACCAGGACCACACCCCTAAATGCATTGAAGCAACTGCCATGTGATTGGTTGATTAGATAATTGCATTAATGAGAAACTGAACAGGTGTTCCTAATAATCCTTTAGGTGAGTGTAGTTTGATGTTGAGTTAATTCATGTTTCCGTAAAGTCCTGTCAGCGTTTGCTCCTCCCTGTGCATCTGCACAAAGCCCTCTACTCACAAAGTCTCTAACATGGAAGGAGACACAATGCCGGTGATGACCTGGCTTGTAAAAAAACAACGGTTCAGTCAGTGTTTTCCACATTTAAACTTTACTTTGGCGGGCCGCCCAGGTATATTCAGCGGCACATTGTAGCATTTTTCAGAGAAACACACAGTCATTACGTTACATGTCGGGACAAGGTGGATAGTTTACAAGCACGGATCAGATTAAGCGACAGTGAACACAATAGTGCAGATGTAATTCGTTAGCTACCACGTTGGTTTTGTTTTGAAAGGCTAACATGCGGCGTAGCTGCTGCTGTGAACGGAATCGTAGGACGAAAAGTCCAGAAAACAAGTTCTGTTTTCTTTCGGCGACTTTATACAACGTAGCCTATTACTGATGGAGAAAGTTAAAGTTGGGGGGGCCGTGGCTCAGGAGTGCGGGTAGAGCGGGTTGCCTGTTAATCGGAAGGTCGGCGGTTCAATCCCCGGCTCCTCCAGACTGCATGTCGAAGTGTCCTTGGGATACTGAAACCGAATTGCCTCTGGTGGCTGTTCCACCAGTGTATGGTGAATGGTGAATGCAGATGTAGTGTAAAAGCGCTTTGAGTGGTCGAAAAGACTAAACAGGCGCTATACAAATACGGAGCATTTACATTTACCAGGGAGATATCGAAAGAAGCGGGGCACAGTGTGAAGTGAGTGACACTTAACTAAGTTCCTACAAATAATAAGCCCAGCCCTACATATTATATTATACTGCAATTTAATCAAACCAACTAAAGTATGAAAGCACAATGGAAAATCAATAGTGACCATGGGGCCTAGAATTGTTTATTATCACATTTTCAGTAAGTTTTTTCAGTACTTCCTCAGGGGCCGTATTATAGAAAGTTCCTTATCTTAAGTCTTACGTTAAGATAGGAATTTTCCCAATTATGTCTTACAGAAGCAAATCCTAACTAACTTTAGGAATCCCATCTTATCTTACTTCATCCTATCTTATCTCAGGTTAGGAAAACCTAAATTCTCAATCCAACACCGGTTATCAACTTTTATGTCTGTTACCTAGCAACCGATGCCACTTTTCTCATCTCGCGAGCTAAGCGGCTCTTAATCGCTGTTTTTTGGTCGTTTTCTTTAATGAAACAAAGTGAAAAATGGAGCAGAAACAACAACAAAAAAAACAAAACAAGTCAGATGATTTAGAGGTGTTGGTAACCTCTGTCGAGAAATCCAAATTCACATAACGCTTAACTCGGGAGATTAAAGAGAGAAAGTGGGCTAAAATAGCGGACATAGTCACCGCCGCATATCCAGCTGTCAAAAAGAAAATAAGTCCGTTGACGAGTGATACAAAGAGAAAGGCAGCTGTTGTGTCCAAAGAGCAGAAGAAAACCGGTGGTTCCTCCCGTGCTCCCTCACTGACCCCGGCAGAAACCCGAACTTATCTCAGGAAGTCAATAATGAAGATCAAACAACAATAACAACAAAGGCTGCGGGCTAACGTCATCATCTTTTTCATGTATTTTTTGATTTACATTTTGTTATATGAGACATTATCTAGCGTTACATCGCCTACAGCCTTTCTACTAGTGAGTGTTTTGTCAAACACATCGAGTTAAGTTCCGCCTGTCGACATTTTGTTGATTTTATAAAAGCAATAACAGAGCAGCCATGTGGATTAAACGAGTTAGCAAACACTACCTGGTGGAAAAGTGAAAGTTAGGACGGCTTGAGTTATCCTAAAGTTAGTTAGAGAGTTTATTTGGGATTTTAAGAAGTTTCTGTAAAACAGTTTTCCTATCTTAAGTTAGGAAAGGAATATTGACTTAATCTGTAACGGTCTTATTCCTAAATCAGTTCCTAACCCTTATTACCATGGTTACCAAGCAGTTAAGATCTGCAGGTTAGGGACTTTATTTTCAGTACTTAGCTTAATGCATCCTGGACTCATAAGCAGCAGAAACTGCACAGTTGGATTAACTAATTAAAAACAATTTATTCCGTTATGAGTCAACGAGCTCCAGAAGCAGCAGCAGTGACAGTGTTTTCTGCAGGTCTGATGGTGCCGACTGAAACTCCACAAAAAAAAAAAAGGACTGAATAGATAAACAGCCTGCCGGATATCACAGCAGTTCCATAGTCACATTTAAGACTCCACAGCTTGAATGTTGAGTGTTTTGAATCAGAGCTGCTGCAGTGTGACTCACCTCCGGCCACGGCTGTCTTTACCTCAGATGACACCGTCACTGCTGTCGTCGCTATGACGTACTTCACTCCTGTTGAGAGAACATTTAAACCTGGATTAGCCGATTAGGGACACATCTAATGAAAATGATAAAAAAATCTACTGTTTTGTTGCAGAAATAAAAGTCGAGCGCTGAAGAGACGGACCTTTATCGTTAACGGGGTAGTAGTAGAAGCTTCCAGGAGTGTTTTCCACTGCCAGGCGGTACCACAGGGGGAAGTGATCGATGGTGTACAGGTTGTCTTTATCAACATCAGTCAGAAACCGTCTGTTGAGTGAAAGTTCAACTTCAGATGACATTTTCAGTTTGAAACCTACCACAGAAATTAACTGGTGAATTAATCTAGAAGGCCTGGAAACTTGTAGTATTTCGTCCCTGGACTGTAGCATCGTGGCATTTTGATCACTTTGTCACGAAGCTCAGGCGAACACAGCAGCTGTGAACTGTTTGTGATGATCAGCTCCAAATGTGAGATGGACTGAATGAACGAGAGGCGGCAGGGACTGTCCCTGAATGAATAATGCTGATAATGATCATGATAATAATAAACCAGGGTATGTTAGACAGGCTGGTTGCGTTTGTCCAACAAGCTGTTTTTTGTTTTCAACTGGGTTTTTGTTTCCTTGAGTTTCTTTTTGCTGATATATTGTCCAGATCAGATTTTTTTGATTGACTGACTACATGTTATTTTTTTTAAATATCACCAATATCAGACTTCAGTGTGAACTGGCTGTGGCCTGAAAGTGAATAGTCGAAGAGGTCAATCTCACAGCTGAAGCTTTGCAGCTAAACAAGGATCACGCCATTTTGGCGATACAGAGGTGCTCAACGTCTGATTTTACATAGAACTACCAGTTTTCTCCCAATAAGTTAATATACAACCTATTACAATATACATTTCAACATATAATGCTGTAAATAAAAACTAAACAAAGAAAGCTTTAATAAATGTTTTTAAAGTGTGTGAATAAATCCAGAATTGTAACCCTAACCCTTAAGGTAGGGGGCATCAGTGCGCATGTGTAGGCCTCTACACGTTTATGTGTTGTGAGTGTGGAGTGGCAGAAGAGGAACTGTAGAGACGGAGCCTTAATTTCACCGTTGTTGCGCCGAGCTGTCCGCACCTCGCCGGACGTTTGGATCATTTATCAACATTGATGAACCACACAAAGAATATCGTTTTTTACGTGACAATTCTGATTCAACTATATAAAACATTAGTCGGGGACAGCCCTAGTCCCTACACTGACTTACTCCTTCACAGCCGTCCTCCATGTTTGCGTTCAGCGTTCATTGCAATGACGGTCGCTCAAGAGTGACGTCAGAGTGAGTCCGCATGAATTCAAATCTGACGGTCCAGACACATTTAATAAAATCTGACCCGTTTCTGATTTGGACCAAATATGAAATTGGCCTAAATCCAAAGTGGAAAAGATCAGACTGAATGTGACTTGGACTGTTCATACTGTTCTGAGATTTGGTCTTAAGTGAACTGGACACTTAACCTGTGAACACTGCCTGGGTTGAGTCTTACTTTGCCACTCTGGCCTCCACTCCTGCGTATCTCACAATCCTCATCAGGCCGGCACGAGTACCGAGGAAGGCCGTCTCAATTCCTGGCTCCACCCTGCACACAAATACAAGAGGATGGAAGTCAATTATCTAACAGCTTGTTTAGTCTCTCCTGCAGTGAGCTACATGGAGATCAAACAAACTAAATGACCCAACAGCTGACTTCACTCTCATCCTCTTTTTTTTCTCATCCTCTTTTTTTTTTAAAAAGGCTATTCGTCAGTTCGTACAGTCGTGTTAGTTAAGAGTAAAAATCTGCACAATGACAGCTCATAACACCACAAACGTGAACAGAATTTTGTTTGCGGGAGTCACACCAGAGAAAACTTAAACAGCAGAGAGTTTTTGAAGACACTGCCACTAATGAAGTTTAATTATTCCGTTTATCTTTGACAGAAAACTATTTCCAGTTCAAACTGTTTGTTTCTTTTATTTGTGTCTTTTTGGGTGAACTGACCCTTTCAGGTATAAAACGGTAAATGTGCTGAATATCTCAGGTCTCACCTGTCGTTGAGCATCAGGGCGTTCCAGTACGCTTCTAGTGGAGCCGTTACCACGGCGTCGAACAGCGTCTGCTGCAGCAACACCTCATCACCTGGACAGTCAAACAAACAAAGGGAACTTTTAAGTCAAGGTCAAATAAACTCTCATAACTCTGAACAGGAACTTGTTAAATGTTGTCAGATTCTCATTTTGTCAATAAAAAGTATCTCAGAAATATATGGAGAGTGACACTTCATAGGATTATTATTTTAGTGTCAGAAACCTACACTCGAGGTCGGGTTCCTTCCCCAACAGGTAGCGGATGACGGCTTGAAGCTGAGAGTATTTTCGGTGGCTGGGGTCGATGTCCGTCTCACAGTACGTCCTGAGGAAAAGACCAGGATAAACAGCTACACAGAAACCTGCCTACATGCTGCTGGGAGGTTAATGTTTTCAAGATTTTAGGAAAAGGGAAAGACTTTAATCACATGAGTCCTGACTTTTACTCCCATTACACATAAATGATTTAAGTAGACTGATTAACCTTCTGCTATTCCTGCTCTCACTACTGACCCCTCCCTCAAATTGTAATTCACGGTACAATAAAACAATATTTGTCATTTGCTGATCTATTTGACTCATTCATCCATGTCTTGTTCACATACCACTCAGAGGCGATGCTGAGGTCTGGGGAGGTGAGATCATGCAGGCCTGCGGAGGAAGGTATAAACACTTCAGTCAGTTACAGATTTACGTCCTTGCGCTTCAGTTTGAGCAGCGTTTGTGCAGTTAACAGCCTCCAAGTCCACGTGTATGTGGTTGCATGGATAAAAAAATTTTTTTTGGAGCATTCAGCACATCTACACATGTTGGTTTTGATACATCGACCTGTACACATACAGCGTCAGACACATCAGTGATTATAGTATAGTTATCTGAATTACGGGAAATCGTACCTTCCTCCACAGACACATTTCCTATAAACATCAGCTTTCCGTGACCCCTCGTCAGCACCATGCCGAAGCTGCAGAGACACAGTAAGAAGGTGAAACGGACAGTGAAGCCCTCGACTGGACGTTTAATCTTAAACTGTGTAAAACTCTGTCCTCTAGTGGTTCAATCACACAGATACACCTGTATGTATCAACAGTGAGAAAGAGTCCTTTTGGTGAAATTCGCTGTGCAGGGGTGACGGTAGAGGTCGGTACTGGATTTATGCAGTTGATATCTGTGATGCAAAAAACTGACAACGATACACTGGCCAATATTATTAGTTTTATAATAATTTTATTTTGCTGAGGATGTTTTGAAATGAGACCAAGATGCACCGAGTGAAACATTTAAATCCAAATAAATTTCCCTCAACTATAAACAATATCAGGGAAATCTGTTCAGCAGGATATTCATTTAGTGACTCTCACTGACACACTATCAAAATAAACTGCGTGTTTGCTTTAACCTCTACCTGAATCACTGTTCTGCAATTGAAAGATGCAAGTTTACCAAAACACCAGAGTTTTTTTCCCTGCTACACTGACCGTGAACCTGAGAGAAGAAGTTGATTATATGTTGTGTGTGTAGCACTAAGGAACTCCAAATTTAATTTCATTATGCAGCCTTGTGCTGTATAATGACAAATAAACAACCTTGTACCTTGAGAGAAAAAATCCTATTCATCGTATTTCGATGAATAAACAGGTGATGATTTATATTTATCACCAGTTTTATTGTTATTATAAACACTTTACTTTTCCTCCCCGTTATATGAATGGAAGGTCTAAGGACAGAGGGTGTTGTTTGCTGTACAGATTTGTAAAGCCCCCTGAGGCAAATTGTGCTTTGTGATATTGGGCTATTTAAATAAAACATGTTGTTTTGCTGAAAACATCTTGCTAACCTGCATCTACAATTCTGCTCTTATTTTACTATCTGGTACCCCTGTAGATCCTTTATCTTCGAATGTGTACAGAAAATTTCAGTGTTATTCTGTGGATTTATGTCAAGAAAGAAACCCTTCAACCTCTAAAACCAGATGGTTATTTTGAACGATGCATAAAACACATCCACAGCACTAGAAAGCACTCGGCAGTCGGTCCATGTTCCGAGCTGTGAGCGCAGGACGAGAGGAGGTGGACTCGAACGGTGCTCGAACGCAGTCAAGATGGATTCTGTTTATTCATAGTTTTTACGTGACGTCACGTTCCAAGGGGAAAAAAAAGACGTTATTTTCCGCTGCCTGCCAACCAATAATCAATTGATACACTGTTACTTTGAGTTTATTACTTTTGCGTTGCCAAAATGCTGGATGGTTTTCAGATGCACTAATGAGGAGGAGACAAGCCTGGGCTGTGTTGGGCGAGGGATTCCACATAAGGTAAAAGTAAACATTTTTCGAATCTTTAAAAGTAGTAGAAAATGGCTTGAGGAAAAAAACACTGATTTACCTGAAAGGTGTCTCATCGATGTTTGTGTAGAAGTAGTCATTGATGAGGTACAGAGGTCGTTTCTGTTGGAGGGGAAGAAAACCACATTATAATCACCGCTACTGTTCAGTCATTAATCAGAAAGCTGGGTCCTCATCACACTTAATCAAACATCCAGGCTGTAAGCAGAGCTGCTTGTTGTGTCTGTACATCCACGCAGTCTCATCAGCTAGATTTAATAAGTCACTCTGTCTGATAAAAGTGTCATCTTTAGTTCAAAACAATGACACGACTCACCTCTGTTAGCCTGAACTGTCAGGAAGCCACTTAGCCAGCAGTCTTATCTAATAAACACTGAGGGTAAAGATAATATGCTAATGCTAGGCTGACGGTTAGCTAAACAGTTGTTAGCTCACAAAAATCAGCTGTGTCCTGACAAACTGACATTTTAAAAGCAAAACCTGCTGACACACAATAACAGAGACCAATAGGGAGAGTTCTTCTTGGAAATAAACACAAAGCGTTACTGCCAACTACTGAGCTGGAGGGAAACTACAGGTGTAATTCAATACAATATACCACCACAACATTAAGTACTCTTGTAATGGTACTTAAAAAGCAGTATACATTTAAGTACTGTACTCCACTGTTTTGCCAGTAAATGATAAAAGGTGTGCACTGATTTTGGAAACACTACTGTTAATTTGATGTTTTAAAAAGTCTCAAAAGGCAGGTGAAACTGACTTGTTTTCTAACTCTACATCATACTACATACCCTAACAAGTGAGAGAGCAAGTCAGACAGTGAGTATCTGTACCTGCATTTGCATTTCCCCATCTCACATTTTCTCTGAGCGGCTTCTCTATCTGTGTCTCTTAACAGGCGCTCTTCTCTCGGTCTGTGCAGCCACGGCAGCTGTCACAGCTCACACCAACAACTCAGTGTTACGTCTGTTGCTCATTTCAAACGAGCCAGGAACATAAATTACATCACTACTTGCGTGGTTAAAGCAGAATGATGCAGGCACCCCTTGGACAAATCAATAACGAGACACATCTGGCCGATGCGTTTAATTGCACCACCCCACAGGGCCGTTTTTCTGCTTTTGTAATCTACAGGATAGATTGTATCATCCCTACTTTTTGTGAAAATCAGAACTGTTCTTGTATTAAAATGTGTTAATGACTTAAAAGTGTTGTATTAAGATACTGTGATTGTTTGATTCCTCACCCCTTTATCCACTGATGCTCTGATGTTCAGGCTGATGCTGCCAGTCTCTCCCCTCACCATGGCTGTTCTCAGCTAGAAGTCAGAGGCAAGAACAAGTTTAATACAAAGTCTTCTGGCGGGTTCACACTACACAAGAGTTTTGTCTATTAAAATGGTCACAGTGTCAGTCAATTCTTGCTTTGACTCAGCAAAGAAAATATACTTAATTCAATGTTTTTTCACTCAGTTATTAGGGGTCCAAGCCGAAGTGGGCTGGAAACGTTCCCAGTACCAGCGGAAAACTGAAAAACTTATTTTAATTAACTCCTCCGAAGCCGCAAGTCCGATCGACAACAAACTTGGCACGGATAATCTCTGGACCAAGCTGATGAAAGTTTGTAGAGGAAATTTTGATCCGACAAAAATTGTCGCAATTATATGCTAGCAAGCATTTGTGAAAAATGCTACTAACAGGAAATGATGTCATATCTTCACTTTGGAGTGGCCGATTGACACCAAATTTGGACCACTAATGTGGGACGTCTCCCCGACGGCCTGTGCAAAAAATTTGGTGCAACTCGCCCCTAGGTGGTGCTTTTAACCCCAAAAATTCGTTCCTCTATAACCACAAGTCGCATTGACATGAAAGTTGTGCCAAATTGTTCAGCAGCATCCCCTGACACCAGCCACCAAAGGGGACCCTAATGTGCCCATAGGTGGCGCTGTTATTGCAGATTAAAGACCCAAAAAATGTATCCCATTGACTTAAATGCATTTTACATCTCCAATACCGCAGGTCCGATTGACACCAAATTTGGGTCAATTGTTCCCCATGGGCCCCTGATGACACCTGACAAATTTGGTGCAATTCGGCCAAAAGGTGGCGCTATAATCCAAGCTGAACGGCCGTGGGAAAGCCCACTGAAATGAATGGGATTTCCAACCAGGGCAAATTTTACTTAGCTTTGGAATGGCCGATCAACACCAAACTTGGGGATCTTCGACTTCGCCAAAGGGCTGTGTGACATTTGGTGTCAATCGGCCAAAAGGTGGCGCTATTAATTGTATATCAAAAAACACTCTCTTTCACATACATTCATTTTATATCTCCATGACACCTGACAAATTTGGTGCAATTCCGCTCACAGGTGGCGCTAAAATCGAAGCTGAAATCTCTCAATAAATCCCATTCATTTCAATGGCATTTTCAAAGGCGGGACGTTTTGCCACTGTTTGGAACGGCCCATCGAGACCAACCTCGGGGGCCTTATGCGGCACGTCGGCGGGGCACCCGGGCCGACTCGCGCTCCCTCCGCGGGGGCTGGGCGGGGCGGCTTGCGCCGGGAGGCTTGGATCCCGCTTATAACTGCTTGCAGTTCTAGTTATTGTTGTTATTATTATACAGACACAGGTCTGAAACACACACATGCACAAACAGGATCCATAGCAACAATGGAGAGATGTCAGAGTGAAGGGGCTGCCGGTAACAAGGATGTAAACAAATAACGGTGTCTGAAATGGCGTGTATGATAGTGGCTGTCTTGTGTTTGGAAAAGTGTAAAAAAGAAAGAAATCACCAACATAATCAGTCCTCTTTCTCTTTGCCATGTTTACAGTTGAAGAGCACTCTGTACTTCTATTGGTCAACAACACAGAGCAGGTTGTGGAAGCTAAACACTTGTGGCAGATGTACATTTATCTGTCGGGACATCGTGAGGCAGCAACAGCTGTCATCTGTTATGACATTACACGGGATAAACCCATTTTCCTTTCCGATGACCCTGTTGGGTCTGGCTGCTATCCGGCTGATACTGTGTAGTCTGAACCCGGAATTAGACTAAAATGATATTACAATATGTAAAGGGTGTCATTCCAACAAGCTCTTAGTCCACCTCTCAAAAAAATCTCAAGTCTGCACTAAAATAATATGTTTGAGTTTCATGTTTTTTATATCCAGGTGGAACTGCTTTCTGGGGGTCGAGACTTGGTTTTAAGGTTCAGGTTACAATTAGATTAAAGGTTAAGGTTTGGGTTAGACATGTAGGGAATGACAGTAAATGAAATGTCCCCACAGGCACAGAGGAACAAACTAGTGTGTGTGTGTGTGTGTGTGGTTACCGTCTCCTCTGTATCCTCCCACTCCACCTCGGACATATCCACACTATTGTAGTTTGGCTTTGGCTTCAGTTTCTTTCCATCTTTATACTGTAGGATAGAAGACACCCTGTTACTGCGTGCATGTGTGTGTCAGTAGTGAAATACTGTATAACTGTCCTCATAAATACTTAACACCTTTTCCCCCTTAATGGACCCTTCAGGTCATCTGCTACACGGTCAGAGTACAGCTCTCACTTTAAATAGCGATGCAGTAAATCAGAGCTCCTGAGGCTCTTCAGCTAAATATGAAACAGTAGGCTACTCACCAGAGGGCGAAGGTCAGGGTGAGCCAGGATGTAACCGTTGTTGGTGATAAGGAAGGCGTAGCCGTGAGCTCCCAGCTGCGGAGGAAGAAAAAGAAAGCTGAAGCTGATGGAAGGGACGTTTAAATTTAATCGTGAAATCTGTTATCTTGTGTCTCAGTCTGGATAAAATCTGAGAAATTGGGCAGAATGAGCTCACCATGTATCTGGGTGCCAGCTTCATCACCTCCATCAGTGGGATGTCGGAGCCGACCACACCCAGCAGGATGCCATGGGACAGCTGGAGAGACAGGCGGCGGGGTCACTAATACGGCTTTATTATATAGAGTTTAGACATCTGAAGAAATCTCCCCTCTAATCAACCGACATATACAATACAACAACAGCTTTGTCATGTGGAGTAAAATATTAAATGTAACCTACAATCAAGTCACCTTTGGTCTTTTTCCTGCTCCTGTGGAAGAACGTTTTTTAGTTCTCTGATGGGTTTTCATCGCTTGCACTCCTGTTGTCCAGTAAAATAATCTATCTGCTATCTACGTCTATATAAGACGCATATTATTGTTCCAAGCTGACTATTAGTATATATGTTTTTAATACGTGTCCTGAAGGGATCTTTAATATTTAGCTAAACCTTTATCTAATCTGTCTGGTTTAAAATATGTACAATTTGGATTCTAGATGTTTTGCATGTTTTCCGTGCGAGGCTCATGGGAATTGAGGTGGAAAGTTTTGGAGGTCATGAAGTGTTGGACAAACACTTGGACCTGCTGGTTGCTTTAGATAAAAAGTCACCAGTCATTAGGATTCATCCTCTGGGCAGCAGAAATGTTAATCTAATCTGAGATATTTCCCTCTGGACCAAATTAAGACAAAGCAACATAGCCATCATAAGAACTAAGCCAAGAAAACAAGGTTAATGTGACATGTTGTACATCATTTTTAAACAAATGAGCGTTCAAGTCGACACTGACCGTTTCCTTCTTCTTGCTGAAGACTGGCATGGCCACTGAGGTCATCAGCAGCAGACTCTGAGCTTTGGTGGTGAACAGCTGAGACACAGCAAAACATTCAGCACACACTGTGGTCATTTTTTAAAAAACACACACTTTCTGAAATGAACGATGGATCAAGGAAAAGATTTATAAAGACAGACATTTAAAATAGCATTACTTCTCTACACGGCTATACTGATACGCCAGCTGCTTGGATTAAACAGTGCTGGGCGGACAAGTATTGGGACCACATTATAATCTATATTTAATTTTATATACAAAGAATATTTTTCATCATCTAAGTCTAAATAATATAATATATAAAAGGAGATTCTCTATATATATACACACACTAATATAACAATGTTTACTGTGGCAGCTCTGAGGTTAAACTCCAGGTGGCGCAACAGGACTGCAGCAGTTCTTTGTAAATTTAAAAACCCTCTGGTGGTAAACAATATCTACAATCTAAACATAACAAGCAACATAAGGGCCAGGACAGTCCAGGAGGACATGTTATAACTTCGAGGGAGTCATTAATTAATATATGTGTCTCTTGCTGTAAAGTGTGGGAGCACATAATGAGAACGTGAATAGAGTTATGAGCAAACAAAGCAAACAAAACCTGTCAATCTTCTGTAGTTTTGTGTATAAAGAAACAGTGTTGATGTTTTGAAACGCATTCTACTTATTTATTACACACAGAAATATTCTTCTTGTTCCTACAGGTGGATGTTTAAGCTTCACTGTGCAGAGTTCGACACCAGGAGGCTGTTTGCACATTCATCTGCTGAGAGTGGAAAGTTTCTCTGTGTTTGTTGAATATCAGATGTTGCAGGACTGCGAGGATGATTTACAACATCACAAATAGTTCGGAAGCCTCATATGTGATGTAGAAACCTTAAGCTGCCAGTGCACATTCATTACACTGAGACTGGACATCTTGTGTCCACCAGGAAAACTTCAGATATTGACAGAAATTTGCACAATCCTAGGAATTTCTAATGTGCTAGTAGGAGAAGATGTGTAAATTATACTTTAGCCGACACACGTTACTGTTCCAAACTAACAATGTGTATGTTTTACATGTCTGGGGGGGATCTTTTTACTTTTTACTTGCTGTTGTCACTCAGGAGTGACATCTCTCCTGCCAAAGGCTCAAACCTTCCTAAAACCTTGGAGGAAGACATGTCTCTTCCCTTAAATGAAGTGTGAAGAATGTACTATGTATATTTTATCAATTTCACACTCCCTATCTGCTTTCAGGAAATCTCTAGTGGATATTTGTTCAGATGTCTGCAGTTGTTTAACAACCTAATCCTTTTAACAACGTGTGCCATGTGTTTTAATTTTTAAAGCTCCTTATGGCCTGTTTTTCTTTCTAATTCAACTTTTTAACTAGTTGTCCATACTGCTGTCACCACGGTCCTATTTGATCATATGTTGCCCTTGCCCTGTATCCCATTGTGAAGTTTGTTTGTGTTTTGTTATTTTTACATTATGTCTCATTTATCTGCTTGTCCCCGTTTATCTTATTTTTCATACCCCTTTATTCCCGTGTATCCCTCCCTTCAAGAGGATGTCTTCCTCTTGCCATGTCGTGGTTGTGAATAAGAATTTGTTCTTATTAACTTGCCTGGTTAAATAACAGTTAAAAAAATAAAAATCTCAGTATTAAAACTACTTTGAGGGCACCTGGAGACAAACAGTTTGAGAACCGTTCTCCATGTTGACTCCTGCAAGAAGACCTGACTATTTATCTAAAACAACAACTTCTAATTTTTCTTTACCTCCTTGGTGTTGGGAAGCTGTCGGAGCAATGGAAAGGAAGGCCCAGAGGATCATGGGAGAATGAGCCGAAACACAGGGGAGGAAGCAGACAGACAGATGAAGGTGAAGTGATGATGATGATGATTATACAGTATGTTGACTTAAAGGAGTAGTTCATCCCAATATACCGTATCTGATACAATTAAGGAAGATGCCTAAAATATGAATCCCTTGTCTAAATACTGAACTGCTCCTTTAAGCTCTCTGATTGGCCGGCTCGGCTCACCACAGTGTCCATGTAGGCCTCCGTCCAAATGATGTCGTGGTCGTGGTTGATGACCATCGGTCGGCTGAGCACGTGCAGGTATTCCATGACGTTCTCCTGCACGTCGGCCAGTGTGGAGATGTGTGTGTAGTAACCTGAGAAAACACACAGTAACTGACTGCATGCATGCAAAGAAACACCGGTGAACACACACACACACACACACACACACACACACACACACAGGCCGCTGACCTTTGTTGTTGCAGGCGATCCACTTGGTGTTTCGAGCAAAGGTCATCTCTCTGCCGATCAGGTAGGTGAAGACTCGTACCTGAACAGAGAAACACACTGATGTGGTGCTTCCTGCTACACACACACACTATTTTGCAAGGGTGCAGTGCACCGTCGCTGCATACCAAGATGATTGTGATTGGTTTAAAGAGATACAAACAAGATAGAGGACTTTTCCCCCATACGTAGGTGATAATGTGCTCAGCCAGACCTTTCTCCAGTGATAAAAGTGTGGTGAGAGGTCTGGCTATGAGAGACTATCAGAAAGAAAGTCATTTTGGTGTTAGATTCCAGTTAATAAATTAATTATTTTAAGTTACTCTTTTACTATTTTTTTGTGTCTTAACAACAACCTTTAACTTGTCGCCATGAAGCCCAGTAGGGGAGAGCTGCCATTCCCTTTTCTCCTGAGTTTTTATGCCTTGATAGGGGGTCAGGTTTAGGATTGAAACTTTTCTATTAGGGTATTTTATTTAGTATTGTGATTTTTTTATTTGTACTCAGGGCTGAACTCTCTCTGATGCTACATTTAAGCTTCAATCTGTCAATAATAGATTGAAACTGAACAAACCGACTGCACATTCTTCATCCAGCTTTGTGTTACTCCCCTCTCTCCCAGGACCAAGTCAGGCTTGTGACTCTTCTCATTCTTTAAAGCAACAATTAGTAGAATAATGATGCAATTTAGGTCCAGTCGTTTGAGCTGTTTAAGATACAGGAGTTTTGTTCCAGGACATTTACTTTTAAAGTTTTTCTGCACGTGATACTTCTCTGTCTTAATGACATTATTCCAACAAACTTTTGCCATATAAGCATCAAATTAACTGGATCAGCAATAACAGAACTTTGTGATAACATACAGTAGTCTTCACACAAACATTCAGGCGTGCTCACGCTAAAGATTTCATTGATTAAAGTTAGCTTATCTTGCGAGGATCTCCTTCCCTGTTTCTCACCCTGCGCTCAGGCCAGTTCTCCTCCTCAAAGACAGACTCAAAGTCCTCCATGGCTCCGTCTGTGATCAGCATGATGGCCTGGTTACACATGCTGCCCTGACCGTTCGACCTCGCCTGCAACCAAACAGAGTTCATACAGAGCAACGACTTCACATGACTCCAGTCCAACTTGATTCAGCACACAATACTGGAACCGTGTATACTTTCACAGGTATTACAGTGATTGTTAAGTGTCCTCTGCATCACATGCAACTCAGGATTTATGATTTATTCTTAGAATTAGTGTCAGTATGACACAAATCCCACTGGTTCACTGTCTGTCAACTGGTTATAGTGAACGCAAATTTGTCAAGTGCATCTCCATGAATATCATAAATTTAATTTAAAAAAGTAAAACTTTCATATATTCTAGATTCATTATTAATTATTTGAAGCATGTTTTTGTCTTGATGATTACAGCTTACAGCTACAGGGGTTTTAGAATAAAGAATTTATAATACAGAAATGTCGATCTGAGAAGAGCTCTTATCAGTTAATTAACCCAAACAGCAACAGTGGTAACAAATTAAGTTAATATTTTATAAACGTAATCACACAGAGCTTCAACGTTATTTTGTTTTGTTTTATTAAAAGAGTTTATTTTCATTTTCAGTCTTTTTTTCTGTCATAAAGAGACACAAACCTCATTGAGGATTTTGAAGGATTCCTTCATAGCATTCTTGATCTTCGCTTCTCCTTTAACATGCAGTTCCTCCACCAGCACCTTAAAGTGCTGAGAGAGAGAAACACATTAATATCCTTCATCAACAGATTGTGTTGTGATAAAGATGGTTTTATTTGTCCAGGCTTTCAGATATTTGTCTCCCCCACATCAATGGAGGTCAATGGTAATTAGAACTGAAAAACATAATTTGTGAAAATTGAGCAGTGTGTCTGTCCTGTGTCTCAGTGAAAAGATATTACATTAGTAATCAAAAGGAAATCACACAGAATATCCTAAATGTGTGTGATTTGGTTAAAGAGATTCAGAGAAACAGCAGTTTGGATGACTTTTACGGTCTTTCCTACTTTACCAGAGTCACACACTAAATGCCTTCGGACAGACCTCTTTTTATGTATTTGGGAGGGCAAAACTGAGGCTGAAGCAGAGCATCAAATAAATGTATTAATGAGGTTTAAGTTGAATGACAAAGCATGAATAAGAGTGAGCAATGATCAGATGATTAATAAGCATCTTATAAGTTTATAAACACAATTTACCGTTATGTCTAAAGTACACTTAATAGCAATAAATAAATGTTGCTTCAAATTTCAATCTGGTGTCTTGTTTAAGCTTGTATTTGACAGAATAACTTATTATCTCAATTGAAAGTACTGAAACAAATGTTTACGTGACATAAAAAGATATGTTATTATTTTGGCAGGTAATAAATATGTTTGGCCGGTGGATTTTTTTTAATCTATTAGTCCCATTGGCAGGTGAGCCAAGAAGTTAATTTCCACCCCTGGTCTGAAGTCATGTCAAACAGCAATATTAGGCTGTCTTGGCTCATTTGTTGAGTGTGTATGGCTGCAAATAACATAAGTAAGTAAACTAAGCTATGTCTCAGTCTCAGAGAAACCCCTGATCTGGACGCTTCTTTAACAGAAAGTAGTCCCAGCGGGTGAACTGACCAAAGTAGCTCTAAAACTAAGTCTTAACCCTCACACAGCTCTTTAAAGGTGTTAGAGCAGGCCAAAATGTCCTCACTCTTCCTCAAAAAACAAAACATGAGCACTCTACAGTTCTCAAACTCATGTTGATCCTCACAAAGTTAAATGTACTGTACAAAAACACTCACACACACACATAGCCCTGAGTTGACCTGCTGTGCCAAAAAGTAGGCCAAGTGCTTGATCTGACAGTGGTGTTGATGGTATTCCCCTGTGTGTGTGTGTGTGTGTGTGTGCGTGTGCGTGTGTGTGTTGCTTCAGATGCCTCGTCAGCTCTTTAAGCCTCCATGAAGCACATAATGGTCTTACCTCTCTGTTGTCCAAATCAGCCTGGACCAGAGTTCCCTTGAAGCACGGCTCCACGTACCGAACGTAGTCAGTATACTGCACACAGGAGGACACAGGTTCATGAGCAAACAAGCAGTCGCTGGTTCAAATCCCTGCACCGGTAACAGCACCAGAGCCTTCACACCGTCAGTCACAAGCAGGACTAGAACCTTCCAATGCATGTAATGTAGTAGGGGAATATAACTAAGTATATTTATACTCAAGAACTGTACTAAAGTACACATTTGAGGTACTTCTACTTTTTTATTTCCAACTTTATACTTCTACACATGTAAGATAAAAAAACTATACTTTTCACTTCAATACAATTACTTGACAGCTTTAGTTAATTTACAAGTTAAGATTTTGCACACAACACACACAAAGAGCTTCTAAAAATCTTTTTATATAAATTAAAACTACCTGACAGTTTATACAAATACAGCTGAAACAATTAATCGAATGAATTAATCTTTGATAAGCGTAACTTTTCTTGTAAAACATTTCATGGTTCCAGTTTCTCAAATTGGAAGATTTGCTGTTTTTTTTTACTTTTAATTATTCTAATAATAATCAGTTAATGGAGAAAATGCTCATCAGATTAATCTGTAATGAAAATAATCTAATCCAATACAAACTACAAAAGTAAAATCCCGGTTTATATAATGTGACACTGTGTTTGGTCGTTGAAATATGTGTGTGTGTGTGTTTTTCTCACAGCGATGACGTTGACAAAGTCGTTCTCTCCCAGCGTGTCCAGGATGGTGTTGATGGTGTGTTTGGCGATGGTCATCTTCAGCCCCTTCATGCTGCCGCTGATGTCCACCATGATGATGATGTCTTTCGGAGACGTGGCTGCCTGGATGTACCTGAACACGGGATGACAGAAGACACTCACATTTACTCATACTACACGTTTTAGACCTATTTCAATTGTTTACTTCATTATGTTACTTTTCATTACAGACGTGTTGTCGCCAGTACCCTTACCCAATCACACGCTGCCAGCCTCTCCGCTAAGCAACTGTTACTAAAGCTAAAAAAAGGCAGCTATGAAAGAAAAACAGGCTTTTAAAAAGGACAGTTTCAAATTGGTGTGCAAGAAACTTCTGCAGACCGTCTGCACTACGTAAAGAGACCATCAGGCATCAAACTCACAATAACAAATGCATTTTTACTAAATCACAAACAACTGAGAAAACTTAACCATCATCAATCCATTCAAACATTATTATTTTGTGATATTTCATATCACCTCTGCCCTTGACTACCAGGGGCGATAACAGAGAGCTTAATTTTAAATTAATATTGATATGAAATAAAGAAGAACTCCAATGAAACTGTGAAAATAATTATAATAAAAATACTGTTTATTAATTATTTTTAAACGATTGATTCATATTAATTATTCTGTGTCATGTTATTGACTAAAAACATTAAACACGTAAAACCTTACAGTTGTTGTTGTGTATGTTGATCCACTGAGCCACATTGACTTAAAATATATGGACGTCTGATATTTACAGCTCTTATTATTTCATGTAAAGCACCAATCCCTTTGTTTCTAATCAGATCAGAGTTATACAGTATACACCTTGCTTTACCACTACAACTGGATTTTCCAGCTCCGCTGCATTAATGCAGCCTGGCGAGGCGTTCAGGGACATATGCAGCTCTCTGGTATTATTTAGAAATGCATGAACAGTCACATATGGTGCCATGTGGGCCGCAATGACCCGGCTAAGGAGCAGCTTATCGTCTTTTCCAGAGGATCAGGACTCTGGCCGCTGCTCAGCTGACAAACAACTAACAGTGCGACTGAAACTCAGCCTTACAAAAGGGATTTCCTCCATTTTTTAAATTTGTACTAAATTTTATGTGGTTAATGGACAGAAGGTGGAAAACAACACTTGTCACCACCAATTTTGGGAAGTTGTTAATGTCAGAGGCCTTGATATAACTTGCTGGTCAATTTCAGGGTTGTAAGTTCAAGTTAGTGTCTTTACATCTCAGAAAAATAGAAGATATACTTATATACATATATATATATTTCATTTTACAACCTGCTTTTAGGCTGTTTATCCATCTCAGCATATATATTTACTATATTTACCACCCGTTTGCATATATATTTACTACATTACTGCACAACCCGTTTACAATTTATACATTTAACTCTTACTGTACACCTGTCTACCACAAGATTATATTGTATTTAATATTCTAGTATATTTATTCCTATATTTTGGCTGCTGCTTATGTCACTTGTTCATACATATCTGTAAGGGCACTGTTGGAGGGAACATGCCAGCGACCGCTTCCACTAAAACTGGAGTTGACAGTAAAGAAGTTGAACTTCAGCAGCATTTGTGATTGATGTTTTTTCAGGCGGACGCATTTTTTGTACCAGAAGGATTTGTCTGTTTTAATATGCTGAGGATTAACAAACACAGAATAGCAGCGTATTGTATTTTTAAAGAGGATATTCTTTATGCCACAACTGAAGCTGGTTTAGTGGTGTTGGGAGCTGAAGGCAGTAAAATATATTGTAGTAGTCTTTTGTAAAATATACAAACAGAGAAATTCACAGTATTATCTAGTGGCTTCCAGCCTCTTTTCTTTCTGGACTTTATGTTCATGTTTCCAGTTCTGCTGGCGAGATCACAGCTTTATCAACCGAATAAACTTAGCAACCCATCTGTCTCAGTGTTCACAGCAGAGCAGAAAAGTATATAATTTATATCTGTAAAAAAAAAACACAGTTCAATAGGTTCCTTCCAACACGACGTCTAAGCTTCATTTAAATCCAGCAGAGCACGTCAATAGTTGTTTTGTGACTCCTTGTAGTCGAGTGAATAATCTCAGAGATAAAGGAGGAAGTAGCGTGGTCAAGGTTGACACTAGAGCCCGACCGATATATCGGCCGATATGAGAAAATTGTATTTAATCGAATCGGCGCTTATGACAGCAGATATATGACTATTGATAAAGAAACAGATCCTTCACTCAGGTCATGAGTTGAGTATTGTTAACAACACTACTGCAACAGAAAAACCACAAAAGAAAACAATTAACATGATTGTAGATTTATTTCTGAATATTTAGCCCTAGTTCACCACTTCTACATAGTCTCTAAAATCACGTACAGCAGCTAATACTGCCCGTTGCTAAATTAGCCACAAAGCTGATGCCGTGTTTATCGGAGCACTAACCTTAAGCCGTTAAACTATCGTTTCTGACATATTCTAAATATAAATCTGCGAGCCGCCTGTCTGCAGTTACAGCCAGCGTGTCTGAAATTATTAAACCAAAGTCGACGTGTAAATAAATGTGAGCTGAACAAGAATCTAACACGGCTTCCTGTAGCTCGTCTTTGTGTGACGTTGTAGATGTGAAACGTTGTAGTCAGAGCCGTAACGGCCAGGTTATACTTATAACGTTAGTTAAATGAAATCTCAAAGTTGCAAATCCTTGTTGTAGACAATCTTGTAGTAATAAGCCCTGGACATACTTGCTTTTAACTATGCGTTCGCTTATGCAAGATGGCTGCCACGCATTGTTTACATTAAAGCTCCAGGAGCTAGTCCGCAATTACCGAGATAGTTATGATGTCTCTTTAAAATCATGACATCCTCTAGTGTCGCTATCTTCAGTTTCTTTACGATGTGCAAAATTGGAGGTCGTTAAGGAAGATAATCCGGCCCTTATCTGCTCCCCCAGTGGATACACATTTAATCCTCCAGGTACACGTAAAGTACGCAGACAAGTATGTGAACAATGCTGTTTGCGTCGCAGACGCCTGTCTACGCCTGTCTACACCTACACATTGTTTAAAAAAACACAGGTCGCTGTAGCGTTATCGTAGATGGCATGTTTTAGAGCCAGCTGGTGGTTGAGAAATGGTTTTTCGTAGCTTTGGGTATTAGCAAAGAGTGCTGTTACAGGAATAAACTAGATTACATCGAATGTAGTTAAAGGGCAGATTCTGTTGTTAAAGTAAAATACACAGAGCCAACACTTATTCTCTTTCAGCCATCTGTTTACAGTTGCACCTTCCTGAAGCAAATATTTATTGATGTGCAATTGTTTTCATGTTAAGTCGTTGAGGCTGTAATCTATTTTATTAATAAAATCCATTTAGGAAAAGGTAGTATGGCTCACATACGGAACAGCTTTCATGTCAGCCTGTTCTAAATGTAGTTTTTACAGGAAAGGGAAACTGCTCAGCCTCTCTGGGTGGCAGAGAAGCTTTCCTGGGAAGCAGGTGGATCAGGACCTCGTGGCCCTGGATCACAGACTACCTCACAGACCGTAGTACGTCAGGCCACATGGCTGCTTGTCAGACATGGTGACGAGCAACACTAGCAGACCCCAAGCAACTGTACCGTCACGGTTTCTGTTCGCTCTCTACACCTCTGACTTTTGCCTCCAGAAGTTCTTGGATGACTCCTCCATCGTCGTCTGTATCAGAGATGACAGGGTGGAGTACAGAGGCCTAATCGAGAACAGCAACCACCTCCAGCTCAACACAGGAAAACCAAGGAACTGGTGGTGGACTTCCCACAAGTTCCTGGAGATGCAACCAAACAACAAACTGGACAAACACGGAGGCCCTCAGCAGGATAGGACAGAGCAGGCTGTTCTTCCTGTGGAGGTTCAGGTCCTTCAATGCGTCCACCAGCCCCACGCCTCAGCACCCAGTACCTCCCAGCTCTGCTGATAGAGACTCTTAAACTTTTGCACATCGCACATGTACAGATATACACAACGGATACCATATTTTATTTTCAATTGCATATAGTGTGTATATTTTATATTTGATTCTGATCTCATCATAATTGAAGTTGTTATTGATTTTTATTATGTCTTTTAATCTTTGCACAACATTCCCCTGTGCTGCTGTGTCAACTTAAATTATCCCTACGGGGGATCAATAAAGCAACAGCTTCTCTTATCTTAATGCTAACATGCTGATGATTAGCTGGTAAAATGTTTACTAGATTCAGAGTGCGTGTTCCCATGCTAACATTTACTAATTAGCACTAAACATAAAGAGCAGTTGAGGCTGATGGGGATGTCGTTAGTTTGGAAGATATCTGGCTACAAACCAAAGTTATTACAGTTCACCTTGAGGGGAGCATGAGGATGTGAGGATGTGTGATCTGAACTCACCAGTTTCTGTTCCTGCAGTCAAAAGCTGCCACACCGTTTGAGTCCGGAGTCCATTTAATACCTGACAGAGACACGAGACAGTCTGTAAGTTCACAGCACTTTACCTTCCTAATACTGATACTATTAAAAGCTGGAAACACGCAGAGATACATCAACATCTACCACACTGAACATTTCAATATATTCTGTGGCCTATATATTAGAAACTAACCAACAACACATTTTTTATTTTTAGTCCACATAATCTGTTGAAACAGAAGTAGAGTTGAATAAAGTTTTATGCTATTTAGTTTTTAGTGTAGACCTGGCTAAGAAAGATAAAGGTAAAAAGCTACATTGACACACATATGACACAATACAATACATCTTCCAAGACAACCTATACACGCACTTAAAGAATCCAGCCTGTGGGAAACATCTACACGCATCCTTACGGCCACCGGGACTTAAACTCCCTAAGTGGTACCAGCACCTCTAACCGGAGAATCTTTTGTAAGGAGTTTCACGGTGAGAGTGTTCAATATGAAAAAGGCATTATTTCCTATCCTGGAAAAAACCCTTGGGACTTTTAAAAGCCTGCTACACCGTGTTTGGTAACTACTGACCGCAAAGTTAAGGAGGCTACAAAGGTAACTTGTAGGTAATTTCCCTCTAGATAAAAACACACAAATGTAACAGTCTATGTGTAGCTAGAGGAGGTCATTCCACCATTTCATATAAATTAAAATAAGGTGCAGAGGCAGAATCTAGTTTTCATGGCAGAGATGATGCTGCATGCATGTTCAACACATAATCACAGTTAATCACAAATAAAAAGGTGGACTGAACAAGTTTCTCTCTAGCTTCAGAGGGGAAACAGGACTTGTTACGAAAATAAAAACATATTTAAAAAAAGCTCTTATTCACATACACTGAGAACTAAAAATATTCTGACTGGTAAATGCAAATCTTTATTTGTAGAGCACTTTTCAAAAACAACTTACAAAGTGCTTTAACAAGTGTAAAGACAATAATACAAAAACAACATAAAAGCAAGAAAACATTGAAAAGACTAAAATACACGTTTAAGATAAATATAAAATAAGTAAAATAGAATAAAATAAAGCCAAATAAGATCGGGAAAAGCTCTCCTATAAAAGTATGTTTTAAGAAGGGACTTAAAAGAGTTCACTGACTCAGCCGACCTGATTTCCTCGGGCAGGCTGTTCCAGAGCCTCGGGGCCCTGACAGCAAACGCTCTGTCCCCTTTAGTTTTCAGTCGAGACTCTGGAACAGACAACAGACCTCTGCCCGAGGATCTCAAGGTGCGTGCTGGTGTGTATGGGACTAAAAGGTCAGAAATATAATAAGGCGAGAGGCCATGAAGAGCTTTAAAAGTGATTAATAGAATTTTAAAGTCAATTCTAAAACACACTGGGAGCCAGTGTAATGAAGCTAAAATAGGAGTAATGTGGTCATATTTCTTTGTTCTGGTTAAAAGCCTGGCAGCTGAGTTCTGGACAGTCTGGAGTCGATCAGTAGATTTTTGGGTTAAACAGGTGAAAAGGCTGTTGCAATAATCCAGGCGTGATGAGATGAAGGCGTGTAAAATGGTCTCGGTGTCCTTAAAAGTTAAAAGATCGAATTTTAGCTATATTTCTAAGTTGATAAAAACATGATTGAACAAGTTTTGTGGTGTGCTGCTCGAAATTTAAATTACTATCAAACCAAACACCAAGGTTCTTCTCCCTTTTGGTTTTTAATCTTTACTCAAAGGAGAGAACACATGACATTTGATTTAAAGATTAAAAATGTTGCTGTAAAGTTGGACTTTTGCAAACAAAAATCAGCGACTTCCAGAGACGAATCTTAAACTCACCCGGGTAGATTCTGAAGAAGCCGGTGGAGCTGCCGAAGTACTGCCAGGTGAGCGTCGGATCCTTCTGGAAGTTACTGATGAAGACGTCGTTTAACGCCTCGGAGTTGTAGATGGCGTTGATGATGTTGGGATCTGCACAGAGAGCCAAACCTTACAGGAACTATTGTGTCTTAAAGGAAACTGTTCACAGATGTGTGGAGGACGACCTCTGACCTTTGTTGTAAACGTTGGTGGGAACCTGGATGTTGCTCAGCAGCGTGTTCACCGGCAGTCTGTTGAAGTGTTCGTTCTCCTCCAGGGGAAACTCGCCGCCCAGCTCCACGCTGTTCCCGTCTTCGTCTACCGTGTTGATCAGCATGGAGTTGTAGTAATCAAACTGTTAAAACAGATTTTTTCCCTTTATGTTCTTTCTGTAAACTATAACTTGAATCCATTAGTCATCTCTTTTTTTTTTTTTTTTAAATTGTACTTCTACTGTATTACTTGAATTCTGGATAGAAATTGCTTTACTGATTTTTCAAAGGTTTAAACACTCACTTAGAAGACATGGTCTTGTTTCTAAATTGTAATATATTAAATAACAATATCTCATCAAAAAGCTATTAAAACCTCTATTCATTCGATATTATTAAATATTACTTAGTAAGAATATATATGAATATGTAGGCTACATATTATTTTATACGTCACTTATACATTGTGTTTTCTGCCCTTTTTGTTTTATTGTTGTTTTTTTTATTCTTTGTTCCGGTCTAATTGGCCTGGTCTCTTGTTGTATATAATTTTCTTGTGGCATTATTGTAATTTGTACATTGTTTGTTCATCTGACTGTGTTCAATAAAGGCAAAAACAAAGTAATCAAACTGACAGGAAGAGGTTATGAAGAGGTTTTCCTTTCAGAATAAGATGCTAACTTTTAGAGAAAAGATTAATATCTGATGATACATCTGGATCTAGACAGAGGATATCCATCCTAAACCAACCAGTGTCCTAATAACCTTATAGGACCTGAAGACATTACAACAAGGTGCCTTTCCAAAATTAAATGTTCACAGTTTGAAATAAATGACATCCAACCACATTAAGCCTTATTATTATATATAAACATTATTATTATTAATGTTAAAGCATAGTAAGGAACATAAATCAAGATGATTCTTGGATTTCCTGGATAAACAGCAGAATTTAGAAACTAATTTAATTTATGTTTAGATGATAGGTACCTTTCATATGAATATGTTTACTTAATAATCAGCTGTTAAAAAATCTTTAATTTATATTTTGCAGAGCCTTAATTTTGACCTGAAATTATTAAAACTGGTGGAGAAAATGGTATGAAAATGTTGAAGAGTTACTCGTTTGTAAATTTGAGGGTTGCCAAGTTTTTATTTTGACAAATGGACAATTGCGGTTATCAAGGAAATTGTAAAAATGCTCTTTAACACTTTATATGTATACATATTAATACAGACAAACATTTAATCATATTATATTGTATTCTGGTGTATGCTGTCAAAGTAGATGGTATCATATTATTCATACATACACCACACTTTGTTGCTACCTATCACACTTTGTTTAAGCCAGTACTGCACTATTAGTTTAAGTACAACACTGTGTCTGTGTGGGTTGCCTTGTAATTTTGAGTTTAATGCTCTTGTATAGTGTCTATTTTTATTTTCCTTGAGACATATAAATTTATTTCAATGTTTTATTTAAGGTATATACAACAAATATTTTTATGAAAATAAAAGATAGCAACTATATAAGAGCTACACAACTATTTTCTACTTTCTGTCCGTGCACTATTGTAGAAACAGTTCAGTGAATCTGGGTTTGTGTCGCACTGTGTAGAAGAGCTGAGTGTTGACTTGCCAAATAAAGGATTTACAGCATCAGACTACAAAACCCACTGAATTGATAATATTATAAAATTAGTAGCCTAACACTGCAATAAATAAATTGACATATTTTTTTTCCACATGCTAAATTATGCTATTATAAGCAGAAGAGCTAGTAGTCTCTCTTATATATCAGATTAATAAAAGTACTGTTCAGCGAGAGATAGAACTGGTCTGTATACTTTATTGCTGATAAATCAAGTACTCTGCACTACACGTCACCTGACGTCCCCGTTTTTAACTGTGTGTTAATAATAGACTGTATAAGGTGTTAACAGACCTGAAATCAGATTTTACGATTTCCTGCATCAAACTGACAGAACATGCAAATAAACATCACTTTATGTCCGCGATAACCGCAAAGGTTTGTCTTTGTGAAACTTTACCGTTTCTTTTAAGGGAATAATCACTATTGTGGCCAAATTAGTGTTTGCAGTTTATAGCGTAATCAGGCCGGACATGACGTGATTATAGACAATAATTTACATGACTTACTGCTGAGGTTATATATAAAATAAAGACATGATCTTATGACTCCTTATCACATTATTTAACTTGCTATACCAACCAATCCAGGCTTTTTACTTAAATGGCCAGTAGCCTACAACCAATCTGATGCAGTATTCCACTTGCCAGAGAAGTTATTGCAGCTTTTACTTTTGCCTCAAAATGACTTGATTTCATATAGAAGTTATACTTGACAGATTATAACCAAAATCATCCTCCTTTTTATGTCATGTATAAAAACATTCTATTTTTTAATGACATACTAACCACCAGACAAAAAATGTCCCCGGTTTTCATTTCAAAAATCTGGTTACCTTACTGTAGTGTCGACCTAGTTTCCTCACAGGATCACTGAAATCTGAGCTAATCTAAATTCAGGAGTCGGCTGAAGCTTTAAAAGGTTCAATCTGCTGCAGACTGGCCTGCAGTTAGCCCTGATCCACATGCAGTTAGCATGCTAATGTTAGCATTCAGCTTAAAGCCAAAGTACACCTGAGGCTGACGAATTACAGCTTAGACCAATTAAACTTGTGATGGATTATCTACCTGTTGCAGGTCTCATTTCTCTGCAGGTTTCAGTGAGGGGTACAAACAAAACAAAAACAATGAACTATAAAAGAAACACGAACAGCTGAACTGTTGTTAAAAAATCAGCTGGTTAGTTATCAGGACAAAACAAGAGCACCAACCTCTAATGAAGCGTTGAAGTCATGGTACAGGTCAGCATCCTCTGCAGATTCAGCTAACCTCTGAGGCAAGAAACAGAGTGAAATGGGGAATAAAAACAACGTGTACCTTGTGAAAAATAATCCACACGCGTGGACTGTTAACATCCTGTAAAACAGTGGTTCCCAACCTTTTTGGATTGTGACCCCGTGAAATGAAGTAATGTCTAATTCATTCAAATCACAGGCTTAGTAAGACCAAGAGCTGTGAGCAACCCCAAAGCAGTTAAACCCTTAAAACCTTCTCAGATTGTTTAATTTCAATATTTTTAGAGTCAGTATATCACAAGAGAAAGCAGAAATAAGAGAGAGAAACAATCATATAGTGGTAGAGTGAGTCCAAGTCTTTGGACCTTATTTACCCATTTTTTGTGTCTATGTAGCCAATTGGTCCAGTGTTGTGGGAGCACGCTGCAGTCAGCTGCAGCAACACAGGGCTGCAACCTTACATACCGTCTATGGTTGCAACCTAATCCTTGCAGGCAAATGAGCCCCGTCAAAGTTCTTAATCGCTCCCTTGACAAAAAAATGTATTTTACCTCTCTGGTCTACATCTGCCTCAGTCGGTAGTTTGTTTGTGTAACTGTGTGACTTTAAAAACATCAAAGTTACACAATAATACAAACAAACAAAAGCACCAAAGTCACACAGTAACACAACGCAGGGGAAAATTACTGTTTTTGTCGAGTGGGTCTGGAGGCTTTGACGAGAGCGATATAGCGACTTTTTTTTTCTGGTTAAACAAAAAGGATCTTACTCTTTAAAAAAGGTTTGTCTCTATAGGGATCCTTTCCACAATGTTGTCAGACACTTGTAAAAGTGGACAGGGAGCAATTGCAGCACGCTCAATACCGGACCAATTTCAAAAAATGTTGTTCTATTTAGTCACATAGGCTACGTTCAAACTGCAGGCCTTAATGCTCAATTCAGATTTTTTCCCCAGATCCGATTTTTTTGTTCACACGCGCAGAAGAATAAGGAGATTTCTTCATCTAGAGTGACATCAAAGTCGCATCAACTCCGACCTGAGTGTCCAGACTCAGGTTGCATCTGCGCAAATCCGACCTCGAAAATATTCCATGTGACTTGTTCACACGGTCATAAAAAGACCAGATCTGAGTCACATATTAGGTTATATAAATTTGAGCTGCAGTCTGAAGGTAGTAACATAGACACAAAAACATTAGTTGTACTCGGTCTGTGAAACCGGCTGTGAAAAAAAAAACCCTGATGACGACACAGCGATGTCATCAGGTTTATCTCAGATTGATCTTGCAAGTCCGCCAACCTTCGTGGAAGTGAGGCACTTTATTTAATATTAGCAGCCGATATACTGCGGTGGTCTATGCAGCGTCCTGTACACCTCCGGTAGACTGTAGAAGCATCTTTGTCCTCACCTTCACTGACTTCATCTTGCTTCCCAACATTCGTTCGATCTCATCAGAGTAACGCTTCACCAAATCGTTTCCATCCAGCTCCACGATCTTAACGATGGACTCGACATCTTTCAGTTTCTATATATGGAAACAAACAAAAAAAAACAGATGTTGAAGGGCTAGCTTTCGTTAAAGACTGGCAACCAGCTTATGGAAGCTTTGGAGGATCCAAATAAAGAATAAACATCTTTAATAAATACGGACAAATTCACCGTTTCGTTACTAAAATGAGTAATGGGTTTCAGAATAGGATTTGCCAACAAGTTATCACATTTTTATAGCATAAATGTTTTTTTTTTTTAAATCTTCTTCTATCCAGACAGTAATCTTGATTGGATGTGCTTCATTTCAGGATGTTTCCACACAGTGAAACTGATCTAATGCTGTTTGGTTTGGCAGATTGGTTTGTTTTGAACAGATAGCTCAGAGAGACTCAGATTAAATCAGCTGCTGGGATGTTAGTTAGTTTTACAGCGAGGTTAGCTGGGCCGGGGGAGCGTTGCCGTTTACACTGCTAGCACAGGAGATGTGGCCCATCGGGAGGAGGAGCTTTAATAACGCTAATAAAGCTTCATTTAAGCTTTAAAGCTGACAGGACCGCTAGCAGGAGATCAGCGTGGTCACCAGAGACACGTGAACTGACATACTTGGACCTGTCCACCTGCGATCAGATGACCCAAGACGCACGTTAATGCTCGGTTCAAACAGGGCTTGAGGTAATCGGGTCACTTTCTCTGGATCAAGAAGCTCGAGGTGGATCAGCCAGCTGAGAGCGAGGAAGGACGGCCCAGGCAGGTTATTTACACTCTGAATCGCTCGATCAAGTCATTCAGTAATTCCAATTAGTCAAAGCAACCGACTTACTGAGCTGAGCACATGAGCAGAGCCAAACATTGAGTGTCTGATCTGTAACATCCATTCATCATCATCATCATCATCACCCAGGACTTTAAGATGGACTTTGACTCTTCCAGGCTGATAAATCTGGTGTTTTTGATTTTAAGCTGCCGATGGCGGATTTTAAAAATAAACGTTGCAGAAAAGCAAAGTATTGACGGTTACCTGGCTACTATACATGTAGGCTCATTTTTACGTGAGGGGATGTTTTGAAGACTCAATTAGACTTCAGTGCTCAATTTTAAATCTGCAGTTGTAGCCTGATTAATTTCTGCTGGTTTTCGTACAGAAGCTAATATTTCTGTCCCCGCAGGAGCTCTGTTTCTCTGACATAAATATAGCCAAGCCCACATACAGCTGGTGTTAAAATAAATTCAGTTTAGATGGTGAGCATGCTTTCGCGTGTGTTTAAGCAAAACAGGAAGTGCCGAGATGCCTTAAAAATATATTTTCTTGATCAGCTGCTTACTGCGAGCAACAGGGTCCTACACATAAAGGTTGTCCGCCAAAGTTACAACAAGTTTAACTAAATGTTGATTAAATATCTCACACACTGAAATCACAGCAGCAGGTATAAAATCGGACACACCTTTTTTCTTTTTTTTTTCCATGAGCAACTCAATCCAAAAACTGATGCTCCTGGTTCATAAAAATTAGGATCCGGTGGAGAGAAGGTGCATCAGTCTTTTGGAGATGTTGGAAGTACAAAAACACTCCACCTGTGTTGTTACAGGGTGATGCTTCTTCTGTTACAAAAGAGCTTTGGCTGAGTACAGACACCGGCTTTAGAGAGCATGTAAACCAGACAACAGCCAAGTTTTATTCTGGCCTGCCTGCAAGTTACAGAAGGATTAACATTAATTAGTGACAGCTGATATAACCTGCTGAAAAAACAAGAGTTAAGAGTTTTGTAAATCTGTCTTACGTTATTTTCTGCCAGTGCCAGAGTCAATCACCGTGTGAACGCAAATCATTTTTTATGTTTCTCTCTCGTTTTCACCGGCTTGCGAGTGAAACGCTGCACTGTTGAGCGCCCTGTTCTCATAAACCCTCTCATCCCCAATAAGAGAAAACATACATGAAAACAACTACATGGAACCTGAGAGTCCCCAAAAACAACTTAATCTTTACAGTATATTTCATTTGATCCAGTTATTATGTGGATTTACCGGCTTTTCAGACGTGTTTCTGGGTTGGTTGTTCTAACTACAGGAGGTGGTTGTGTGTGCTTGGTAGCAGACAAAATGCAGACTGGCTCTGATAAATCTAAATCTGAGAGATAAATGGATGAATGTCTAAAATCAGAACAGGCCACAAATCCTGACGCCGGTAAAGAGGGCTCGGTCCTCAATCTGGGCATTACCATGATCCCTGTGTGTGTGCGCGCAAGCTCCCTGCTAAACACACAGAAACACAGCGACACAGCGACACAGCCAGACGCTATCAGACACACTCACAAAAGACAAACACTTAACCTGTCTGAGGTTCAGCTGCATTTCATTAGTTTCTTTTCATATCATAGTGCCTCTAATCCAAAACAAACTCTCTTCCCGCTTTCATATTTAAAGAAAACGTCCCCCCCATTAATTAGTTTAATTGTGTGTTGGAGCAAAATCAATGAAGTAGTATAAAAGTCAAAGTAAACGTCATATTTGGCTTCTTTCCAGAGCTTATTTTTAGCAAAAATGTTCAACAACACAGGAAGCAACCCATCGAAAAAGAAACCAAAAGACCAACTGGAAGAGGAACTAGACCAAGCTGATGTGACGCTTCAGAGTTAGTTTCTTCTTTTTCTAGAAGAAGATGAAGAAATCCACCTCTCTCTGGCTCGGTGAAACCTGTTCACATGTCGCACTTTGACAACTTTTCGGGATTTCAGAAACACACCAGTCTCCTGGATAATGTGACAGCCCTATAGGTTTATGTTATGACCACTTTGTCTTTATTATTTCATTTCTGATAAATCATTATTCATCATAGTCAGTTTGAGAAGAACGGTGGCTCTAATTACTTCAATACCCATGAGCCTACGCTGCGGATGCTAAGTACAAGAAACCAGTCAGAGGCGTGATTCAGAGCAGTAATGATTTCAGGATCGTTGTTAATGAAATGCACCTTGGGAGTTGAAATATTTATTTTAACTTTTATGTTTTATGACTTTTTACCAAGACCAGGTTATCAGACTCTCCTTTAAACTCACTTTTTTCTTATCGCTTTTTTCTGAATTGATTAGTCTGGTGTTATTGTTGAAATAGTTTGATCCTGTTTTATTTTTTATCTTTTGAATTTTATTTACTTTTATTTATGTTTAACTGTAACTTACTTTGTATTTTGCTATATAAATAAAGTTATTCTTATGATTGTTATTATTGTTGTTATCTTTGGTTCTGAGGATTGATGAAGTTTCATGCCCATCAAAGCCTTGAAGAGCTCCATCTTCCATCATCTATCCCAAAGATTATTACGATTTTTCACTTCAGGAACCAGGAGCAGCCAAACAACGCATTCTCACTTCCAGATTGTCACATATGGACGCTTGATCAAGATCCCTTGGCGTCGCTTTTTAACTCCCTGCGTACCCCTTTAGCTTTGTTTTTCAGCGTTTAGGGTTGTGCGGTCAAGTTAGCAACAATACATATGCAACGTCCGGTAAGATATTCAAAGTAAATGTACCTGTTAACGTTGCAATTTGGTTAGGTTAAAGCACCAAGAGTGCTTGGTTAGGATAAGATCATGATTTGGCTCAAAATAACTACCTTACATGTGTCAGTTAACTAACATAAGTTTAGTGACTGTTATGGCAGAAAATTGTGTCCTCTTACATTATAATCTTTTATGTACGATCTTTTAATATTATTATTATTACTGTTCTCGTTATGGCTTATAGATATATATTGTGTTTTTATCCTTAACCTTTACTCCTCTGTCCACATTTACTAGGGTTTAGGTCAGAGCTGTGAGATTGTTTTGGTGTTTTCCTCTTGTTGTTCCTCTCCTGGAATTTTTTTTTTTTTTTGGAAAATCCTCCCAGTAGGGAGAAGCTGTGTTCAGCAGAGCCCTGATCTTCGCTCCATTCCAGAAAGAAAAGGAAAAGAACTTAGACGGTGAGAAATGAGTAGATAATTGAGAGAAAAGATAAAGAGAGTGAGACTGAACAGAGTGAGGGAAGTGGTCTTATACATCTCGCGCCTGAGAGATTTGCTGGATCAAAGTGGCTCCCGGACAGACGTGTCCTGGTTTCCTCTGTGGTGTCCGAGGGTTTTTGGGGTTTCCAGCTGATAAGTTGGGTTTGCAGCGTGTAGCCTCAGACTTAACCGAACTCAGTGGACCCAAATATTGCTGTGGACAGTACAGAAGTATTTCTCTGTTTATTCTCAACGGTTGGTTGTAACTCAATTCTTTGCTCAACCCCTCACCAGGAATATAATTTCCATGACAGTGACGTTACTAGCATAGCGTACAAAACCTACGTACACATATCTTTAGCGTTAATAAATAAAAGACGCTACAGGGCTTCACCCAGTGTACTGACCTATGACGCTATGGGGCTCCACAGTGGGTTAAAAACAGTTAATGGGTCTTGACCATGCGTCCATATAACCATCACAGTAACTGCACGTGTGAACACTTCTGCCAAACCTAGACACTAATAAAGCATCAACAGGACCAGTTTTAGAAGATATCAAGTCCTGAAGGCTGGACAGGAGGAGTCATGCACGTGGAGATTCATTCCTTGACATGGGTTTTCCTTTAAACCTCCAGAAATGTGATTCACTGACTTTGACTTCATTTACCTTCTGCAGCAGCAGCGAGCCGGAGTATTTAGTGGTGGACTCTCGAAGCTGAACAGAGAACACAGTCGCCCACTGCTGCACCCTGAAACACAGACAGCGGGACTATTGGTTACAAGAATACAGTATCATTATTATCTGTGGTGGTGGTCAACATGTAAACACAACAGTGGACAACTACACAAAGAAGAATAAATAATCAAACGCCTCTCAAAACTGTAAATAATTCATATAGTGGTATGTAAACATTTGGCCTGTCCCACATGTAGCAGCAGAATACCGTGGTATGAAAATTAACGGTTATCATACAACGCATCTTTGCTTGCTACAGCAGTGAATTGTACTATATCAGTTTTATTAAAAAATACAAATTTCAATACATTTTTCTGTATTTTTTTGGGACAGGACAGCGGATAGTGTGGTAGGAAACAAGAGAGACAGACAGAGAGGGGTGACACGTAGCAAAGGACCACAGGTCGGATTCAAACCAGCTGCAGTAAGGATTCAGCCCTGTTCATGGGGTGCGCGCTCAACTAGGCGAGATAAACCGCGCCCCGGATCAGTTAATGTACGGTATGTATGTACTGAATGTAAACAGTGTGACACACTGCTTTGAGTTTGGCTGTCTGTTGCCGTGGCGACGCTTTGCAGCAGCGGCGAGTTACAGCTGAAAAGGGCCGTTAAATATGACGGTGATGCAAGAGATTTAGATAATCTGTTCTTCATCTGGGTCACAGCAGAGAGCTGCAGGTGTCTGCTCAGCGCAAACTCACAGCACCGCAAAAAAACACAGCACGCAGTATCTGAACGTCAGAGGTTGACCTGAAGGCAACAAAAGTTAAAGACTAATAATCCATTATATAATAGCATTTCTGACCCCAATGTCTCTGCACTGCTGCATGTGTCACAGGTCCGTCAGTCCGTCACAAAGCTCCCATCAGGCTCAGGTGTTTTCTGTGTCTACACAGCTCTCATTCCAGGAAACCAGTTTCCCCTGCACCAATTTCTCAACATCTCTGATCCACACGCCGTCAGCCAAGCACACCTGAATATGTGACCCGCCGCACGACGTGCACTGTAACCATTTGGCTAACAAGACGCTCCAGTTTAGTAGTTTTAAATGTACCTGAAATGTGTGCGGCTCTCTGTGCAGGATCTGTGTTGCTTTCATATTGTAGTGTGCCTCTGAGTAGCTACAGTTTGTGGACAATGGCCGGTACTCGGGGACAATGTCATTCATGAACGTCCAAAAAAGATGACATTGTCGTCTTTAAAGAAACAAAATCACTCACAGGAGACATGTCCTTAAAATGTATAGCTTCATTTTTGTCATTTGTGTTTTGTGCATGTGAGGGTGTTTCAAAATGAATGCAGAATGACTTTTAAAGCTGGTGCAGATTATAATAAAGTCAATGCAATGAGACAAATGTGTGATTTTGATCTGCAAGCCACAACTTTAGTCTGAATAATGCCTTATACGGAATGAACAAACATTCAAACCAATATTAAATTGTACTGCATGCACCACCACAGGGCTGGGTGATACATCACATATATTAGATTTTTTATTTATTTTATTTATTTATTTATTTAAACAGGAAAAGATTAAGAGCAATCGGGCCTGACTCAGTATAGAACTGATTTTCAGCAGGTTCCTGTTCTGCAGAACATGAATACCTCAAACACAACAAAACTCCAAGACCATACAATAACAAACACACAGCAACAAGCACACAAACTACGATGTGGAGGTCATAAAGCTATCTCCGTGTTCACAGATATACCTGTCCATCAGATGGCGAGCAAAAGTTTGTTTAAATAGTCTTATTGATGTTATAGATCTGATGTGCTGTGGAGTATCATTCCAGGCTCTAGTGAGCAAATTAAAGAAAGATTTCTGTCCATAGCAGTTTCTAAAAGCTGGTATAGGGAGAAGTCCATTTGCAACAGATCTCGTAGTGCGTTCGGGCCTTGAGCTGAGTTTTGGAGCTAGCGCAGACAATCCTGCAGTAGTGTGTCCATTTAAGATCTGATAAAAAAGGTTCAAACCATGGCTTATTCTATAGTTCTGAAACGTCAAGGCATTACTCAAGGATAGTGCAACACAGTGGTGAGTCCAGCCTGGAAGCCTGTTGTGAATCTTATAGGCTCTATTGTAGAGTCTCGCTACAGGTTCAAGGATCTCATTTGTTGTGAGTGACCAAACAGGTAAACAATATGACAGAGTGGACAATATAATGGCATGAAGATATGTTTTAGAAACAGAATGCAGTAAATATGGTCTAATTTTACTATAAACAAATAACTTTTGGTTTAACTTTCTGGTTAAAATTTGGACATGGTCACGATAAGTAAGATGTGAGTCAAGAGAGACTCCCAGATACTTATACGTGGATACAATTGAAAGTTTTTGATTAGAAAAGGTGATGAAATTTGATATAGACAGTTGTTTCCTAGATGAATAAAAATACATACATTCTGTTTTCTTAGTATTAAGTGTTAAATGGTTATCCTGGAGCCAATCATGTAAATGCTGTAGGTCTGAGTTAAGTTTGTAATTAATTGTATCAATATCTGAGCCAGACAAAAAAATGACAGTGTCATCAGCATATAACAAAGTACTAGAAACGTCAAACACATTGGGAAGATCATTAATGTACATAAGGAAAAGTAAAGGACCTAAGATGCTGTCCTGTGGAACTCCCATAGAACACACTCGTGACTGTGATGTTACCGAGCCGATTCTTACAGTCTGAGATCGGTCACTTAAATATGATTTAAACATATCTATTGCAGAGAAGGACAAATGAAAAGAAAGAAGTTTATTTAACAAAATTTGATGGTTAACTGTATCGAAAGCTTTTCGAAAGTCTATGTATATGACTCCAGTAACCTGACCTTTATTTAAAGACGCCCGTATCTGCTCAGTAAAAAGCAGCAAAGCCGACATAGTTGACCGCAATGGTCGAAAGCCATGCTGACAATCACTGAGCAGGTTATTGTATTCAAGGTGATTAATTAATTGATTATATAATGTTTTTTCAAGTAACTTAGAAACAGTTGGGAGAATTGCAATTGGGCGGTAATTGGAGATATTAGTTGGATCATCAGACTTAAGAATCGGAGTGATCTGGGCTGTTTTCCACATGGCAGGAAATACTGATTGCCTAATACACAGATTAACTAAATGATGGAAAAGCGGAATAAGTGTACTAGCGTGAGTTTTAAGAAAAGTCATATTTAAATTATTTGTATCACAAGCCTGAGAAGCATTCAAAGAACCCAAAATGTTAGTTATATCGCTTTGTGGAATTTCAGAAAAGGAGAATTGCTGAGATGCCGCTGGTACTGAGGAACAATAAATCCAGAAGATAACTCCTGAACAGATGCAACAAAATACTTGTTGAAAGAATTAGCAATTTTATCATGATCGGTGAGAAGAGTACCATTTATGGATAGTTGTAAACTGTTATTATTTTTTAATTTATTTTCACCAGTTATAGATTTAAGTGTTTTCCATAATGTTCTTGGGTTGGAAACCGTTCGGTTTATTTGATTTTCAAAATATAGCTGTTTTGCTTTGAATAATTCAAAATTGCACTTATTTCTAAACTGTGTGAAAATAAGCTTAGCCTCAGGTGTTTTTAATGATCTGTATGTTTTCAAATAGGTGGCCTTCTTTTTTAAAAGCTGCATAATGTCAGGAGTTACCCAAGGTATTGTATTTTGCCTGATATATATTTTACAAGTAGTAGTAAATTTTTGACGTATTGTCTCCACTCTTTTATGGAAATTTGACAAAACATGATCAGGATCTTGCAAAGACATCTCATTACTCCAATCAGCATCAGCAAATTCAGCATTAAACTGGGACAATTTTGAATTTGGTACTTTTTTAATGTTACTATTTTTATGAGATTTTGGCTGTTTAAGACATTTTCTAATGGCATATATTAGTGAATGATCTGAAACTGCTGTATTTATCACTCCAGATATACTATACTTAGAAGGTTGATTAGTGAAGATGAGGTCCAAAATAGAATTTCGTGTTTTGCCAAATCTGGTGGGATCTTTGATTAATTGATGAAGACCATGTTTTATGGCAGTTGCTTTCAAAAGTTTAGATGAATTATCGATCCAATTCAAATTAATGTCACCTAGAATAACAAGCTCCTTAGTTTTTACAGATTTTATTAAGTCAGAAAGCTGCAGTAAATATGCAGTTGGACAGACATTTGGAGGCTTGTATGTGACAGTAATAGTAACTGAGAGTTGATTTGTAAAGTGAACAACTAATTGAAGTGACTCAGAAATTGTTGAAAGTTTTACTACAGAATGCGCATATTTATTATTTACATAAAGAGCAACACCGCCACCAATTCTATCAGTCCTGTCTCTGCGATACAATGAATATATTCGAATAATAAGTAATGTGTGATACAGCAAATGACCATATTGTCATATTTGAGTTTTCAGTGTTTACGCTGGTCGCTGCTGAGAGGTAGTTAACGTAAGTGTGTAGATAAGTTCATGTTGCAGTGTAAGAGTTATATAACAAAGCAGTGTGTTGTGTTTGCTGCCACAGAAAGTAAATAAAAAGTCCCTGTTTATGTAACGTTACCGAGGCGTCTTCTGGTCTTCACACCAGAGTTGGTCCAGATGGTGAAAAGCTAACAGTTAGCAGAAATATTCTAAACCTTCTTAAGGTACAAGTATCCAAGTATTATAACAAAGTTTACTTATTATGCAGTTAAATGTTCCCTGTCGGAGTTTTACTATTTTATTAATTTAAAATATTAATATTCCTGCTGCATTCATGTGGATGTTGCGTTTTACTGCTGTAGATGTTTAAGGTTGAGCTCATTTTAACTCCTTTGTTTACTGTTTGGTATTTTAATGTACAGCAACACATCATGGTCTATAAGATCATCATGTTTGCACTATGAGAAGGTACACTGTTATTTTAGACATAATGTGTGTATCAAGATGGATATCCTTTATTGCGGCATAGCCTAAATCTATCAAGATATTATTTATGAGCCATATCACCATAATGTGACAGCTATAAGCAAATTATTAAGATAT